ATCATTGCAATCTGGTCTTAGTTCCGGGCGGGCTGGGCGGCGCTCTGGGTCTGGCGCGGGCTGGCCGAGACCCAGGCTGGTGTAGGAAGATCCCAGACCCAGAGCGTCGGCAAGCCCGCACCAGGCCTTCATACTTGTGGTTTTCAGTGAAAGAGTACAAATGAATTTGAAGATTGAAGATGATTAAGCCACCCAGAAGGTGGCACGGGCATGAATACCCCGTAAGTGGAGGCCCTTTTGAGCCATTACCAGTATCAATAGATGATACTGGAGATCTGTGGAGGTGCGACTGTACCCTGCGTGACGGGAGATCCGTGTGAATTTGAAAAGGTGTGTACATATTAAGAGCTATTCATGCCATTGCCACCTCTTGGGTGGCTTAATCTTTATCAATCGGTTCACACATATAGGAGCCTTGAATAAACCTGCGGCTAGTGAATAAAGTTATTTACGGTGAATTTAATGTATTTTTTTTAGGATATGAATATAAATGCCAGTACCATACAGTACATTTAAACCTGCTAGCCATTTCCAATCACAGGCACAGAGACCTACAACCATCACTAAGTTTACCTATCTATTTAGTCGTATGGCATGCTTTGTAGGAAGGTGTAGACGTCTGAAGGAAGCATCTTCCTCCTTCAAATACCATCACACGCCTCCGCACGCCGTCACTAGACGGGTGCTCGCCCATTCAAAGGTGCGATGGGCGTGGCTCAGATATTGTGGGGTCGTGTGTGTGTGTGTGGGGGGGGGGGGTGAAGGGGCCTAGTGTTGGAGGAGGTTGGGGGGCTCGGTGGGGGGGGGGGCACAGCGAGGTCTTAAGTCGTGTGGCTGGTGTAGGAAGATACAGTTGAGGCCGTAACTACTTGGTGTCATCACCTCCACAAGCTCTCGACGAAGTTCATTGATCATAGTACCCATGGACCCTCCGGCAGTAGTCTCTCCGGTATGATTTCATAGTTCATAAAGTAATCATTTATGCGTCCACTCTACAAACTTGTAAATAATTTTTCATTCCTGGCGGCTTTTACATTTATTGAACAGTTTAATGAACTCCAAAACATAGCGAGGTTGATTATAACAATAATAATCTTGGGTTGTGAAGATTCAAAGCTCATAAACCTTTTAATAAATGTAAATAAGGCCGCCTTGTTTGAAAGTTTGTTTCGTAAATGGTTGAGTTTTTGATTAACTATTCCATCCATCCATCCATCCATCTATCCATGCATGATGTTGCTAAAACCTTGTACATGGTATCTCTAAAAGATGAATTTTTGTAATAATACCTGGATATTACAGATGTGATTGTCTGCTGTGGTGCCCAGACTTGACATGTGAGAATTACCAGAGAAATGGACAGAGTAATGAATGAGTGATGTGATTGTTGGTACCCATAAAAGATCTTTGGGTGGATAAAGGAAGCACTTTTAAATTAAAAATCGATAATACTGTATGCAATAGTCGAAGACGTGTAAAGTTCAATTTCTCTGAGAAAGCGGAATGCATTGAAGGAAGAGGTTGTCGAAGCATGATTCCATCCACAACTTTGAAAGAAATATGATAAACTTTAATACAGTATTGAGAGGGGCAATTAGTATGTTAGGTACGATGAATTGGAAGCTGTGCATAAAGTGCAAAGATCATCTTTCCTCCCCCCCCCCCTCTATAGTGACTGATAGTAAGCACACTGAACCCATGTAAGTAGTACTCTACTTATGTTGACAACCACACCCAGTTGTTAGTAAATATGCCCAGGTGAGGGTTGTCTAGCATGGTAGGTTTGTTTAGCATGGTAGGTTTGTTTAGCATGGTAGGTTTGTTTAGCATGGTAGGTTTGTTTAGCATGGTAGGTTTGTTTATTCATAAATTCTTAGGATGACTGGATTGTGGGGGGGGTTAGCTCATAATCACATGCATCTACTGGGTCTTGTTAATGTAAATGGGGTGATCAATGCTGGGTGCTGAGACTCGGTTCTCAGGAGAAAATGGCTTGTTAACATCTTGCTGGGTTAGTTTTCATCCCTTCCCCCCTCTTACCACTAGGAGGGAGGTCTGGGATGGACCATCAGCTTCCAGCACTGGTAAATCTACACAGGTTAGTCATCCTGCAATGTTTTGATTTCTCGATCTAAATGGGTAAAGTGCCCAACACCACTTTTCACCTTATCTACCGTCTTGTTGTATTAACTCCCAAGGGCGGTCCAAAAAAGTACATTCATTTAGTTTCATGTATGAGAAATTGGTTATTTGTTGGGTCAAGCTTCTTGGTTGCTATGCAACCAAACCTACTATGCATATTTTGAGAGAAATTGACAACATGCCCATGCACTCAGCCCTGGGTCCAGATTCGTGGAATTAAATATAAAGAAATGCAAAGTGCCAGTAGCACAGGCACTCTGTATAGTGTGGATGAAGAGCTTGGACACTGGGGAGATACCAGATGTGCTTAAATCAGCAGACAGCCCCTCTACACAAGGGATACCTGCTTGATACTGGCTTGATGGGATTCTGGAAGTTCTCCCAACCCAAAGCCAGGCTTGACTTGAGAGCTTGGTCCATCAGGCTCTTGCTTGGAGTGGTCTGCAGGCCCACATACCCACCACAGCCTGGTTGGTCCTGCACTTCTTTTAGACTTACCTTCACAACCCAGGCCAACATGGATTTAGAGAGGGAAGATAATGACTTATCACAGCTACTTGGCCACTATGACAAAATCACTGAGGCATTGGAAGAAATACTGAATGCATATGTGGTATACAGAGACTACAAAGGCAGTCAATAAATGTGACCATGAAGTGATAGCACATAAAATGAGGTCAATGGGAATAACTGAAGTAGGATAGTGGATACTCTATTTTCTGTCGAACAATGCACAGAGTAACAGTCAAACATATAACAGTGCCGTTGAAAGCTCTTTATCTCGGTACAGTCCTTGCACCATTGCTTTTCCTTATTCTCATATCAGATAGTAAAAAATCCAAGTCACCTTCGTATCATCCATTGCAGATTACACAAAAATCAGCATGAAAATTACCTCTGTGAAGACATTGAAGTCTACAAGCAGATATTAATAGTTTTTGACTGGGCAGAACAACAAAACATGATGATTAACAGTGATAAATGCCAGGTACTCAGGCATGGTAAAAATGGACATTAAACATAATACAGGGTACAAAGCACAATCAGATTTGCCCATAGTAGGAAAGCACCATGTCCATGATTTGGGAATAATGTCTGACGACCTAATGTTTAGGGAGCATGAGCAAACAAATATTGTCAGCCAGAAAAATGATTCCATCAAAATGATTTAAAATCCAAGGATTCCCTCACCATGGTTGTACTATTCAAATCAGTTGTGCTGTCCAGTCTTGAGTACTGCTCAGTATTCACTTCCCCCTTCAGTGCAGGAGATATTACTGAAATAGAGGGAGTACAGAGACCATCTACGGCATCTCGAGGTAAGGTAAGGTACATAGACTCGATAAAGCACTTAAATTATTGGAATTGTTTCAAAGCTCTTAAAATGTACTCGCTAGAAAGGAGATGATAGATGTCAAATTTACGAGTGGAAGATACTGGAGGACTAGGTACCAAATCTACACAGTAAAATAACATACGGGAGTGAACAATATGGAAGAAAATGCAGAATAGAGCCAGTGAAGAGCAGGGGGGGACACCGTTTAAACATCAGAGGTCCAAGGTTATTCAACATTCTCCCAGCGACTACAGGTACAAGAAATATTGCCGGAACAACCGTGGACATCTTAGAGAAAACTAGATACTGTAGTTTTCTTAAAGTGCCAGACCAACTGGGCTGTGGTGGATATGTGGGCCTGCAGGTCACTCAAAGCAAGAGCCTAGTGGATCAAGTTCTCGCAAGCAAAGCCTCGCCTCGGGTTGGGCTTGGGGAGTAGAAAAACTGCCAGAACCCCATCAAGCGGGATATTGTGTGTTTGAATAGCAATCACATCTTCAAACAATGGCCTTTAGGTCTCTCCTTTGATTATGAGTACAGTAATGATATTGCACAGTTGTTAGTAATATGTAAAGGTGGAGTGTTCTTACCTGTCAGTGACTTTCTACTGTCTTTGATAATTACTTACCTGTCGGTGACTATGGAGAAAGTGGGGGTCTAGCTCTATATGCTTTGCCAACTAGCCTAGTTGGAGGTTATAGGAGAAGGAAAAGTGGTAGTGTGGAATGTTCGTCTGTAGTTAGTTCAGGTAGTTTTGACTCGTCCAGGCAAATCACACCATTTCGGGCCAACTGGTTTATGGACTATTAAATGCTGCCAAATGCAGTCGGACTTAAGAACCACAACTCGGTTGATCAGTCCACTCACATCACTAACATCATATCCTCCACACTCCTTGCTATATAGATGACCAAACCTGACACAAAACAGATCTTGAACCAAACCAGGTGCCTCAAACCTGGTGACCATGTGATGGTTCCACAGCCCATCCTCCAAAGACCCAAAGTACATTCCATGCACCCACCAAACCCTCTGTTTATGAATGAAAAAAGATTTACACAAGACTCTCAACTGATGACGTCCAACTTCTGGAAAAAGTGCTTCGCTGATAACCTTTGTTCAAACTACAGTGCTGTAAATGCTTCACCCACGCACTACAAATAATCACCAACAGAACATAAACACCTAACCTAACCAGTGCTTAAATTTGCACAATATACTAATATATAATTATAATTTTGTATTTGAGAAGTTCAGATTGATGAATGCGTCTTTGAGGTCGACAGCTGGATAGAATGGACTTGGTCCGAGGATGGGTTGGGTTCCAGGAAGCTGTTCTCAGAGCAGAGTACAGTATAACCTGTCTTCCTGGTCAAGGTTATGGACCTAATCTAATTTTATGCTCTTCTGATTATTGTTTTAGCTTGCTGCAATTCTTTAGATACAAATTTCCTTTGCCATATTTTATTTTTATCTTGAAAAATTTTGATACTGTTATTGGAAATATTTATTTTATTTACAGGCTAAGGCTGAAGAACAGAATGAAGAAGTGAAGAAGGAAGAAGCTGCTGCAGCTCCAGTAGCAGAAGAGAAGCAGGAAGAGGTGGCACCAGTCAAGGAAGAGAAGAAAGAGGAAGATACAGCAGCTGCGTCAGTAGAGGAAGCACCGAAGGAGGAGGAGGTGGTGGTGGTAGCAGCAGCGCCGGTTGAAGAGGTAAGGTGTTGTCCTGTGTGCTGCACCAGTAACACAATGCCTCTACTCAGCTTGCACTTGGATCAGTTAACTCCCCCTCTAGTGTTAATATGGTGGTCGCCTCGTTTTTGTCATGGGCATCGTGTGTGTTGGGTGTAATTAACCCTGTATTAGTGTTGCTATTGCTGCTACTGTGATCCAATTAGTATGCACTCCATAAGCCAGATATGACCGCTCGTTATTGCTCGTGAGTGTCTGCAGCTGGTTGGTGTACACGCGCACTAATAACTAACACACACAATCACAAAGTTGCTTTCTTTACATTTCCACTTGAGATTTATAGTCCATCTTGTTTAATGTTAGTTGACCCCTAAAGGGCATAGCTATTTATAAATAGTACATGGAGGTGCACTTTTTAACATGGACAATTTGAGCAATGTAGGAGTAATGGGCATTCTTTAGTCCTTTGGAAATAACTATAGATGGACTACAATTACTTCACACAAACTTGGTACATGGCCCATGTGATGCTTCCTCCTTGCATTTTGTGCCACCAAATAAAACTTTCTTGACTAACAGATACAGTATTATAAATTGCATGGATCATTGTTCCTAGTTATTTCATACTAAACTGAATGCGCTTCTCAAATCATAAAAGATTCAGTTTGCCCTATTTTTCCTGCACACTTTAGCTGATGTATGTATAAGTTGTCTGCTGTAATGACTTTCTCCTTGACCTTGACTTGCTAGATGTTATTTTGACCCGCTATGTATCGTCAATAGCGATACATGATGCCTTGGCTGCATTGATTTTCTACTGTTAAGTTTATATAATATGTATTATATAAATTTTTGAAGGGAAATGTATGTAATGTCTTGGCAAGAGTCTCCATTCCACTGCTGCACCCACTTAATGCACTCACTGTAATGTGCATGTCTTCTGTTCATTTGACTTGTCCAACCCCCCCTCCCCCTTTCCTCTGCCCCCCCCCCAAAAAAAAAAATAAAAAAATAAAGGCTTCTTAGAAATGAACAAAAGAAATTTAAAACATTAGTACTATCGGCAAAACGACATGGAAATTTGTGCATGATCATTGCGTTGTAATGTCTCCCACCCTTGTTGCGTAGAATGACCTACACCCCCTCCTTTTTTTTAACATGACAAATGTCGTATACTGGAAGAGCATGGACCTTCAAATACTAACACAAGTGTAATATGTTTGATCAATTTTATGGTAAACAAGAGTACACCATTTATGTAAGAATGTTATTGCAATAATAAACTGGATTTTGATCTTTATTTCTCACAAGAATATTAAAATCTTTAAAGTTTTGAGAGCATGGAAAGTACAGTATGCTTACATGTGCCTTAATGGTATCAGCGCTTAGCTATTTATACTTCAGAAACAACTTGTATCTTTCTCACTTCCTTTTTGCTTTAAACTTTCAATAAGTTTGAAATGAATTTACTTTGAGAATGTTAGTGTTTTGGCAGATGAATGTTGAGTTGTGGAGGATGAGTGGGCATTCACTCGCCACATGAGTATGTAGGGGTGGCTTAATTATTCAGATTAGTTAACCTTTAAACGGCTCGACTCAAGTCCTACATGGTGTGCGACACAATAGTTCACAAAAACTTGTATAAAAATCCCACTTAGCGATTAATGCACAAGAGGTAATCGCAGATTGCGGTGGAGCCGTTTAAGGGTTAAATGCCTAGCATACTAGTGGTGTATGTTTACCTTTTGCCACTTGCCCCCTTTTAGAGCTTGCCGGAGGCGACATCCGAGGCAGCTCCATCACCCTTCAGCGCCCCCCTTCCCCCGGCCACCCCACCCCCCACCCCCCTTGATCCTCAGGCCAACCAAACTGCCCCCCTCGCTCAGCCCGAACAGGTCTCGGAATCTGAAGTCTCCCCTGCTCCCTCGCACACAGAGGTGGAAGTGGCACCGGAAGTCTCCTCAGAGTGTGGTATTATAACGTTGCCTTTATCACCAGTGGAAACCCTTGAGCCTATTTGTGTTGAGCCAATTGATGCTCATTTTGCACCTGATACTTTCATTGAACAGGCTGTAGCTCCTGGGCCCACTAAGGATCCTGCCCCTTCAGAAGAACCAGTTGCCATTCAAGATTCTGCACCAGTAGAAATCCTTAAAGATGTTGAATCCAGCCCTGTCCAGGAATCTGTGACCGATGTCCCAACTATAACTCCATCCTCGGCCCCAGAGGTTATTGAAGTGGAATCTGCGCCTGTTGTGGAATCTGCGCCTGTTGTGGAATCTGCGCCTGTTGTGGAATCTGCGCCTGTTGTGGAATCTGCGCCTGTTGTGGAATCTGCGCCTGTTGTGGAATCTGCGCCTGTTGTGGAATCTGCGCCTGTTGTGGAATCTGCGCCTGTTGTGGAATCTGCGCCTGTTGTGGAATCTGCGCCTGTTGTGGAATCTGCGCCTGTTGTGGAATCTGCGCCTGTTGTGGAATCTGCGCCTGTTGTGGAATCTGCGCCTGTTGTGGAATCTGCGCCTGTTGTGGAATCTGCGCCTGTTGTGGAATCTGCGCCTGTTGTGGAATCTGCGCCTGTTGTGGAATCTGCGCCTGTTGTGGAATCTGCGCCTGTTGTGGAATCTGCGCCTGTTGTGGAATCTGCGCCTGTTGTGGAATCTGCGCCTGTTGTGGAATCTGCGCCTGTTGTGGAATCTGCGCCTGTTGTGGAATCTGCGCCTGTTGTGGAATCTGCGCCTGTTGTGGAATCTGCGCCTGTTGTGGAATCTGCGCCTGTTGTGGAATCTGCGCCTGTTGTGGAATCTGCGCCTGTTGTGGAATCTGCGCCTGTTGTGGAATCTGCGCCTGTTGTGGAATCTGCGCCTGTTGTGGAATCTGCGCCTGTTGTGGAATCTGCGCCTGTTGTGGAATCTGCGCCTGTTGTGGAATCTGCGCCTGTTGTGGAATCTGCGCCTGTTGTGGAATCTGCGCCTGTTGTGGAATCTGCGCCTGTTGTGGAATCTGCGCCTGTTGTGGAATCTGCGCCTGTTGTGGAATCTGCGCCTGTTGTGGAATCTGCGCCTGTTGTGGAATCGGCGCCTGTTGTGGAATCTGCAGAGAAGGCTGCTCAGGTATCTGAATTAAGCAAAGAGGCCATTCCCTCTTACACTTCAGTTAGAGATCCTGTTCCTGTACCCCAGGAATCTTTTGAATCCCTTCCCTTAGTAAAAGAACCTCTAACAGTAGCAGTCTCTCCTGTGTGTGAAACTAACAATTGGCAGTCATCGTCTTTAGAAGATAACCTAGAGGAAACTAACTCTTCTGCCTTGGCTTTAGAAGAAACTTGCCAGACATTGGGGGAACTCGGAGAGTTTGCTACAGAAATGGAAAAAACCACTCCGAGCGTGTTTGAGAGCACAGTATGTGCTATACCCGAGCCTGTTGAGGCGAGCGAGGTGGGTTGCGTACAATGTGGAGCTCTTGCAAGGGTCACGTCAACTGATGGAACCTGTGACAACTGCCATCACGCTACCGAGCAGGTATATATTGTATAACCACTTCCTGGGGCAGTGCCCTCCTCGATAGGATGTCATGTATCCTTGTGGTATAACTTCCAACTCAAGATTTTTTTTTTAATCTTATGTTATGCTTGGAACAAATATGTAGTTTTCTTCCCTGTGAGCTTCATTAGGAGTAACTGTCTACTCCCATAGGTGCTTCTTCATAAACTGTCACTGTACTGTAAACCCCACATTATTGGAGTTTTTCCTTCACATAGCGTAGGAATGTGCGAGTAGACCAACCAGACTTTGAAGACGCAACCCATTGAAAACAAAATGGCTGACACTAAACTTTTGCTTGTATTTGTCATAGTATTTTTGGCGATATTTTTGTAGAACGCTACCAGACTTAAATTTATTAAATTTCACAATTTTCAGTATTGATTGATTTAATGCACTGTTATTAGGATGCCATGCAGATTTTTTAGCAGCTAAAAGTAGATGTTTGCCTGTTAAAGTATGTTTATTTTGATGCGTAGTGTGTGAAGAGCTGGCATGAATTGCAGGCATCCCATGTAGACAGGGAATGCTGTTGGGAATGTTTTGAGGCATCCCACAAGGACATTGGATGTCTATGGAGCATTCTATCCAGACAATGGACACCTCGGGGTACCCAGGGACATCCTATTCGGACATTGGGTGCTGACACTTAACGTCGTTTAGCTCGGCTGCAGTTTTGGAGTAAAATAAGCATCATGAATTAACTTAACCAGCTAAATCTAATGCTTAGTGGTTTTTAATAAAATTTAAGGCTAATTGGGCTTTCTAATGGTGGGAAAATTAATGCCATATATATTTTGTATTACATGCTTGCTGACAAATTTGCTTTATCTTTACATTTGTCTATACTGTATAAGCAATTATTTAGGTATTTTCTTTAAGCAAATGTGAAATAATTGAAGCAGTCATATTTATTTCGTCAAAAGTTTGAAATAATTACTTCAGCTATTTGATTTTACTTGATTTTTGCAATGTGCATCTTAATTTTTTTGTTTAAAATATAGGAACAAAAAGAGGAAGCCCCAGCTGCAGAAGATACTGCACAAGTGGTGGAGGTAAGTAGTCTTCATACTGAAATATTGTAGCATTGACATGCACACAGCACATTACTACAATCCAAATGTGTGTGGGGTTTTTTTCTTATATCCCAGGTAAATTATATAGGAAAGTGACAAGACAGCGATATCAAACGCAACGGTAGCAACTTTCAGCAATGCTCTGATCTTGCATTGTCAACATGAGGTTAATCTTGTGTACATTTATATAACGATGCAGTGGAATTTAATTTGAATAACCTAACACATTTGGGCTGGATCCAATTAGTTAAAGCATGGAATTTGTCCAATACTTCTAGGGGCCCCCTAGGTCCACCCCCCTTTTCAGAGGGCCTAAAAGCACTTAATGTGCTAACATTATCTAACTTTAAGATTCAAGAATCGTAATTTCTTAACCAATGAAATTGCAAGAACTTGTGGTTTCTAGGTGCTCGCCTAGACTTCCCAGGCGCACGCACTACAAATTAGACCACGAGGAGGTAAAAGCGTCTTAACAAAAGTACTTTTTCCCACAGTGCTTGTACTGCACTGCTGCCTTCAGAGCTTCAAGCAGGTCAGCATTAAATCCTGGATCATCCAAATGATTGGGCACTCTTCCTTACCTTTTTGCATCCCAAATCCTTACCCTCGTATTCATTTAAGGTGCTATATGGTCATAATTGCTAAGCACCTCTTCCTGATAATTACCTTACCTTATGGTAGGTGTACCTTTAGCTCAGCATGGTCCTGATATAACTGTCTCCAGTATCTTTAGAGCAGAGTTAGCAAGGAATGCGTCTATAAGACTAAATAAGTTAGGGGGCATACTAAGGCAGAATTGCATAACCACCAGGAATGGGGAGTTTGGAAAGAAGCAGAAGCATTAAAAAAAATGCTACCGTTTGCCGAACCAAAAATGTACAAACCTTCCCAACCCACCTAACCTTTTGCAGTCTATGTATAGTCTTCAGTATTACTGTGCTTTTATTTTGACTAGGCTTTAAATTGATTGGTCTGTTCTGTAAAATGTCCCACGTTAAACAAGAGGAAAGGTTACTCGAACATTTAAGTTGAACAGCGAAGCAAGTACAAAGTTGCCAGACTGAGGTGATTGAAGCATCTCTACAACAAGGTCAGAGAAACATTGGGCAGAGTTTCTTTCACCCTATGCCCCTGTTACCTAGCAGTAAAATAGGTACCTGGGTGTTAGTCAGCTGTCACAGGCTGCTTCCTGGGGGTGGAGGCCTGGTCGAGGACCGGGCCGCGGGGACACTAAAGACCCGAAATCATCTCAAGATAACAAAGATAAGAGAGGTATAGGAAGAAGTTGATAGGATATTCTTGGCAATCTTCTACAGTGGTAGTGTATGGAGGCTTAATGACATTGGGACGTGTTTATGAAAGGTTTTATATTTTCAAAGTGTACCTGATCAACATGGTGGGATATCTTGAGGGGCATATCTTGAGGTTATCTCGAGATGATTTCGGGGCTTTTTTTTTTTGTCCCCCCGCGGCCCGGTCCTCGACCAGGCCTCCACCCCCAGGAAACAGCCCGTGACAGCTGACTAACACCCAAGTACCTATTTTACTGCTAGGTAACAGGGGCATAGGGTGAAAGAAACTCTGCCCAATGTTTCTCGCCGGCACCTGGATCGAACCCAGGACCACAGGATCACAAGTCCAGCGTGCTGTCCGCTCAGCCGACCGGCTCCCTAGGGGCATGGTTGCAAAGATTTTAAAAGTTCTTACACACACACAACATGGGGCCCCCCCCCCCCTCCAGATAACAGGTGCTGAGGGGCCTGGTGGATAGCGCGAAGGACTCGTAATTCTGTGGAGCGGGTTCGATTCCCGCACCAGGCAGAAACAAATGGGCAAAGTTTCTTTCACCCTGAATGCCCCTGTTACCTAGCAGTAAATAGGTACCTTGGAGTTAGACAGCTGTCACAGGCTGCTTCCTGGGGTGTGTGTGGTGTGGAGAAAAAAAAAGTTAGTAAACAGTTGATTGACATTTGAGAGGTGGGCCGAAAGAGCAAAGCTCAACCCCCGCAAAACCCAACTAGGCGAATACACACACAATTTGGTGCCACCCTTTGAATTGTTAAAATATTAGTTGGATCACTTATTTTGTCTATTGTTAACATATTGTAATTATACTGTGTGTATTTTATATAGTTTTATATGTATTATGCCTATTTACAGTAAGAGATTGTATCTTATCAATAGACCATCAATGATTGTAGATTGTTTATGAATAACTTTCATTGTTATAAACATTTCAGGAACCTAAGGCTCCAGTAGAGGAAGTTCCTGCCTCGGCTGAAGTTAAGGAAGAGATTGTGAAGGTAAAGTTCTTATAGCCCTTGTGGCATCTTGAAGGTATGCTTTAAAACACCTGAATGGCTAGTCCCTATCTGTGATTACCTCCTATACTCTTATTGACAAATGTAATTCACTTCTGTGAATTGTGAATACTTTTCTAGAGAGCCAAACAGTGGATCCCTGTTGATAACCATACTATGGTAGCTCCACATGCACCACATCAGCCAGTCATTAAAACCCTCCCAAGTACCAGAGACCAAAACACTATTCCCTCTCCCCCCCCCCCCCCCTTCCCCTTTAGAGGTGCAGAGAGCAGAAATACATGATCACCCTCACTGAAAAAAAAATGGACAATAGGACTAGAGGACCACCCACCACCACAGCCATGGATTTGGAGAGGAAAATCACACAAGATATTACGTAGATACTTTTTTGACTTCCAGTAATCTTTTAATGAATTTGTCAAGACTTGATTGGGGGGCAGCTAATGGCAAAAAGCGTGATCTAGGTGGGAAGGTGGCGAGTACTTGATGGCCAGAAAACAAAAGATCAGTCTAAGATGTGTTAGGCTAGTTTCCCTTGATGTATAGCTAAATATATCTATTCTCTCTTCTCTCTCTAATCCATAGATGTAATTGATGCAATGCTAATGAGGATAATAAAAACTGAGGACTGTGGTGCTAAAAGACCACCTTGGCAAAATAAAGTAATGGGTAAATAATGGCAGGTGGTTGCCAGCCATCTTTGCTCTACCCCTCACACTTTTTCAATCGTTATCTGTGATTTCCTCCAGTTTTCACATTGCCAATAAACGCATCCCCCCCTCCCCATTTGATTTGTTAAAATATACCAGTACTGGGCACAGGGTAATAACGTCTAAATTTAGTGCTATCAATTCCCTTGAAGCTGAAAATATTTGCTGTTCTGCTACTTTCATTGTTACTTGGTTATAAGAATGGGGTTGTTAAATCATGCATGTTATCTCTGGCATGGGGATGGTGGTCACTCATTAGTCCCTCAGCAGGCCAATTAATCCTTTGTAAGATATACTGTAAGCTTCAAACTAGTGCCAACATTTTTTTTATTATGGAAGTGTTATCAGTTTCTCATTAATTGGTTGCCGTTTCCACAATCCTATAGGAGGAAGCTGCACCTGCTGTTGAAACTGCCCCTGTTGAGGAAAAGCCTGCTGAAACTCCTGCCACTGAGCAAGTCCAGGAAGAAACAAAGACTGAGGAGGTTAGTTCCTAATTGTAGTTTTACATTTAATTTGATGGGAAGGCCTTTGAGCAATTTTTGTTTTATATTTTTGCACTTTGGTCACTGTTTTTGTGCTTCTAAACCAGACAGTGGTTCTGCAAATGGGTTTCTTCTCAAAACTGCTGTGATTCCTAGGATTTATGTTGCTTTTGTGTAGATTGCATTTTGATTCACAGGTCTTGTTTGTATTGTGAAGTTTGCCTCGGCCATGTAATTTTTAATATCTAAATGTGTATCTTCTTGCTTAGTCCCTTGGCATTCTATCCTATTAAGTATTTAATGGAACACATCACCACTGCAGCAGCTTCATTAATTATCTTCAAAACTAAATCTATACTGACATGCACTAATAGCTGACAGTGTGCCAGTTGATGCAGTAGTGGTGTGGCTGATGCATGACTGCCTTGTGCTCATGGGTGCCTTCATCAGGTGGAGGGAAGCGTTGCCAGTACGGAGGTTCCTGTTGTAGTGAGTGTGCCCGAGCAGGAAGCTACCCCTGCTCAGGAGACTGCTCCCATTCAGGAGGAGGCACCTGCGCAAGAGTCCTCCCCTGTGGAGGAGCAGGCTCCTCTTTTGGACATTTCTGAACAGGTGTCGGCTCCTCTTATAGAAGAGGCGAGCCCTGTTCAGGAAAGTGCTCCAGTCAATGAGGCAACTCCTGCTCCAGAGTCGACCCCAGTGGAGGAAGTAACTCAGACCACAGAGGCTGAGACCACACACCAGTCACAAGTGGTTGCAACCACAGAGTCCACACCTGAACAGGACTCCACACAGGTGAGGCTCTACCACAAATAATCACACCTTCCATACATTTGAGCTCCTTTCTCCACTTGAGACTATTATGCTACATAGTTATGCTTCACATTTATTAAATTCTTTAGTAATTGTACTGTAATTCTGTCTCGTTAGTTTTGTACTAATCCAGAAATGAGATAGACTAGTTTAAAATTTCTGTACATATTAGAATGGCTTCTATGCTTTTCCCCCTTCTTGAATCTAATTAGCTGTCTCCCCCACTTGCACTACTGTCTCCCCCTCCTTCCCCCCTGCACAAGCACGTGGCACATATTATTTGCCATAAATCTATTTCCACTCCCTTCATCAGTACAGTGTAAGGCAGTTTATTATAAGGTGAGAACCTGTCAGCTTTGTAAATTTGTGCCCTGGTGTTATTTATGGGGCTTCTTGTGGCTTATTTCTAAGTTTATTCTTACTAGTTGGAATGTGGTATAGATTCACCCAATTATTGGCCCTTCGGTATATTTTCACCATCTTTGCTTTTTTTTTTCCTGTTAAGGTGTCTGAGGCTGTTGGCAAGCCTGTGACTGATGATTTAGTGAAGAAGGTATGTTGGGGGTATAATGCACTGTAGTTGTATGTTGACTTTTATTTCTATTGTAGATACAGTATTTTACTTTAAAGATGTGCATGATACTTGTAGATTTATTTGTACCCTTTCCATTTTGTATTTTACATTAAGAACCACCAATTGTTGTGAACTTTTTTTAACAGGTAATGCTTAAATAGTGATTTACTCATACTGGGGTTAAAATTGTAATGTTTGGGATAAAGCCTTAATACTTTTATGTCCTATTCAGTGTGACTACTATAATATCCGAAATCAAAACTGTAAAGTATTTTGGCCCTTTTTTTATATTTGCAACTCTGACATACAGTAGCATGGATATGCAAGCTAGTGTGGAAAGTTAATTGGAAGTCTGTAGTTCAAGGAGTTGGATTCTGAAGTGGAAGCCATGTTGACGCTAGCAGACTCCGCACATGCTTTGGTTGAAGTACAACGGTTAAAGGTTAGGGTAGATGCTATGTAATCTAATGAAAACATCAGATTATCAATGAATATGGATATATAGTTTAATGGGACATGCATTTGCTGTGTAAAATAAAATACTGAATACACGTTTTTGATTGACAGTGCATCCCCCCCCCCCAAAAAAAAAAAAAACCTAAGCAATTCAATAAATTCTGATAACATGTTAAATTTTGTTGAAGGACCAGAACATCTGAACCTGCCACAGCTGGTGTGTAAGTTGAGAATATTATGTATTTAAATGTGTGTGGCCATTAACCAGGACAATTGATGACTAATGGTTGGGTGTGTTATTGAATACTGAATACAAGACATTAGTAAAGAGCGAATAAGATTTTGATCTAGAAAGATTTTCAAACTGAAATGGAATGTAAAGATCAACATTAATCCTATGTTGATTTAACATTGCTAGAGCATATTTAGCTTGCTGGCACAGTGGGTAAGTCTGGGCAAACGATGCTGGTGTTGTACCGAATCAACATTGATGATGATCCTGTATTTTTTAAACTTCACTGAAGCATGTTTTGCTGGGTGGGGTAGGAGGGGGCAATGACAAGACTGCTGGGGGTGCATTATCTTTTGACCTCTTGCAACGCTGCTCAAATTTTCCAGTTTCTTGTGGCAATTCTGTTTTGCTAGGGTTTTAGCACGTGGGTGTTTCTTGTTTTTGGCATTTTTGGTCACGTTTCTTGTTTTGGTTATGCTGGTGTTTCATAAGTTTTGTGTTATGACCATGATAGACCAAAATGGCATCACTGTTGACTAATTGTCAACGGTAAGAATGGTAAGAATGTTAACTTGCCCCTTTTTTATATATATCCCAGTAAAGATGGAAGGTGATTAGTGTTGATAAAGTGCACAGCCTCTGGATACTTATTCACTGCTAGGTGAACATAGACATTAGGTGAAAGAAAAATTTGTGCCCTTCTGGGAATCAAACCCAGGATACTCGATTGAGAGTTGAGGGTATAGACCATTGTACTACAGAGTTGACAGTGAATGCAAAAGTGGTATAAGAAAGGGAAAGGGATAATAAATAATAAAACCTTAAATATGCAGTATAAATAGTTAATTACTTGTACAGTCTTAAGACGTGAAGCTTTATAGAGTTGACCCTTCATGAGAAACTAAAAGTATGTCGGGGTTGTCAACTTGTGGAATACCTGTTCATCTGGGTAGCAGGGATGCTGGTTGGATCACAGATATGCTCTTGGTGATTTGACAAAGTTCATGGGATAGGACTCATTCCTTTAGATATAGCATAATTTGTTTTTCTGCAAACATAAGTGGTAATGCTCTGTAACATGGGTGCTTGTGCCTCTTGCAGGCAATAACTCAAAATTTTGAAATTTGGCAGACTGCTTTCGTAATGCTGTTTTCTCCTGTGTATACAGTACATAATTGAAAGTAGCATCTTGGAGAGATTTGACCATTAACTACAGTATGGAACTGTACTTGTTCATACTGCTGGCCAATAAGTTTGATAATGCAGATAAATATTTATACCCAATTACAGTGCAAATTTAATTGGCATGATTGGATGCGTGTACAGCAGAGCAGCACATTGGTTAATGTTAAAAGGATAATTGTTTATATAATATTGTCATGGAATACACAAGATTCTGACTGGCCTGTCCACAGTAGTGCATCTATGTATATAGTCAAGTCTATAACAGTATTAAATTCATATAATTGCTATAATTTAATAAAAAAAATTTAACTCCTAGTTTATAAAATGATCATACAATTGTTCAATAATTCTATTTTACAAAGTATTCTACAAAGAACTGATGATAGGGGGCTATGATGCGAGCTAGTGAAAATGTAATATCAGGACCTGAGTGAATGTGTTTACGTGGCTTACAGTACACACTTTTGATGTCACCCTAGGTAGATGTACCTGGTGTAATAGTAACTTGCCTCATGGCCAAGTTTGGGTTAGTCTTGGCCAGGTGGATTGGTTATGCTCCAATCTTTAATGGTTTGCCTCTGTTCGCCCAACACTAATTTGATACCTTGTTTAGATTGGCAAAGTTATGTTTTGGGGAAAACTAGTGGGCAAGGCTTGCCATGATCTATGGGAAGGGAGAAAGTTCTCGGCTTGTTAACGAAGTCGGAAGGTACCTCCTACTGTAGTCACTTGTGGGGGAGAAGCACGACTTGACTGCCTGAAAGTTAGAGGGCAGGTAGAAGTGTCGCATTAACTTGTGATTTGCACGAGTAGTCTTCTGCTTTGTGTTCAGACTGTTCTGTGATAAGCCACAAGAGATGGCCAATGTGTGTAGATTTTTCTGGGTTACTGTTACCTCCAGGTAGACTAGAAATTTGGCAATACTAATATTTAGTAAATTACACAGTTGTGCGTATTGAATGTGCATGTATATCATGGATTTGGTGTGCACTATCGTATTGATCCCTTCCAGTATTGAACCTATACTTACAATTGAAGGTTCATGCACAGGATGACAAAGAAATTTGTGAAATCCTAAAAAAAACATCTGCTATTTTTTAGACTCCAGTGAATATGAAAGTGGAAGATACTGTTTTTGAGTTATATCATATTGATGGATGATGTCATTGATTATAGCAGTGCTGTCATGGCTCAGGGGTCATTTAATTAACCTTGTGTAACCTGTGGTAGTCAAAATCCATTACTTTTTTTTTCCTCTACCACAGCCACACAATTACAATGCTAACCAGCATATATACATTTTCTTCTGTCCTCTATGGACAGGGTGAGAGATTTGTTAAACATATAGTTCAGGGATTTATTGAACAATCAACCACAGAAGGTAATTGTAGTGCTTTTAAAATTCTAAGCTAACCTACATACATAAAATCCAGTACTGGCCATTTCTTACCTTTAGTTGATATAGTCGTTTTGCTTGGTTCCCAGCCACATTGGTATTACCTTAAATGGCTGTGCAGATGCTGCTGTTAAGGAGGCTATTGCAAGTGTTCCATTTATCAAACATTCCTTGTGTAGATATCTACCCAGTCATTCATTCATCTATTTGCAACCATGGGCAGGGTTGTTGGTCTGGTGTTAGGAGGGTAACAAACTATACAATCTTAAAACTAGCCTGTACCATTGGCTGTCCTTACCAATGTAATCAGCACTTTGAAATGACTCTGGCTAGGTTACGTATCTGCCATAAATGCTTAACTCACTGGGCACTTGATAAAACGTTGCCCTACTTACTGTCCTCATTACTTACTTACTTACTTGGTCCGCCATTACAGTCGTATACCTCCTGTAGAATGTCTCGATTTTTCAGCACATTTTTCAAAGCTTTCCTAATGTTCTCTCTAAAATACTTGGCGAATCTGATACTTTCGATATTGCTTGCCTTGTATGCCTTTCTCATATTGGTATCCTTGGTGATATTTAGTGCCTTTTGAACATCCTGCAACACTGATTGAGCTACAGTCTCTCCCCACCTTGGTTCCTTGTTTTGACAGTTACTTCGAAAAGGCATTCAACAAGTGGCCATGGAGTGATAGCCCATAGAGAGAGAGAGAGAGAAATAGGAATAACAGGTAAAGTAGGGTGTTGGATTTGCAATGTTCTGTCCAACAATGCAAAGAGCAAATCAAACAAATAGTCAAAGGGCCAAGTGCAGTAAAAAGTTCTGTACTCCAGGGCACAATCCTGGCAGCACTGCTTTCCAATTCACATCAGATATAGACAAAACTAAGTCACAGCATCCTGTCATCCTTTGTAGACATGCAAAATTCAGTGTGAAAATTTCTTCTAAAGACACTGGAAAAACTAAGAGCCGATATTATTAACGTTTTCGATTGGGAAATGAAAGATAACATGTTCAGTAGTTGGAACTTCCAGGTTCTTTGGTATAATAGAAATGAACTCGAACAAAATAGAAAACACAGACCTACATATAGATGGAAGACGTGAATTTTTGGGGGGAATTTGTCTGACGACTTGACATTTAGTGATTATAACATAGCAAATGTAGCAACAGCCAGGGATAGGATTGATTGAGAACATTTAAATCGAGAGATCCCATCACAATATTAATACTATCTAAATCACTGGTGCTGCCCTGCCTTGAATACCGCTTGGTACTTCAGCTTTCAGATCGAGAGAGATGTCTGAAAGAGGGACTATAAAAAATATGCAGCACTCATAGAAAAGACAAAGCACCTAACATAAACTCTCAAAGTGCGTATGCACGCGCGTGTCCATTTCTCTCTCATATGTTTCTCGTATTTATATATGTGCATGATACAGCACAATGTTGAAGATTCGCTACTTGGAACAAAAAGTTCTAAATAGTATGGGCTATGGTGAGCCCGTAGACGTCTTTTAGTTGCACCACAGAATGAAATTGGAAGCTTTAGTCTCTTGGACAGACCTTTTTCAAACTTCTGATTTCATTCTTCTTTTGTGGTGTGTTCTAACAAGCAATTAACTCCATTTTTTTAATAGGTTTGTTGTTTAATATGTTTTTAATAGGTTATTGCTTGAAATGCCTTGGAATAATGAACTTTTTGTATTTTACAGAAAACTGAAGCTGGAGAGAAGGTTGAAGAGTAATAGGATTCTCTGTGCATTGCCACAAGCCATTCCACCATCAAGCTTCATCATGCCCCCCCTCCCCCCTTCCCACCCCTCCTGGAGTCAGGAATTATGTCAAGCAGCAACACAACCTCGCTATAGTGGGTTGCCAAATTAGTTGTTCCCCCAAGATATTTCAGAACACGTCCACTCTTTTACCAGCTATTAGTATTAGCCTTGTATTTAATCTCTTGGAGAATATGTATTCAATTAGTCCTCGAGTTCTTAAATGTCGATGAAGCCTGCAGTATGGGGCTTTTGTCGTCAGTGTGCACAAATGAGAAGTGATTGATAGTAGTGTTGCTGTGCCTTAACACGTCATGTGTTCACATTTGGCCAGTGTGGAAGTTCTGCAAGCCAGGTATCTTGGGGGGTAAGAGGATAAATTCTAAAAGACTCAATTTTGTGTTACCCAGCCTAGACACACTGATTAGTCTTAAGCGGAGATATCACAAAATTTATACTATTATCAGTATATGCAGCAAGACTTCATTTTGAATGGTGTACTGTATAAATACAATGTGGGGCAATTTAGCCTCGTTGTGACTTGGTATACCAATAAGACCTTAAGTGCGTATCGCTGCAAAAGTGAAGTGATTGGCAAGCCCACCCAACCACATTCTTCCCGTTTCGTATGAAGGAATTTGTGATTTTTCTAAGCTCTGTTGAATGGATTTGTGTGATGCATCATTTGACGTGGTTCTTTTAAATTGTTGTTTGTGAGGGGAGGAGCGTGGTTGGGACGAGAGGGACCTTTTTGTATAGTTTGTATTATGCATTGTGAATAAGGATGAAATTTTTTGCTAGATCAAGAAACTATTATTAAAACCTAGTGTAAATTCTAGACGACAAAAATGAGTTATTGTATTAGTAATGCTTATAATTTGGCAGTACTTTTGTAAGTTGAACGAGACACTTATGATTTTATACCCAAATCTCTCGTTAGGATATCTCTGTATTGCTCATGTAGTAATTTTTTTTTTTTTTTTAAATCACTGCTGATATATTAAATCTAGTTTACTTGATTGTTCCATGACATGTGCTTCTGCCTGTTAGAGAATAAGGCCTAAGCACCATAAAAATTGCTGTTGCATCATATTACCCAGTTTGGAATTTGGGATTTTTCTTCTGCAGTCTCTCCTCTAATCATTTAATTAGAGCTAAAATGTTGGTATGTGCAGAATGGAATAATTACAGCATTTTTGATAGTATATTTAACTAGATATAACCAACCTCTTTGCTATTATAAACACACCAAAATTTTTCTTGTAAATTATAAAAATAGTTCTTTATTTAATTTTTAAGTCATTGTATGCAAAAGCACTTCAATTAAAAAATAAAATCTCTTTTAGTATTTAATTTTTATGGAGTTACATAATATACAGAAGAAAGTTTGCACAAGACTTTTTGTCCTGGCATTGGCAATAAGCAAAATTTTACTGGTGCTTTGCTGTTTTTATGATATCTTGATTTGCCGTGTAATAAAGGATATTAAGAAGTTTACACATTGTAGTATTGTTGTTTTATTGTCACATTAACAGAACATTTACACCCCCCCCCCCTTGTCAGTTCACCCTTGGTGACTCCAATGTCATTGATGTTGTTTGTCTGCTCTCACTTTGGCATTAGGTGATGGCGTTTCAACATCTGTGACGGTGCTATAGTCTTGACCTGGCTGGGTGGTTTTTGATAATTACTTGCAAGAAAACTATAAATTTTATGAGAAGGTTTAGTTGCTTGAAGATCAACTAGCCTAAATACTAGTTTCTTGAATGTAATTGCAAAAAAATAATTAGGTACTAAAGAAATGGTAAAAAAAAAATTTTTGCTAGATGGAAATTAATAGCAGGAAAGTTTGTACGAAAAGTTACTCAAAAGCACTTGCTGTACTTCCTGGAGTAGACAAGATAACTTTTTTTAATTAAAATTCCGTGGATTAAAAATTTCACGACTTTTTAATCGTGGAATTTTTTTAATCTAGGCCAATCCGAACCTGTACAATCCATACTGTAACAAGGAATGTTAGGAAGTGTAACTGGATTGTACCCGAATGGGGTTTCGAGAGTTGTTTTCTCCTGGCCCGGCTAAGCCCAAGTGAAATCATGGTGCCACAAGCACAATTGGAGTGCTGTTGGCACCATGGAAGTGAAAGAAGTGCTAGACCAACCCAGTTGTTGTGAACGTGTGGGCCTGCAGGCCACTCAAAGCAGTTTTGGGCCACCCCAAACTCTAATCATGGCCTCAGGCCAGGATTGGAATAGAAAAACTCGAAACCCCCTCTAGATAAACAGCAGTCTGTTGGACTAATTTATCATAAGTCGAGCCTAGCTGCTGGCCATGCTTGGGGAGTAGAACAACTCTCGAAATCTTTCCAGGCATAGTCGGCTGACTATATCTGGACCAAATAGTCCATCCTTTGCACCCCTGAAGTCTTTGATTTTTGCTTAACTATGTTCTCAAACAGTACACCATTGTTACTGGCTCTGAAATTTCATAATCTTTTTTCGGTCTTCTCCATCCCAAGTTACGATGCCCATGGTCAGTCACCACCTGCTGCTCTCATTTCTTTAACATTTGTTCAACATTCACTTCCACAGTATCCACGTGTATTGCTCTTGATGTATCATGTTAACTGCATGGGTTTCTCCCAGTTTATTTTTCAATTTAAATCTTAACATAATGTATTGTTCTCAATCTGGAGGATATTGTAACTGATAAAATTGTTACAGCTGTTTCACTGTTAATTTAAATGATTACCAGAGTCTTCTGTTGTTCACTGGTGGATTCTTCACAATTTCTGCAAGTTTCCTATGATTCTTGTAATGAACTGATGATTGTCTGTGTGTTAATTTTTATGCCTGCCTACCTTGGGACTGGAAGATATCATAAATTAAGGTAATTAAAAATTAACAAATGATCCCCTGCCTCATGCTGTGAAAGATGATTTTTTTTTTCCTATTTCTGCAACAGGCCTGCCTGCCTACTGCCCTTTGAAAGAACCTAACATCTGCAGCAGATCCAATTGTCCTCCAGACATGCAGCAAGCCACCAGTTTCCACCCTCCATGGACTGGATGGCAAAACATAGGGATGGCTAGAGGACTGGGTCGGAAGCGAGTCTTGATTTTTTTTCTGCCGATTCATTTACTACATTGGAAAAATGTGGTAAAACCGTGCATTGTGTGCACAGTAAACAAGGTGCACCTGCTGCCAATTCACAATCTTTCATCACTCACATGTTCACCCTTTCAACTACAATATCTACTTTTATTACTGCATATAAAAATTGGCATCTAGTTTATTTTAGATAAGGCATTAAAAGCCCATTGAATTTGATCAGTGTGTATCAAATTTTCATTCACACCTTTTTTACACTGGCCTGCCAGTTACTCAATTGACAAACTTGGTCCCAAAGACCAATGAGTTGGACAAGATGATAGTGCCACCCGTTAAGTGGTTTAGCATCATCCATTTACTCGTCTTTACTATTGTAAAAAATATATTGTACATGTGTTTACATACTAAATTATGGAGTATTTGGATATATGCTTAATTAAAAACAACTGTTTAGGTGAATTTTAAAACTTGATAGACGAATGTGCAAGAAAGGTTAAAGTACACACACTTTACATTTGATAAAATTTCTTTTGAGTTTAATGTACAATTCATAGCAGTGCCAAGCACTTGTTTAAATAACTTTACTAAAATGTATAAACAGACACATCGACGTCAACATGAGCCAAATGTCTTGTAATGATCTTGTTGTGGGATCCAAGTGCATTCATTTCTAGCAGAAGTTGAAACCTATCTGGTCCCAACACTGGCTGTACAAGTCGCAACCACCCTACAAGAAATTTTTGTTTACAGTATTCCATTATATATGCAGAAAGCAAGTCAAAATAATGTGGCTGATGACACAATTGCATCCCCACACATGAAATAGTGACTGTCCTGGACCCTTATGCCCCACAATGGTCCAGGATGGACTGCAGTCACTTTCATCTCCTGTGTGGGTTATGGTATATGTTATATAGCTTTAAAGTAGGTTTGTCATAAAAGCGGCAACTTAAATTGAGAAGCCTTGTGTGCAAAGTAGTAAAAGTTTGTTGATCAAACCACACACTAGAAAGTGAAGGGACGACAATGTTTCGGTCCGTCCTAGACTATTTTCAAGTAGATTGTGAATGAATCTACAATCGACTTGAGAATGGTCCAGGACGGACCGAAATGTCGTCCCTCCACTTTCTACTGTGTGGTTTGGTAAACATATTTCAGCCACGTTATTGTGACTCCTTGTCTGTATAGTAAAAGTTTGTTATTAAAGGCATGGGCTACACTTCCAACCTATTATCTCAATTTGCCACTAAATTAAAAATACAACTTTTTTTTTGTCTAACCAGAAATGTATGAATACAAGCAACTAATCTGACCCATCAAGGTTGTTGCACCATAATACTGAAGTTGTACATGCTTTTTTTTATTATTATTGTCACATTTTTAATATATTTGTTGATGCCATTAAAATAAATGGTATCAGTATACCATATAATGGTATCAAAATGTCAAGAGGCATTTAGCAGCAATATGATGGGTTGGATTTTGAATCCAATTTTAATTATTTGTGATTAGAATGGGGAATGTTATGAGTAGTTAATATGGCCCAGATATATTCTTGTTTTTACTATAATCACCATAGTAAATTCCTGCCTAATTTGCATTTCGATGCACAGATTTTCCTTGTCAGTGACTACTGATCAGCCTCTTATTGTAGTTATCATTATATGATTTAAACATTTATTGTCTGGGTTTTCATATACAGTGTGATAATATTTTATCACTTTTTTTTTTTTTTAGTATTTACATCCACAATCTGTGAAGCGTCCAAAGGCTTCCACTGGGTGCACACCCAGTGAAACGGTATTCACATGGTTTTGTTTTTTTCTTACATTCAGCATATAAATGAATAATTCTATAATGAAAAATTATTTCTTTTACTTTTTCTATTTTGTACATGGCAGGTATTACTATTTCTCCCTTGCCAATGTCCAAGGATTAAATCTTGTAGACATTTTAGTTGTGTGAGATTTTGCTTACTCAACTGTGGCTGGTTCAGTTCAGGTTACTTGTTGTAAAAGTGCTATGGCCCGTTCAGTCTTCCCACCATTCTAGTGCAAAATATCAGCACTTTGCTTTGTGAATGTCCCAGAATCTCTAGCGATCTTTGAATGGAGTTTCTAGGACTGATGTATCACCACAGGTAAGGGCAGCAGGTAGTGTTAATACTTTGGACAACTACAGGCATCCTCTCATAAGCAATGATAGGTAGTTTAGTAAGCTCTTTACCAGCATCTTGCTCTGTCAAACTTTCAAATTAATTTTCTTTTATGGGGAACCCTTTCAAAAGCAAAAGTTCAGATAAATGCAGTTTGTACATCAAATTACTACTTGTACAGTTTACATAACCATGTAAACTTAAGAGATCTTTTATGCAAAATGTTACTGATCTATATCTGTAAAACTGACGGATTGTGCGGGATTGAAACATCAAATCTGCATCAAAATTTGATGCAGCTTCTTGGGTAAATCCTTTCTGAAAGGGGCTGTAACAGGCATATTTGTTGTAGTTATGCAGTAATATCCTGCAAGTTTGTGCATCACATAAAAATAAGGCATGTGGTGAATATTGAATAATAATAATGAACTGCAAAGACTTTAATTCCAGTGCTAGGCATAAAGAATACCAAATGCATTTAACATTAATAAATAGAAATAGCATCACACTCTACCCCAGGTTATGTAGTGTACCACATTAATAATTATAGTCGCGGGTAGATTATGGTAAATTGTTAGACTAGGGTCGTGGTGGCCAACACACACAATAGAGGAAACCTAATTATTTGAAGGTGAATAATGTTGCCATCATAGATGTCATAAATATCTGGTAAGAAGGGTGGACCAGCAAATGTGAGGTGGTAAAGGATGTTAAAATATGTATGCACACTAAGGTTTATTGGGGAAATGGGATATAGGAGATCCCCTATAAAGGGGGATTTAAAGGAGATTTATAAGGGAAAAGTATGAACATACTCACCAAATCTATTCATGTTCCACACATCAAAGCAGTTCCTGTTATTTCCACTTAAAATTCTGTAGTTTGTTCTTGTAGCGTGGCCTGTCCTTCCACTCACAAAACGCAACGTTGTCAGGGGCTGGTGGGGGACGTGACCATTACAATAAAAATAATTTTGCCTAAAATATTACTATTATAATAATTTACATATATGTATACTGTACTATATTATTTAAAGAAATTAAAGTTAGTGGAAGAGATTGAGATGTGAAAGGAGAATGGGAATACTGATCAATTTAAGACTTCTGGATCTTATTAGTTCGAATAATAAGGGCAAATACCATATTTGTTGGTGGATAGGATGCATGGTTTATGGTCCTCGACCAATCGTGTATACATTTTGCGTGCAAAAAATCGGTTTCCCTTTAAAATAACTTTTAGGTATGTTTTGTCATACTGTACATTTAAACATTTTTTCCATCAATTATCTTTGTAAATTATAGGTGCATCTTGTATGCCAACATGTACTGTAATTGATAGTGTGAATTAGATGGTGATTAAAGTAAGGTAATGGTAGAGTTGGTGAGAAAATAAGAATGATCAAATCGGGAAAGGTGAATGAGCTGAGAATCTCTAAAATGTGTATGAAAATCAAGACAGAAGTAATTGAGAATATATGACTAGGCCAAACTTAACCACATCATTATGAAAAACAAGAACACAGTAACAGCCATTACCCGATAAATCTTACCATGGGCTTTGGAACGTAAGAAATCGATGGTAGGGAATAAAACGAGTACAAGACAGTGTGCGTATTGTTAGCGTGGCATTCTCGGTCATTTTGTGGACATCTCTTCTTGCACACAACTGTGCCTTCTTGCTGATAAATGCTGTTGGGAAGACAGCAGATAAATTTGGATTTGATCAAACTTCAAAATAATAATAACCATAATTATAATTACACAGTACAGAAGGCCTGCTAAAGTAAGACTTGGGACTGATGATAAAAATTGATAAGAAATGACTAAACAACTAGAAATTTATCACAAATCTGATTACTGATCTATTTATTTTATATCATTAAATGACAATACCTAGTATTTTAGTAATACAAGAGGTTAACTAGAAGATGAAAATTACAACTACAGGTTTAATAAAAACACTGGTACACTATTGTTAATGCTACAAGCTGGGGTGGACACCGGTATTCAGAAATGGGGAACATGGAGAGCCAATGTAATCAGTGATGGATGAAGCAGGTAGCTGTCCCTGTAGCGAGGCGACTTGACTGCGGTGATGCTAGTAGAGCAGTTGGAGGATGAATTGTCGCTTGCTTTACATGAAGAAAATATCCTTTGGATGAGGTGTTAGTGGGGGCAGGAGAATAATAAAGTTTAAAAGAAAGTATTTTATTATGAGTGGCAGGACTTAACCCAGCTGCTTGCTTGCTTGCTAGTAGTAATGTTTGTTGCAGTTTTGGAGACAAAGTACTAGTAGAGATTTCTATCTTTCACCAATCATGAGAGCTTTGTTTACATTTATTAAACAGTTTGAGCTCTGCAGCACTACAAGGTTGTTTGTAACAATAATAACCTTGGGTTGTGAAGTTTCCTCACTCATAAATTTTAATATATGTAAACAAAGCTGCCATGATTGATGAGAGATAAAAGTTTTGTAACTGGTTGTGTAAATACTTGATGAATCCTGGCCCAGGAGGCTGGACATGTGTTCATGAGGGACTGCACGTTCCATCTGACACAGCAGAAACAATGTTGGGCATCTTTCTATAGGATTCCTAGCCCACTGCAAGTGACACACTACCCTACCAATTCTATTTGGAAGATCTCTGACCATAAAGTGAACAGCAATCAATAATGAATTATGATTAACTATTGATTGCTGTACACCTTAAACCAAAAGAAAACAGCAGTTTGTTGTTGAAGGTGGATACCAGGCTAGTAATAATGGTAACGTTAACAGTGCCATAGATGGTAAAGTTGCCTTCTCAGTTTGGAGGTTTAATTCATTTAATCTTTACACTGCTCCATTCACTATCTGATTTGCTTGCATGTGCAAATCACATGGGTGTTAGGGTGCGAAAGAAAAAATAAATTATACTGCCCCCTAAAATAGCAAATCTGTTGTTGTAGGGGATGCAGGAAGACGGACTTACCAGGATGCCACAGGTTTGTCATTTTGCTGTGAGGCTTTAGCCACTCGATATGTCTTGTGTGCAGTCGGCAAGTACTATGAGTAGACATGTTGGGATCCAAAAGATTGGAGGTTCATAGTGATTTTAATGTAGAAATCAACTGAATAACCCTCATGGTAGGAATTTTAAATAGGTTAGGACTTTTAAATAGGTGTGTCATTTAACCACTGCACTGCACACTTACTTAATAAAACTTCATGATTTGCACAAAAAAAAAAAATGTATGTAGTCATGGAGAAAAAATGTAAATTTGTAAACAAGTTTGTATGTAGCTGCTTCGTATGTCATGGAGAGAAGAAAATTGCGATATAACCAATTCATCAGTGCTGATGGATGAGATACCCTGTGAAAATTGCTTGGCAAGGTGGGTAGTGGGAGTTGCAGTATGTTAATTTCAGCATCACTGATTAGTTTTTTCACTACTTTTTTGAAGTTATATGCAATATGTAGAGTGTAATTTGAGAAATATATGTAATAAATTGTGCAGAACATCAATACAGAACATCAAGTCACTAATATGTACATAATACTGTATTCAAGTACAGTATGTTTATTGAGACAAGGAAAAAAATACATCTCAAAGGGATAGAGTAGCTTAGGCTATTTTTACCCCACTCTATATACTGTATTATGTTCTTTGGACAATAAAACATGCTTTTTTCTTTTGCTATTATTATGCTGTTTACACGTTACATGTAGTGATTACATCTATTGCTCCGTTTGGAACCACTAAAAGCAGGCCTGGCAAGTGATATTCTCATAACCACAATCCAAGGTCAGCCTAGCACCACACACATCTTACACCAAATTGTAAGTATACGCATTGAATGCTTGATTTTTCTCACATTTTTATTGATATTACCTTTTTATTTTTTCAAGTGCTGTGATACATTGGGCTGTCAGCACAGTAATGTTATTTTTATCACAGTGTAGAACATCAGTATGCATAGATATATGTCACTAATACTATGCGCACAATATTATATTTTTTGAACAATAAAACGTACAGATTTTCTAAAGGAACATTAGGTCACATTTCATGAAACGTCGATACTGTACATGGAACCACAGCTGTCAATGTGTGCCTCCTGCTGTAAACATCATAACCAGCACTTTGTTCACCTACAGTATATCTGAACCCGGAACATAGTCTGTCAGGTTCATCTATAACACTATTATCACAAAATAATTGCAGTTACTTATTTTATTCAACATTATCAGCTGCATTTGCACTGCACATTACCCTGAGCTGCACAGCAGTGCTGTGAGCTGCTGCATACACTACCCTTGGTTGCTCATTCGGTGCACTCTGTCGTGCTGACATCTTTTTCCCAATGGTATCCATTTACTGGAGGCCTGAGGATAATGATGTGAGCCCTGTATTCACCTGGTTGCATTCACCTAGTTGTGCTTGCAGGGGTTGAGCTCTGCTCTTTTGTCCCGCCTCCCAACTGTCAATCAACGATCAATGTATATATCCTTTTCTCACTCGCCTCATTGTCCCCCATCAAGCCCTTAGTGGCCTTGATGGGGACAGGAAACCCTAGTGGCCTTTATGGGAATAAGAAGTCGGAGGTGTGTCGAAGGTTACATTACCTTTGACATTATTACTATCAATATTACTATTATACAGTAATGTACAATATTTCAGATACAAATGAAGCCCTTATTGGTTAAATAAAAGAAAATGTGTACTGTATTCTATAAATATAATATTGTAAAGATTTAAAAAAATTAGAACAATAAAGATCACATTAAATTTTTAATAATACTTCTTGACCTGTGTGTTTGTATACATTGACGTTTCTTTGTATTTTTGTCTTGTACTACGTGCTTGCTGAACCAATAACACAAATTACTCTACCAATGTTTTAAGCTCTCGTTTCAAATCTCTCTACACTTGACAGTAGACTGAGGAAGGAGTCTGCATTTTACTGTCCCTCAATGGAGGAAAGTTTCTCAAGAAAACAAGATGCCAAAGCTATGTAAGAAAATGTGTGCCTGTCTTAACCTGCTTGAATTAAGACTCCTGCACTAGGCCAGATTTCATGTCATCACTTAGGAGATTGCCAAACTTTAATCCTCAATGGCTAAATTGCAATTCAATACAAATCAATAGTGAACAAATTATTTTAATTCAAATAAAGTATGTAATGTAATACTGTATTGTAAAATACAGTTTACATCTATAATATAAATTATAGCCGAATCAAGAATGACAGTAACCATTAGAAAATGTAATTAATGTAGCAGGAAAAGTTAATTATACAATGTACAGTACACTAAATTTTCATTGGCAATTTTACTTTTTAAAGGCAAAAATCTTCAGCTTGTTTGGTATGACTTGTGTAGTCATTATTAATGAGGTCAATTTGTATGCAAATTAGCCACAGTAGTAAGTCCAGCACTGAATATTTGAAATATAGATGTGGTAATGTTACCTAATGGAATGCATCCATAAACTTATTACAGTACAAGCAAACATCTCTATATTTTAATGTGTGCTTTTTCTTGGCTTTTATTTTTGTATCATTACCTGTAATCCTAGACCACTGAATTTGTCACCATAAATACCTGGAAAGTTCAGAAAATGTCACTGATGTGACAACCCACATATATGAAATGAAAGTGACAGTGTTTTGGTCTGTCTTAGACCTTTATCACGTCACAACTTGATAAGGGTCCAAGATGGACCAAAATCATCACTTATTTCATATGCTTGGGTTGGGTTACCTAGTAAGCCTTGTAATGATACAGAAATTAGAAATCATACTCAGAAACATAAACCAATAGTTTAGCTATGGCTGATCCACTGTATTTTCCCTGCTGATATAATTGCATATTGAGGGCTAGCTGTATCTCCTGGGGACCCGATACTGACTTTACAAGAGATATGACTGCCTGATTAAATGAGGTTCGTTTGAGGTAGAAAAACTGTCTGGTGGCAGCTTCAACTCCTACTGGAGCCCTAGCAGACTCCAACTCCAGCTCGAATTGCACTGTGGTGGACGACCACAGTGGCCCCCGCATGGTAAAGAGGTCCACCTGCCCCGACGATGGTAAGGTCAAGTTGCTGACCAGTGGCAGGAAGTTGTAGGAGTAGCTGACTGGCTTACGGTGACAGGCCTCATCATCTTCGAGGCAGTACAGGGAGACCTTCTTGCATCGGCTGCAACAAGCATGAGAAATCTGCAGACAACACCTCAGGAGAATGTAAAGATGGCTGCTTAAAAATCAAGCGTTGAATGTAATGAAATGCCCTATTCTGGAGGGCCCTCGGCAGCTCCCTGTACCTACCGAGGGCCTCCCAAAAAACACTGGCTATAAATCAAGCCATTTAATACCTCGGAAATGATGAATAGTTGTTCTTGTAATTTTTATTGGTATATACATCATATACTTTAAATTCCTTCACAGGAAAATACAAATGTTATCGTGTGCAAAATTAATTCAAACTTTAGATTAAGTTGCAGATTTCTCAATATGGTTAAATGCTATGGCATTAGTACTTTTTAGGCAAACTATAATATAGTAGTATAAATAATTTATGAGCAGAAAAAGGTAATCAAGCTAGCAAATATTAATTATGCAGTACACACAAGTTGGGTGTTCATTAATCCTTAAACAGCTCGGCTAATTAAGTCCTATGTCTTGGTGGGCATGACCAAAAATAGTTCACAAAACTAAAATCTCGCATTTTGAGTCATGCACAGGAAATAATTACAGAAAATTATTTGAGCCATGTAAGGGTTAATGTTGACATACTTAAATTATTTGTAACAAGCCAAGATGCTGTATAAAATGAAAGTAAGGCAATGTAAGTTAATCATTATTTACAAGATAAGAAAATATTGAGGCTGAATGATAGGATCGAACTCTCGTTCCTGGACTCCTTGGGCATGTGCATTTCCGACGGAATCACATGACCTCTATTTTCTGGTAAATACTTCATGTTCTTGTGATTTCAGTGTGCATTTACAAGATACCCTGAACAACGATCAAGTTGGTATGAACACAAAAGATCAGTTGGTCCAGATTGGCCTCAAATTTATAATAATGGAAATAATGAAGATGCATTGATAAACTGCTAATGATAGTCTCTAGAAGAGCCACAATGGTGGTTGCAGTATTTGCTATTCTTCCAAACACTAAAATTTTAGTAAATGGTATTTTTCTATTCCTAATCAACAACTGTGTGCTCTGTGTAAGCCTTCTTACAAGCTTATTCATACTGCACTAGCGTATATATTATCTTCCAGAATGTGTGATCAAATAATGTTTTCCACACATTCTCATTTCTCTTAGAAAGTGGTATCTGCTTTGTTTTGATAACCTAAGCATAATGTGCAGTTCTTCAGTAATGTTTAATGAAAAAACCCAGCGTTGAATGTAATGAAACGCTATTTTCTGGGCGAGTCCCGGAGGCTCACCCAGAAAATAACAGGAAATGCAAAAGTCCTATTAGCTCGTACAAGATGCCTCAGATGAGCCAATAGGAACCAGCTCCTACGAGGCAGGTCCTGTGTATTCCCATGCAAACACATTCATGACCAAACCAAACATCAGAAAATGCAGAAATGTTTCGGTCAAAATTTCTGTATTGTTTTGAGGGTAGGTTAGACATGTATATATGAATGTGATTACAGACGAGTCACAATAACGTGGCTGAAGATACGATGACCAAACCACACGTCAGAAAATGAAGAAACTGACATTTTGGTCCATCCTGGACCATTATCATGAGGTAATGATCCTGGATGAACCAAAATGTCAGTTTCTTAATTTTCTGACGTGTGGTTTGGTCATTGTATCTTCTGCCACATTATTGCAACTTGTCTGCAAACATATTCATATATGTCTAACCTACCCTCGAAACAATCCAGCAATTTTGCATGTGTTAATTGGTAATTTGTTCCATAAATCAACAACCCTGTTTCTCACTCATTTTCTTCGTATGTCCAAATTAGTCAAGAAAGTTGTCTTTGCCTTCTCTTGAAACTAGCAACTCATCACTCTTCTCTCCTATTCCACATCTATACACAGTATGTGTTGATTGCAAGAAGGAAGGAATGGAGGCAAGCAGACCTTTTTGGGAGAAAAGCTGATATTTTGAGCCACATGTATTTTTAATTTTAATTACATGTGGCTCAAAATATCAGCTTATAGTGTTGTAATATTAATTTAATTAATATTACAACACTATACCTCTCTCTTTCCAATCTCATCACTTGCATGCACTAAATTACTTGAATTCAATAGGTTGAATTCATTCTCTCTCTCTCTCTCTCTCTCTCTTTCTCTTTCATATTATTATTATATATTATATATATATAATAATAATATATCTCTTATCCCTTGAACAATTTATTCCTATCGAGTACAGCTACTGTATACACTTACCTGAAAATAATTTTAAAATCTCTAGAGAAAATATGGTGCGCACAATATAAGTTAATATCCACAAGACTTTAGATCCCGATTGCTCAGTACAGTGGGCACTTGTTTGCTTTTGATAAAAACATCATAACTTTTGTGTGAACAAATAAGAAAAACAAAGTATAGTACTGTACACAGAAATTGTTAGAAATTGTAAAGTCGTATGTATGCTAAACTTCAGAATTCTAGCATACCTTGATAAACTGTACGTGTAATGCATTTTGTTTTTATAATCTTGAAAATTTAAGTTTGAAAATTACTTAAATCAGGTTTAAGTAATTCATAATGAAAAGTGGTTCTCAATGGACACGGCACAGCCAGAAAGTTACTACCAGCAGATAGATGTAAATTGACTGATACCGGCCATTATTTATGTCCATTACGTGTAAGATTACAACATTAGTTGTGGGTAGAGTACTCACTTTTTATGTCTGGTGTCACGGATGTAATTATTAGGGCAATTGATGGTGTTGCACTTGTATCCTCCGTGTGTATTAACGCAATGATCGTTTTCTTCTCGGCAAACATTACTCGTTTCACACTCGTTTATGTCTGCAATAATATCAATATTAATTATATTTTATTTATAAATACATAGGAACATGTTACACCCAGTGGGCATGGATGGCTGAAAGCAACCAATGTTACATAACTGTGACATCAGCCATTTTCAACCAATAATATTCACTGGGCAGTGGTTACATTGTAGGTACAATTATACATTGTATAAAGCCACTAATTATATACAGCATTTTAGGTTGTGCATAAAATATTTTTGTTAATATAACCATGGCTAATTAGGTATTCTTGATAGAAATATGTAGCTTTGCCATGCTCATATTTTTTGTACCATTATTCTTTTGCATTATTTTCATGCAACATCAAGAATGAATCATCATACTGTCATCTTGAAAATGGACAATGTAGCTCATTGTACTGAAGGGCATTGAGCAGCGATGATTATTGTGGGGTATGTGAGTGTACTGGGTATACCAACATCTCAATTAACAGTTTTTTTTATGTTCAATTTCTGTACTAACAGACATTAGGTATCTTTGGTCAAGTTTCTACCAATTAAAATTACCTGTTATAATTTTAGATGGACCCCTTGTGATCCCTGAACATAAATTCTGGGTAAATACAGAACTTAATCCCAAAACCATCATACTGTATATAGGGGTACCTTGGTTTAAGAATTTAATCCGTTCCTGGAGACGGTTCATAACCCAAAAATTCGTAAACCGAAGCGAATTTTCCCATAAGAAATAATGGGAAATGAATTAATCCATTACCGACTCCCCAAAAACTTCACTTCAACGTAAATTTTATATCTAATTCACCCAAATCTTCACTACAAAAGTATGTTCAAGTTATTACTTACCCTTGCTGATGACTTCTGTTGGCGTGGCAAGGAGGAGAGGTGTTACTGTTTGGAAGGAGAGTCCCCTTCCATTATAACATTAGGCAGTGAAGATTTCTCTGGAGTGCACTCTGGCACATTTTGCCTGCATACCACTAGGTCCTGGTTGTGGCTCACTGCTTGATTTTCTCACAAGGAAACATTCCATTAAAGATTGTTTTTCCTTTCTTTGCAACACTTGTTTATCGTGAGGCATCACATTGTCATTGAAAAGATTAATGCAACGGCCTACTACAGCTTTCTCTGGGCGAGTCGTTTAAATAAAAGTTTGCATTTCTTCCCACATCTTACACCACTTCCTAATTGTTGAGGAAGGGACATTATCTACTACCTCATCTTCCTCCTCTGAAGAAATATCCTCAGCTGCCTCTTGTTGCTGCTTCTTTTGAAGGGCCCGGAGTTCTTCGGTGGTCAGTTCTTCGTTGTGTTCTTCCACCAACTCCTCCACATCAGCACCATCCAATTCTAAGCTTATTTTCCAGCTCAGAGTAACAATTTCCTCAAGAATAAGCACTTCATTTACAGGTTCAAACCCCTCAAAGTCTAGTTCTGACACACATTCAAGCCAGAATTTTCTCCAGCCAGTGATCAGGGTTCTTTGAGTCATTTCTTGCCAGGCTTTATCAACGAGTTTTAAAGCATTACAAATGTTAGTGTTTTTTACAGAACTCTTTGATGCCACAAAACTCACCCCTCAGTCACTTCAAAACATTTCCGGAAAAGTTCCCTTTCATAAAGTTTCTTAAAATTCGCTATGATTTTCCGGTCCATCGGCTGAATTAGAAGAGTGGTGTTAGTAGGAAGGAACTTTATTGTGAGAAAATTAAATTTGTTCAACAATGCATCTTCCAAGCTTGGAGGATGAGCAAGAGCATTGTTGAGGAGAAGCAGGGCCTTGAGTGGTAAACTTTTCTCCTGCAGATATTTTTGTATGGCAGGGTACACCACACCATTCACCCACTCTGTAAAAAAAAAAAATCCTAGTCAACCATGCCTTATCATTAGCCCTCCACATCACACAAATTTGTTTTTTTCTGCACACTATATTTTTTAAAACCCTTGGATTTTCAGAATGATACGCAAGGGTTTAATTTTCAAATCACCACTTGCATCACCACACAGCACAAGCGTGTGCACAAGCCTATCTTTCATAGGCTTGTGTCCGGGCAATGATTTTTCCTCCTTGGTAATGCATGTCCTCTTAGGCAATCTTTTTCCAAAACAGTCCTGTCTCATCGCAATTCAACACTTGTTGCGGTAGATATCCCTCAGCCTCTACAAAATCTTTAAATTCTTCAATAGATCTTTCAGCCGCTGGTTTGTCTGAGCTGGCAGCCTCCCCATGCCTCACAATACAACTTCTTTTTTTAAATTTTTCAAATCATCCCCTGCTTGCCTTAAAGTCTTTCGTATCTGCACTCGTTCCAGGGATTTTCTTTACAAGGTCTTCGTGCAATACCCTGGCTTTCTCACAAATGATGGCCTCTGAAACACTATCACCTGCTAACTCCTTGATGTGTATCCAAATTAATAAGAACTTTTCCACATCTTCAAGTATTTGTGTTCTTTGTTTCGTGATTGTTGATACGCCCTTTGCCACTTTAGCACTCAAAATGTCCTTTTTCTGGGCAAGTACAGTGCATATTGTTGACATGGATTTGTTGTACTGCCTAGCTAGTTCAACAACACGAGTACCATTTTCATGCTTACGAATGATCTCTTGTTTTTCTTCTATGGTCATTCTCACATGTGATTTCTTGGCTTGAACCTTACCACTGGCTTTCTTGGGACCCATGGCAAGATATATAATAACTTTTATGGATAAATAACAAAAAATCTGAAAAGAAACTGTAAATTCTTGTGAAGAATTCAGGCAGGATAGTTACTGGGAGCGAGGCACTGGTAAACTGAGGCACGATCACCGTGCCACCCCCGCTAGGTTGGCCGACCATGTATCAACAAACTTGTATCCCAAGGTAAAGTTCATATCCTGATTCAAATTTTCCAGACAAATCGGGCTCATAACCCGAAAACTTCGTAAACAGGAGCGTTCGTAAACCGAGGTACCACTGTATATACAGTAGTTTCCAAAACAAGCATATACATAATTTCCAAAACCAGTGTATACCTAGTTCCCAAAACAGTATAATATTTCCTTGCACTCACCTTTACAAGTGCGACCATCAGAAGCTAGATTATAGCCATCAGGACACCTGCATTTGAAGGATCCAGCTGTATTGACACAGATTCCAATACAGAGTCGTCCACGACCCCGGTCTTCGTCACACTCGTTTATATCGGTACAAGTTCTATGGAGTAAGTCAAAACATTAAGTGTATTGTCACATGAGTAGATAAGGTGCAGAAGGGCAGACTATTCAGCATCTGTGCTACACGAATGTATGCAAATGAACTGCAGAGAAATAGTTTGTCTAGTGTCATTAGTGAACAAATGGAATGTGCTAAGAAGCAGAGTGGTAGTGACAGACTCAATATACAACAACTGAAGATATGACAAGAATCTAAAAGGCTCAAAAAACCAGTGTTGAATGTAATGAAACGCCCATTTCTGGGCGAGACCCTGAGGCTCCCCTGAACTTACTAGGCTGATATGCTAATGTCAGACTTTGGCATCAGTCATGTGTATGGAGTTTTGTGGGCCTACCGGGGACCATGAGCCAGAACCTGGCCTCAGAGAGGCAAGGGAAGCAATGGCCTATAGAAACCCCCGTGTGGTTGGAAGCATTCTATGTCTGCCATCGACCAGGTCAGGCACCCAGAAAGGTAAGCATCCCAAAACAAACCCCTAATCTGGTGAAATTATTGCTACCACAAGCCGAACAAGTGGATAGAACTCTCCTAAAAGAAATGAGCAAACATCATGCTCATGTGCTTGTTTCTTTTAGGGGAGATCTATCCACTTGTTCGGCTTGTGGTAGCAATAATTTCCCCAGAATAGGGATTTGTTTTGGGATGCTTACCTTTCTGGGTGCCTGACCCGGTCGATGACAGACATAGAATGCTTCCAACCACACGGGGGTTTCTATAGGCCATTGCTTCCCTTGCCTCTCTGAGGCCAGGTTCTGGCTCATGGTCCCCGGTAGGCCCTCAGAACTCCATACACATGACTGATGCCAAAGTCTGACATTAGCATATCAGCCTAGTAAGCTCCGGGGAGCCGAAGGGACTGCCCCCAGAAAACTTCACTACCAGTACTTAGGAAGCCACTGAAGGGAGCCTTCCCAGAAAAAAAAGAGCAAAACAATTATCATAGTATATTTTGTACCTGTTATCTCTGGCAAGGATGTGGCCAGCCCTACATGTACACCGGTGACTTCCCCACAAGTTGTCGCAGTTATGATGGCAGATCCCTGAAATCTCGGCGCACTCATCCACATCTGTCAATAAGCTATTCTCAATACTGATAATAAAATTACTTAGGAAGTATGAATACAAAATGCAGTGAATCACAAAATGGCAGTTTGATTAATTTTTATTAAATACATTATTATATTCTGGCTAAAGAGAACAAAAGCGTAGACAAAATAGAGAAACACCAAGACGAGCAATCATTCTTTGCAGATATCTTGGGCCACCAATCATGGCTTCAGGTTCTCTACGTCTAAGACTTGTGCTTTGACTTTTACTAGGAAGCATGTTGTTTTTCGTCCCTCTTTGTCGCTTTATGGTCATCCCCTTGTGTACAAGGATTCCACTAAGCTTTTGAGGTTAATCTTTGACAATCGTTTGTCTTGGTTGCCCCATATCTCTTACCTCCGAGTTGAATGCTCCAAGGTCCTTACCCTCCTTAAAGTATTGTCCCATACTTCTTGGGGAGTGGATAGGCGCACTTTCCTTGCTTTACATTCCTCTCTCGTCCTGTCTAAACTCGATTATGGTTGCCCTGCTTACTCGTCTGCTTCTCCTCCTACTCTTCGCCGTCTTGACGATTTGCACTATACTGGGTTACGCCTCGGTTCTGGTGCCTTTCATTCGAGTCCTGCCCTCAGCTTGTATGTTGACACTGGCTTCCTATCTCTCCAGGACCGCCGTGATCGCTACTGTTTTCGTTATCTTGCGCGGTCCTTGCAACATCCTTCCTCTCGCCTCTGTCGTGCTTTAACTTTTACCCCTCTTGTGGTTCTGGTTCCTCTTCACCACCTCTCAATTTTTTGTCCAGTTATCTCGCTTAAAGGATTCTTTTTCTGTTCGTATTTCTAATATTTCTCCTCATATGGTTCTGTCCTTGCCCCCGTGAAGTCCCCCCCGTCCGAAGTTTTGTACATCCTTGACCCGCATCACTAAAGCTTTTACCCCTCCTACGGTTCTGAAACGCCTTTTCCTTGAGTACTTTTCTTCACACTCCTGCTCCGTTTCCATCTTCACCGATGGGTCTAAGTCTGCGGACGGTGTAGGCTACTCTGTTGTTTTTCCTGACCGCACTTATATGTGTCGCCTACCTCCGGAGACTAGCATCTTCACAGCAGAACTTTATGCTATTCTCTATGCTCTTCGTCTCCTGCTTTCTCGTTGTCAGTCTTCCTTTGTAGTTGTCGTTGACTCTCTTAGTGCCCTCATGGCTCTCGCATCCTTTAATCCCGTGGTCGTCGAGATTTAGCATTGGCTGTTTCTTATTTCCAGTAAATTTAAGTCAGTTGAGTTTTGCTGGATTCCCAGCCATATTGGTGTCTCTTTATTCAGATGCTGCCGTTAGGGAAGTTGTCCGCTCTTGTCCCATCTCCTGTAAAGGTATTCCTTATTCTGACTTTTACCCAGTTATTCATTCCATCATCCTTACCCGTTGGCAGGATTGTTGGTCTTCTGTTACTGGTAACAAACTGCGTACTCTTCAAGAGTAGTGTGTCCTCATGGCCGTCCTCCTACCATCATAACCGGCTATGGGAAACGGCTCTGGCGTTGGTTGCGTATTGGCCATACACACTTAACTCATGGTCACTTAATGGAGCGCTGCCCTGCTCCTTATTATCCAAATTGCATTATCCCTCTTACGATCGTGCATATCCTTGTTGAATGTCCTGACTTCCAGGACGAGTGTGTGTCTTGCTTTCCAACTGTCCCTCGCGGTCGCTTGTCCCACGATAGAATTCTTGGTAAATCGGATACTTCTGATATCGTTCGCCTTATGCGTTTCTGTTCTTGTATTTGCATCCTTGGTGATATTTAGCGCTCTCTGATTATTCCGCACATTTGATGGTGCTACATAGCCTTCCCGGTTTGGTGCCTTCTTTTGATAATTAATTACTTACTCACCTTGGGCCTCCTGTGCTGCACATGATGCAGCCTGGTTTTGGTTTAGCACTCCTGTTCAATTATGGTATCTCCTTATATCTTGGGAATAATTTTATGATTATCGTTTCACCATAACAACTAATAAGCACACTGGTACTATCAGAAGCTGACAAGTGACAAACTTAAACGAAAACATGAAGTTTGGGAGTTATGATCATAAAATTGACCTTGTTAAAAAAGTTATAATTGAGTTCCCAAGTCTCACATCTGTGCAGGGTATAACATTAGAGAAATAACCATTTCATCTATCTTTGGGAAGTAAACACTATAAAAAGAGGTGGTTTAACATTCTGTGCAGCACCTATGGAGGTCATCCATGCTGTCTCCTGAATGCCTTACAAATGGCACCCTGAGCTTCCTCATGGTCTTACTCTGTGATACAATTCCTGTTTTCTGGGACGGGAGGCCTACATTTAGGTTTATCAAGGTACCGTGTGATGCAGCACAGCAGTTAGTTGCGTAACTCTGGGTACCTATTTATATCAGGTGATAGGAAACATACCCAACTGTTTATGTTCCACCCAAAAATTAAACTCGGGGTCCCTCAGTTGTAATTCAGGGCTGTAGACCACCGCTATAAGATCCACTTCAATCATCTTGGCATTCACAGACCATCTAGACTATTACATAAAAAAAGAGTCCGACATAGAACAGCATCACAATTCACACCAATTTTTGCTGTACTGTAATATTTAAGTTTAGATTACGTATCAATAGAAGTGTGTATCTTCTCACCTAAGCATGTTCGGCCATCGTTTGACTGCTTGAAGCCTGCCTTGCAATTGCAGTGATAGGAGCCTTCTGTATTCTCACAGACTGCATTATTTGAACATACCTTGAAAAAGATAAAAATGTAAAACTTATATTTAAAAAAGTACCATACAGTATTTGCCAGAGGATAGGACACATGTTTTTGGTCCACCACCAACTGAATATATATATTTTATTTACATGCACAAAATCATGTTTGCCACTTCAAAGCCCCCTTGAAAAAACTCTCATACTGTATGATGAAAGATACTAATAATTTTTTCTCCAGAAAATATTGTAAATTAGGTGTATTATATATACCAGCAAATACAGCACACAAGCTTGAGTAACGAAAAACTGGGTAAATTGGACAAAGATAAATGCATTTAAGGTCCTTTTGAGAAAGAATGTAGTTATCTGTTGGTGTCTCCTAGCCATCTGGTGGTATGTGACAACCTAGACTTTACCGTAAACCAGGCTGCAGGGAGGTTGATCCTAGCAACCAACAAAAGGTAAGTGTCTTTCCATAAGCTATTATCATGACTGCAGACATCTTTTCTGGTTGGTTTCAAGAATTTATAAACCTAACTCGGTTTCACTCATTACCACTACCCTGTTTTTAATAGATATGGTTTTCTGTTATCGAGCTCCACTACAGATATACTGACCAACCACCACCTAGGGAGATGCTGTAACTGACTACTTGGTGTGTACAGTAGTAGTAGTAGTTAATGATGTGTAACTGTTGAAAATTCCAAACTAAATCTATTACTATTACCTTGAGGTGGTTTGCCTGATAAATGCCCCCCTCCCCCTTGGCCAGGCCTCCTGGTAGGTGGTCTGGTTAACCAGGCTGTTAGATGCCGCTGCTGGCAAAGTAACTTTTAGATTACCTTGAGATGATTTTGAGGATCAATGTCCCTGCAGCTCTGTTGCCAACTAGACCTTTCATAACTAACATAATCAAAAATTATAATTATTAAAAGATAAAATGAGCTAAATTTGTATACAATACCTACACATCAGGAAAATTGCTTGTAGCTAAGGAATAAATTCACATGTAATGTAATAATGCACGATGGAACATTTCATTATGGAGGCAGCAAGAAGACATCAACAAAATTCTGGACCAAGTTGGTATATCTACACAATTCTCCATTACTTATTACTGTCTGATAAAAACTAATTAATAAATCAATATATTCCCCCCAATTGAGGGTACTGTTCTCTCAACAGATTTCATAATAGGAAGGATAATTATCATAATTACTTCCATTGCTTCCTAGAAGCAAGATGTTACCATAACAAGGTTATTGAAATACCCATTAGCACACAATGCTTGCAAAAATGAAACAAAATCTAATAATTAAACAAAAATATTTGGAAATACTATAAATGACCAGTAAATTGTTGGTAATACAGTAGTAATACTAAATGCAGCAGTAATTAATGTAAATAATTTAAGTTTGATACGTACACTTCCATAGTAGGCTTCACATTCATTAATGTCTTGGCACTTCCGTAAGCTGTTAAGCCTAAATCCTGTTGGACACTGACATATGTACCCACCTTGACGATTAGAACACACTTGGTTGCCCGTACACTGATGGGTCCCATCGGCACATTCATCAACATCTATACAAAGCAAAAAATAAAAACATGTTGACAAAATAGTTTAATAACAATTATAGATAACAAAAAATTCCTGTCTTTCATTTATCATAAACAAATACCTGATAAAAACTTCACAAAGGCCAGAAATTTAATTTCCTGGTATTAAAATGTTTCCATACCTATGCATTGACTTCCAAACTCATTCATCTTGTAGCCAGCTCCGCAGTTAAGGAGAGGGAGACACGTGTATGATCCATGTGTATTAATACATTGTTCATTACGCTCGCAGGGCGTTCCTTCGGCGCATTCATTTATATCTATGGAAGAAAAAAAATGAGCAAAATAGGACTACAGACATTAGACAATTACAATTGTATTAGACAATTACAGTACAGTACAGTACTGTACAATATTACAATACAAGCCTTATATCAAAGCTAGAAGATAGAAGAAAAAAAAAAGGTGCTATGATAACCACTTACAAACTAATAACAGGAATCGACCAAATTGACAAAGAGGAATTCCTGATGCAGTACCAGCATCTTCAAGAACAAGAGGTCACAAATTCAAGCTAAGGAAACAAAAGTGCCGACAAAATATATTAGAACATTTTCTTTTGCAAATAGAATGGTAAGTAGTTGGAACAAGTTAAGTGAGAAGGTGGTGAAGGCCAAAACAATCGGTAGTTTCATAACATTATATGACAGTGCTGGGAAGACGGGACACCACGGCATATCTTCCATCCTGTAACTACACTTGGGTAATTACTGTACAGTTGAAGATGGTTAGAATAATCATAAGCGAGAAGGCAGTGGGTGCCAAATCACCAGTAATTTGAGCATAATATGACAAGAGTACTGGGAGGAGTGGACAGTTACAAGATGAGAGCATGGCTATTATCTTGTAACTACAATACTCTTGCGTAACTGCACTTACACCTATGGCCCCCCCTGGGGTGTATACAACTATTCTCTCCAAGTCTTGATCAAAGTGTAAATAGTGTATTTTGTAGTAGAATTATCCTTACATAAATTTACATGTACTATACAGCATTTTTTATTTTTGGATGCCTGAACTGTTTTTCATCAATTTTAATTAAATTTCTGTATAATTATCCAAAATCCAGCACTGAATGCAATCAACTGGCTCTGTGGTGGGTAGTCTAGAATCCTCCCTGACCTATCCGTCTCCAAGAACAACATCTACTTACCTTGGCAGAATCCACCAATAGGCTTAAAGCCTACATTGCAGGTAAGATTGACACAGAGGCCCTCATCATTAAGTATTCGATTTGGCGGGCAAGTCTTTCTCATGCATCGAAAAGATCCCTTTATATTCACACACTGAAACCTGGGACCCAGCTGGCCACAGTCATGAGTCTTCAGTTTGCATTCATCATTATCTGCCATGCATAAGATTAATGGTTAACAGCAGAATGTATACTCAAGTAGATGCAAATAATTAAGAAGTATAAGTAAAGGTTTGCGTATAATTAGTATTTTGCCGTGGGCCTAGGTTAACTTTCTTACATACATATATACAGCATTTGTATAAAAACCAGACGATAACAACTAAAATCAACGTGATAATGGCATTACGCTGGAAATCAACATATGATGATAATTGCACTTTTAACGGTTACCAGAAATATAAGAAATGGTTTGCCTTGCTTTCCTGTTGTAGATGACAGGAAGCCTATTATCCAGGACCCCCTTTGGCTAACTGGCCTTCCCCAGGATGAAACCCACAACAGTTGCCTAACTCCTAAGAACCGATTTATGGTCAGGTGAACAGAGGCATCAGGTGAAAGGATATGTGCCAAAATGCCTCTGTCCCACTGCAAAATTCAAGCCCAGGACTTTTAAGTCATAAACTGGCTGCAATACTGTGCTACAGGACTCATTAATGGACTTAACAGACAACTTTACTCAAAAATGTTTGTTTGAATCCTAAATGACTACAAATTCATCAGTGAAAGGGATACTGTATATAGAACTTTAACAACTTTAAACTATGTTGGAAATTCTCAACATAATAATGGCTTTAGGCACTGTGCTCATCTTACTTATGACTCTTCTACTGTTCATGTAATGTATGCAAGTATCGGTACTCTTGCCTAAATAATTATTATTTTTATTATTAGAATTATTATTAAAAAGGTTAATTTTTCCTTTGTAACTCTGAAAGACATTAGTTATGTTAATTATAAGAGAGGTACACATATGCAAAAAATGAACATGCAAGTAGATATTAGTTTTAGCTTAAAAATCAGATTGTGAGCAGGTGTATATAACAGCATGGTTGACCAGCCCAACAACCAGGAATTATGACCGGAGATGGAGTGAGAGAGCCATGCTCTCTGGAACCATCTCAAGGTAACACATTCATCTACATGTTTGATCAGTATTTTGGACTATGATTGAAATACTACTGTGATTCCAATGAAGTCTCTCTAGTCTCTCTGTCATTATTATATTACAGGCTGTTTGCACTAAACTCACTTAAGAGGCAAACAATTACCGGTAAGTCACTTTTGCTTCCCCTTTTGGCTGTCTGCATAGAACAATTTCTGTACTGCCACTCCATACAGGATGTGAAGAGGGAGAGGGGACGGGTGCAGAATAAACCTTTACTAAAGGCAAAACTTAATTCAACAAACACAATTTTTTTTATGCTGTTACACTGTAGCAACATAAAAACACATTGTGGGTACATTGTCTGTTTACAGGGAAACCTCACTCACCATTTTACTCTTCCAAAAGCATTCACCCTGAAATTACTTCAATACTCGTTCAAAATTATTTTAATATTTGTTATATTCAGGGACTACAGGTACATAATAATATTGTTTCTTGCATAATACAGGTATTGTATTATTCAAGAAACTTTCTATTTTTATAGTATATATTATAAATAATTATATCCTATACAGTAATATGTAAACAATAATTTTAGCCATTAAATATAGATATTATACACTGATACCTTGGTACTTGAACGGCTCTGAACTCAAACAACTTTGCACTCAAACACTTAACTTGAGAAAAAATGCTTGGTAGTCGACTGTTTGCTTGGCACTTGAATGTACACATGTAACAAATGAGTTGGTTTCCAGTAGCCGTCATTCAGTGCACAACCCCATTAAACTAATTGAACATGGCATGATTTAGGATAGACTTTCCTGCAACTCACAGAAAAGTAAGGAGTCTAGCTCACCTCTGCAAGCAATGATGTTGTCAGTGCTTCTCAGTCTCTGCTTGGGCATAATACATGCATAATAATATACTTGTTGTGACTGGTGACATTCATTTGCTTAACCTTTATCTTCAAGTTGAGACATTTAAATATTCAACCCCACAATGGGCCACACAGCAATGTAATGTAAATTGTAACAGTGAGCAAAAAGGCCAACACATTTCAGCAATTTGTCTTACCGTCACATACTCCAGTGTTGTGGTTGAGAGTGTAGCCAGTACCACAACCAGCAATGCGGATGCACGCATACGACCCCAGAGTGTTGTCGCACCGCTGAGTGTTCGAACACATATGTATACCAAGCTGACACTCATTTAGGTCTGTAAAGAATGAAGTCTCATTTAAGATAAAAATCAATAATAAATCTATTACAAAGAAAATCATTTAATACTAGACAATTCTGAACAGATGTACTATTACAACATAAATGTATTTTACATATTTTATCTTTAATAAATTCAAAATATTTAAGTTACTTTTATACTGCAAACACAATGTACAGGGGTACCTCGGTTAAAGAGTTTAAGCCATTCCTGGAGACAGCTCGTAACCTGAAGCTAATTTTCCCATAAGAAATAATGGGAAATGAATTAATCTGTTCCCGACTTCACAAAAACCTTACTTCAAACTAAATTTTATACCAAAGTCATCTAAATCTACACTACAAAAGTATGTTCAAGTTATTACTTACCCTTGCTGATGACTGCTGTTGGCATATGGAAGATGGTGAGGAGGAGGGAGGAGGAGAGGTGTTACTGTTTGGAAGGGAAGTCCCCTTCCATTATAACATCAGGCAGTGAGGACTTCACTGGTGTGCACTCTCTGGCACGTTTTGCCTACATACCACTAGGACTTTCTTGTCTTACTAAGAATCTGTCTAAAGACACTGGTTTTTTCCTACATTTTAATACTTGTCTGTAGTAAGACATCACATTGTCATTCAAAAGGTCAATGCAATGGCCTGCTACAGCTTTATCTGGGCAAGTTTTTTCAACAAAACTTTGCAGTTCTTCCCATACTTCACACATTTTCTTAATGAAGAAGGGACATCCTCTACTGCCTCTACTCACAATTATTTTCTTAGGTTGAACCTTACCACTGGCTTTCTTGGGACCCATGGCAAGATATATAATAACTTTTTATGCTCAAATGGCCAAAAATCCGACAAAAAACTGTAAATCCTCGGGAAAAATTCAGCTGGGATAGTCACTGGGCACGAGGCATTGGTAACCTGAGGTGCGATAGCCGTGTCACCACGCGCTAGTCGGCCTGTACGCGTATCAACACCCCTCGTATTCCGAAAAACTCGTATACAGGGACACTTGTATTCCGAGGTACCACTGTACTGCATTTTCCTGCAGATGGGACACACGGTTTTATTCCACCACGAGCCTAATATGTATGTATTGTATGTATGTATAATATGTATGCATATGTATTGTATTAACATGCACCAAATCATCTATTTTTCCTAACAAAATTAAAATTACTTTCAACAAATATATGATAAAACATACTAAAAAGAAAATACAGCCTTGAGCATGAAATACTTCTTTCTTGTTGGTCCTTGGTTGCTCCCTGTAGCTAGTTCGCCGAGGCAGCTCCATACAGGAAACACATTAGCCCCACAACTCTGTAATGGCCTACCAGAGACAGAATGATGGGCTGCAGCCCATCATTCTGTTTTGTAGTACTTATAGTAATGATGAGGACCATAGTATATATACCAACATACAACGATATTAGAAAGTAGAAATTGGCATTAGTGAGTTGGACAAACAGGAAAACTATTTTCTAGTGTTGCAAATACAAACTAAACTGACCTAACCTAACCTTCCTAGGCCTAATACACAATATTTGAGGCCAAATATAGTACATATGTGTGCTACACTAGGCCTAGGAAAATTTGTTTGTTTTTTAGCTTTATTTTTCCAACTCTATAAAGAGAATGCTACAAAGTTCTACTATCTAATGGTTTAGAATGCCAATCTTTGTACTATGGTGCACATAGGCATAATTGTGCTGGGGTTAGGTTAGGTTGGGTTAGCTTAGGTAACTTTTAAAATCCACTGGCAAACCCTCTTGTGTACAATGTGACTTTTATCCAGTCATTCTCACCTTTGCATTTTCCATCCAAGTCATCTTTAAAGAACCCAACTTGACAGCCACATTTATACGAACCCTGCGTGTTCTCACATATTTCCGTCTCTGGGCATGGCTGGGAGGCACACTCATCAATATCTGTATTGATAGAGACATTCACATATATTTAATAATCAAATGTATAATAGGATTTTTTAAAGAAAACATTGCAGTCATAATCCTCATTACCAAAGGACTTAACCAAGCAAAGCCTTTTTCCCCCCACATCTTCAATTGTTGAATATTTACTCCCCTGTCAAATCAGGAGTGCAAAATGGGGCATAGTGATAGAATGCATGCTATCAAATAACAGAAAATAAAATATAAAGCCGAGTAATTTCATATAGGTAAACATTAAATATTGAATGACTTATATTTACGATGTCTTCATCTATTCCTCCACTTATGAACCCAAGGATGCAAATGATACAGGGTTTACTGGAATTACTTGTGAAATATCCTAATTACTATGCAAAGGACTATCCATCTGTACATTTAGCAACAATTTTGTTGCACTCACTTAAGAATAGAATGTGAAGAGCTTTTTTACGCTGATTCTTTATATCATAAAACAATTCACTTGGGCTTGACATTGTATAGGAGTGACACCCATACTTCTTTCGGGGTCGAAATTTTACTTCAATGATCCAAGTGGTTGGGCACCATTCTTTCACTCTATCCTCATATTTCAGCTCCAAGTGCTATATAGTCATACTGGCTTAGCCAGTATACACCTCCAAAGGATACCTGATCAACTAAGCTGTGATTCATACATTAGGTTGCAAACAGCCGCGTCAAACAACCTGGTTGACCAGACCATCAACAAGGATGGTCAGCCTGGTCAGCCTGGTCAGAGACCGGGCTGCAGGGATGTTGATTCTGAAATCAATGCAAAGTAAGGCAAGGCAGCACTTTTTCCTCATAATTACCTGACCTTTCTCCTTATAGATACCTTACCTTTCTCCTCATAGTTACTGTGCATATTTAGTTCATAGATGATGCTGTTACTCAATTCATACTTCTTTATAAATTGTCTTCAGAATGTCAACTTTATACAATATTGTAAGCTAAATAAGTACTTATCAAAAGGCAGCGGCAAGCCTGGAAACACTATTTAGCTCTGCTTGTATCACAGAACATAAAAATTCACAGATATTATTCAGGAAACCTATACAAGATACTGTAAATATGCAAGTAATTATCAAAAGATGGTACCAAGCCAGGAAGAATATTTAGTACCACCTGTGCCATTGGTTATTCAAAAGGTCCTAAATATCACCAGAAGTGAACAGAATACGGCAAAATAAGACGAGATGAGCAACGTCAAAGACATCATTCTCTCCAAGGATTTTATCGATATACGAGTGACTGAGGGAATGCGACACTGTAAGCTAAATAACTTTGTTTTATGTAATTTCTTATTTATACTGTATATATAATTAATTTTGTTGGGGAACAGGCAGCCTGAGTATGTATACAGATTAGGTATATATCGAGGTTTTCCCCATGAGGTCAAACTACTGACCCTCCTCAAAATGGAATTCCACAACAGTTTACTAACTCCCAGGTACCTATTTACTGTTGGGCGAACAAAGGCATCACGTAAAAAGACAAAATGTGCCAAACAATTTCTCGGTAATCAAACTTAGGATCCTAGATTGTGAATCGAGGATGTCAAGTATTACATTACAGGACCCAAGGCCCTTCCCACCCCATGAAAGTGCAAATGGGGGTCATGTGTTTATGATTATCAAGAAAATATACTGTAATTAGGAACAAAGATTTAACAATACAAAATATTGCAACTTACCTACACATACATTAAATATAATATCATGCAACATGCCAGGTGGGCATGCGATGCCAGGATGAGGAGGCAAGGGAGGAGGTGGAGGTATGTTGAAGCTAGCAGGAGTAGAAGCAGCTACAATGTCATCATTAACTGGATTAGGCTTAGGAACACACCAATAGTCACCCATAGAGTTGACACAAGTCTCCAAGAGATTGTTGCATAAATCAGGATCCTCTTCACATTCATTTATGTCTGTGAGAAGAGTGGTGTGAAGTAGTTGGCAAATCAAAGAGAATGGGTCATGTCATATTGAAAATATATTTTAGCTCTAAGCATTATATAGAGAATGGAGCACGTCATATTGTTAGTATATTATAGTATACAAGAATGCATACCAGTAAGGTCTTGCATACTTATACCAAGCTGTTATATTTGTATTGCAACCAGCATAAGTTGTCCAAGAAGTATATTAGTAAAGGAAAAGCTGTCTAAACTATCTCAAATTAAAATATATTATTTTTAAGTTATACCTGAAGCACTGTATGTACCTTGCAGCTTTATATAATATACAAAATACTTTATCCACTACGTAACCACTAACTTTTCATATGTACTGTCAGACATGTAACCATATTGATATTTAGCACAAAGTTTGACCATAAGGGCCTCGCTCCATGGAACCATCTCACGGTAACCCAGTCATCTACATGTCTGATCAATATTTTGGACTATGATTGAAATACTACTGTGATTCCAATGATCAATGGAATCACTAGTCTCTCTGTCATTATTATATTACAGGCTGTTTGCACTTAACTCACTTACCTAAGAGGCAAACAATTACCGGTAAATCACTTCTGCTTTCCCTTTTGGCTGTCTGCATAGAACAATTTCTGTACTGTCACCCCATACAGGATGTGAAGAAGGGGAGGGGACGGGTGCAGAATAAACTAACCTTTACTAAAGGCAAAACTTAATTCAGTAAACAGTTTTTTCATGCTGTTACACTGTAGCAACATAAAAACACATTGTGGTTACATTGTCTGTTTACAGGGAAACCTCACTCACCATTTTACTCTTCCAAAAGCATTCATCCTCAAACTGCTTCAATACTCGTTCAAAATTATTTTAATATTTGCTATATTTAAAAACTACAGTACTGTATTATGCAAGAAACTTTTTTATTTGTATAGTATATTTTATACATAATTATATGTTAATTAGTTTGTATACAGTAATATGTACTTAACAATAATTTTAGCCATAAAATAGATATTATACACTGATACCTCGACACTTGAATGGCTCCATATTGAAACAATTTAGTACTCAAACACTTCATTTGAGAAAAAATTCTTGGTAGTCAACTGTTTGCTTGGCACTTGAATGTACACATGTAACAAATGAGTTGGTTTCCAGTAGCCGTCATTCAGTGCACAACCCCATTAAACTTATTGAACATGGCCCGACTTAGGATAGACTTTCCTGCAACTCGCATTAAAGTAAGGAGTCTAGCTCACCTCCTCTGCAAGCAATGATGTTGTCAGTGCTTCTCAGTCTCTGCTTGGGCATAATACATGCATAATAATATACTTGTTGTGACTGGTGACATTCATTTGCTTAACTTTTATCTTCAAGTTGAGACATTTAAATATTCAACCCCACAATGGGTCACACAGCAATGTAATGTAAATTATAACAGTGAGCAAAAAGGCCAACACATTTCAGCAATTTGTCTTACCGTCACATACTCCGGTGTTGTGGTTGAGAGTGTAGCCAGTACCACAACCAGAAATGCGGATGCACGCATACGACCCCAGAGTGTTATCGCACCGCTGAGTGTCCGAACACGTATGTATACCAAGCTGACACTCATTTATGTCTGTAAAGAACGACATCTCATTTAAAATAAAAATCAATAATAAATGCATTACAAAGAAAAACATTTAATACTAGATAATTCTGAACAGATGTACTATTACAACATAAATGTATTTTACATATTTTATCTTTAATAAATTCAAAATATTCAAGTTACTTTTATACTGCAGCTTCATAGTGCAAACAATGTACTGCATTTTCCTGCAGATGGGATACACAGTTTTAGTCCACCACCAACCTAATATATACAGGTATTGCCTTTCCATGCACTAAATCATCTTTTTTCCCCCAACAAAAACAATTAAAATTACTTTCAACAAATGTATGATAAAACATACTAAAAAAGAAACTAGAGCATTGAGCACAATGAAATACTTCTTTCTAGTTGGTCCTTGGTGGTTCCCTGTAACTAGTTCACCAAGGCAGCTCCATACAGGAGACACATCAGCTTCATGAGTCTGTAATGGCCCACCAGAGACTGGGGTTAGAGCCTAGCCCCTCTCACAAAGGCTCAGGGGGCAGGGATTGTCACGATCACCTTCACCAAAGAAACTTCTAAATATTAAGTGAATCAAAACAAACAACTATAGTTTCACAGAAAAGAAACAAATCAGAAAACAACTCCACAAACTATCCACTCAGCAGTTTGGTCAAATACCCTAGTTGCAGCTAACCACCACCAGGTGGCAACCTCCCAGGAGCTTTAGCTCTCCCATGTCAACAGAGCTCAGTCTAGTTAAAAAAAAAAAATAAATAAATAAATAAATAAACCCACCAATGAGCCTAGAATGAGAGGGGAGGGAGGGAACACGGAACCCCTGAGGTCCAATTAAAGAAAGGAGTTTCATTGCATTTAACTCTGGTGTTCTGGAGGAGCTGAACAGTGGCTCCCTGTAGCTTACTAAACATGGAGCAGAAAGAAAATGGAAGTTACCAGGGAGTAGCAAAGTGAAGACAAAACTCTCAAAGATGAGAATCTCTGACCCAACCCAGAGCAGCACACTCTGGGGACCAGGAACATGCTGCAAGTACCCTGTTAGACCACCAAAACCCCCGGAGCTAAAATATTAGGCCATAACATGTTGGAAAAACACTGAGGTCATGGGCCTAATAGACTGCAGGCTATAGACTTAAGAAGCTGTCCACATAGGTGGGCATCAGTGACAAGATTGAGCTCTGTTGACATGGAGTGCTGGGCCACCCCCAGAGGGTTGCCACTTGGTGGTGGTTAGTTGTAACGAGGGATGATCGATCTAACTGTGAACCCTACAATAGTCTGTTCTCCTTTCCTTACTTTCTGGACATTTCCTTGGCGAGGGTGATTGTAACAATTTCCTGCTCCCTGAACCTCTAGGAAGGGGCCATGTTTTGCCCATGTTTTCAGTAGGTCTTTATGGAATCCTACTTAAGCTGAGGTGACTCATGCGTGGAGGTACCTTGGTGAGCTAGCTACAGGGATCCCGCCATTCGGCCCAACCAGAATAATCAACAAAATATCTTTGTGAATTAAATGCACCTGATAAGATGGAAAATATAGTATACATACATTGCTTTAATTTTACCAAGAATTTTGAGATCCTTTAGGGTACAATCAAATCAAACACAAGGCAGTCAGTCAAAGCTCATTTTCTGTTTATTAAAATCGTGTGTGTGTGTGTGTTAGGCTTGGATGCACTAGGGTTGTTAGGTTGGGTAAGCTTAGGGTGGGTTAGGTTAGGTAACTTAAAATCCATTGGCAAACCCTCTTGTGTACAATATGACTTTTATCCAGTCATTCTCACCTTTGCATATTCCATCCAAGTCATCTTTAAAGAACCCAACTTGACAGCCACATTTATAAGAACCCTGCGTGTTCTCACATACTTCCGTCTCTGGGCATGGCTGGGAGGCACACTCATCAATATCTGCATTGAGAGAGACATTCACATATATTTAATAATCAAATGTATAATAGGATTTTTTAAAGAAAACATTGCAGTCATAATCCTCATTACCAAAGGACTTAACCAAGCAAAGCCTTTTTTTCCACCACCTCTTCATTTGTTCAACATTTACTCCCCTGTCAAATCAGGAGTGCAAAATGGGGCATAGTGATAGAATGCATGCTATCAAATAACAGAAAATAAAATATAAAGCTGAGTAATTTCATATAGGTAAACATTAAATATTGAATGACTTATATTTACGATGTCTTCATCTATTCCTCCACTTATGAACCCAAGGATGCAAATGATACAGGGTTTACTGGAATTACTTGTGAAATATCTTAATTAATATGCAAAGGACTATCCATCTGTACATTTAGCAACGATTTTTTTGCACTCACTTAAGAATAGAATATGAAGTTTTTTATGCTGATTCTTTATATCATAAAACAATTCACTTGGGCTCGTTAGTATACAGTAGTGACACCCATACTTCTTTCAGGATCGGAATTTTACTCCGATGATCCAAGTGGTTGGGTACCATTATTCACTCTATCCTCATTTCAGCTCCAAGTGCTATATAGTCATACTGGCTTAGCCAGTATACACCTCCAAAGAATACCTGATCAAACAAGCTGTGATGTATACATTAGGTTGCAGCAGCCACGTCCATCAGCCTGGTTGACCAGACAATCAACCAGGAGGCCTGGTCAGAGACAGGGCTATGAAGACATTGATTCCCAAAATCAATGCAAAGTAAGGTAATACTGTATATCACTTTCTCCTTGTAATTACCTGACTTTTCCTTTCTTCTCATAATTACGTGACCTGATGTTTTTCCACATAATTACCTTACCTTTCTCCTCATAGTTACTGTGCATATTAGTTCATAGATGATGATGTTACTCAATTGCTATTTCTTTATAAATTTTCTTCAGAATGCCAACTTTATACAATATTGTAAGTTAAATAAGTAATTATCGCAAGGCAGCGGCAAGCCAGGAAACACTATTTAGCTCTGCTTGTATCATGGAACATTATAAAAATTCAGATATCATTTCAAATTCAGAATTCAGATTTTCCCACGAGGTCAAAACTATTGACCCTCCCCTGAAGGAAGGCCTGACAGCTGACTTCGACAGCGCTTCGGATTCGTAGTCCTGAGGTTCCAGGTTCGATCCCAGGTGGAGGCGGAAACAAATGGGCAGAGTTTATTTCACCTTAATGCTCCTGTTACCTTGCAGTAAATAGGTACCCGGGAGTTAGACAGCTGCTACGAAATGCTTCTTGGGCAAGGATGGGGGGGGAAGCTAAGTCCCAAAATCACTTCAAGATAACCTCCCCAACATACAATTCCACAACAGTTGACTAACTCCCAGGTACATATTTACTGCTCAGTAAACTGAGGCATTAATTAAAAGGAAACATGCCAAACATTCTGTCTCCCCGTGGGATTGTTGGTTGCGATTATTGAATGAACCCTAGTGTACTACTGAGACCCTTATATATACAAGTAGGTGAAAAGGATTGTTTGAAAGTACAGGTACTGTCCATATTTTGATGATTAACTGGTACGGTACATTCTCACGAAGCCACTAATATGTAGTCAATGCTGAATGATTTCTCATAAGAAATGATATGGGCAGCATGGAAGCCAGGCCTCCAACAGTGGCACAGACCAGGACAGTAAACATTGCAACTATGGTGATACTGGCCACTCATCTTGCCGTATATTTACAAATATAATGTTTTGAAATTGGTTTGATTTAGAAGTGGGCTTATAGAATTTTGATACAGAGATACTTCTGTTGGATCTGCAATTAAAAAAATTCAAATTCAAATTCAAATGTTTATAGGGCAATAATGATAACAATTATGAGAAACATTATATGCCATACCTTACCCTTTATAATGAATGGTAAATCCCATCACTGTGGACATGAAACTTGTACTGTACCTAAGCTTATTGATGTTTCCCTAGGACAAGTATTGTTCCCTTTCCCACGATGCAAGCTTCAACAGTTGACTAACTCCCAGGTACCTATTTACTGTTGGGTGAATAACGGCATCACGTGAAAGAAAAAATGAGCCAAACAATTTCTCGGTGATCAAACTTAGGATCCTAGATTGTGAATCGAGGATGTCAAGTATTACATTACAGGCCCCAAGTCCCTTCCCACCCCATGAAAGTGCAAATGGGGGTCATGTGTTTATGATTATCAATAAAATGTACTGTAATTAGGAAAAAAATTTAACAATGCAAAATATTGCAACTTACCTACACATTCATTAAATACAATATCATGCAACATGCCAGGTGAGCATGCGATGCCAGGATGAGGAGGCAAGGGAGGAGGTGGAGGTATGTTGAAGCTAGCAGGAGTAGAAGCAGCTACAATGTCATCATTAACTGGATTAGGCTTAGGAGCACACCAATAGTCACCCATAGAGTTGACACAAGTCTCCAAGAGATTGTTGCATAAATCCCGACCCTCTTCACATTCATTTATGTCTGTGAGGAAAGTGGTGTGAAGTAATTGGCAAATCAAAGAGAATGGATCATGTCACATTGAAAATATATTTTAGCTTTAAGCATTATAGAGAATGAAGCACGTCATATTGTTAGTATACTGTATTATAGTATACGAGAATGCATAACAATAAGGTCTTGCATGCTTATACCAAGCTATGTAATATTTGTATTGCAATCAGCATAAGTTGTCCAAGAAGTATATTAGTAAGGGTAAAGCTGTTTAAAATATCTCAAAATATATTATTTTTAAGTTATGCCTGAGGCACTGTATGCATCTAGTGGCTTTATATAATAAACAAATACTTTATCCACTATGTAACCACTTTAACTTTACACATGTACTGTTAGACATGTAACCATATTGATATTTAGCACAAAGCTTCATACTGTAAATCATCATTTTTTTACGTGTTTGCAGTACAGTATCATGAGTATTTGGGCAGCACATTCTCACAATGTGAAAAAGTCTAAATATGCAAGTTTCTACCATAACAGAATATACATATTTACACCAGCGTGCCAATATTATTATTATTACTATTATTATTATTATTATTATTATTATTATTTAATTGACAAACAGTTTTAATATTCCATTGAAAAAATCATTATTCAATATGAATGAATTACATTCTTAAATCCTAACATGCCGCTACAGATACACATGCATGTTCCCACACGCGCCAAAAAATCCAATAAACACTTTTTCTTTGTAGAATGATTAAACATTATCAAAAGATTTGGAGCAAAGTATTTTTATCTAACAATCAAGCCTCTCACACTTAAGGTGTTCAATAAGGAAACAAGCACATGACACCACGGAGACCATCAGTCTCCGTGGTGTAGTGGCAAGACACTCGCCTGGCGTTCCACGAGCGCTTTGTCATGGGTTCATATCCTGGCCGGGGAGGATTTACTGGGCGCAAATCCTTAACTGTAACCTGTTTAACTCAACAGTAAAATGGGTACTTGGTTGTAAAAATGATTCTTCGCGGCGAGGATCATATTCCAGGGACATGTCCGAAACGCTATGCGTACTAGTGGCTGTACAAGAATGTAACAACTCTTGTATATATCTCAAAAAAAAAAAAATGTTCTAACGACGTATAAATAAATGAAGGTGAAGGAAAGACCCAATATATGTATAAATATATTAAAGTCCAAATTTTTTAAAGTACAATAACCTATATTCTTTCTCAAGGTACTGTATACAGTACTGTACAGTACAATGAATGTTCTGAAAAATGCATGTTCTGAACATATAGTATACAGTACAGAACCTTGAGAAAGGATGTAGGTTACATCCAAAAATTTGCTTTTTAATACATATATTGGGCCTTTGCTTCACCTTCATTCAAGCACTATGGCATTGTAGTAAATTTATCAATAAATGCATTGTAAATTAAATTTTTCTAGACTAATTAGCATAGATAGGTTTACATATTAACTGCTTGTCTCATTACGAGAATACACTGCACAAATATTCTTATGGTACAGTACTACTACTATCATATGTAAAATAATTAAAAGATTACATATAAAGCTTTGTGCTAAATATCATTATGGTTACATATCCAAAATGATGCATACCATAATTTCTGGCATATATGACGCACAACGATATTTTGTGGGAAAACACTTTCAGCATGTTTCATCATACATTTATTGAAAGGGATTTTCAAGTGGTGTTGTAGGGTAGAATATGTGCTTCTGTTCATACAAATACAATATATACTAGGTTGGCGGTCCCAAAAATGTGTCCTAACTGCCAGCAAATATGGAAACGTGTGGAGATGTTTTAATAATAAGTTTAAAGAATATACTAAATTTAGAATAAGGCAAAGATGCGTGCAGTAAAACGTCTTGAGAAGTAATCTTATGAAGTCTTAACCACTGCACTGTGCCAAACGACAAATGCTGTTTTGAGAGTTATCTTTTTTTTTTTAATTAAGCTATATTTTAATGTTTTTTAATGTTTTCATCACTGTGTTTTGAAATGAAAATAGTTGAGTTTGGAAACACTTTGACATTAACTTTACCTGAACATTTATAAAAACAACAAAAATATATCCTTAGTAATTGCACTATGAAGTTTTTGCCAAATACAGGTGCGCAGTGCAGGGGTTAAAATAGAGAAGAAAGTCTTCCATTCCATGAAAAGTAATAAGAATTTTGATTATTTATAAACTTAAGAGAGCAGATCAACTACATACCAACTTTCATTTAATACAGGGTACAGTATTAAACTTATTATAAATACAGTATTGTACTGAGAGTAATAGAAATATAAAAAACAGATTTATATAGTTCACCCAAATTTGAATGAATTTAAAATAATTTACACTTTCAAAAATACTCGAGTAGCCATCCTTGCTTAAAAAAAAAAAAAAAAAAAAGTGGTGGTGGATATACACAGGTTTAGTCGATACATACCACATAAAAAACAAACTACGAGGACCTTAGACTAAATAACAAATGCGGTAATAAATGCAAGCTGTCACACAAATCGTATTAGACTATTCTTTAAACAGAGTAAACAAATCAATTAAATAACCCACAGACAATGATGAAAAACTCTTTTAATGTTCGAACAATGAAATTACACGACAAAGATTTTCTCAAAGATATATCATAAAGATATATCACTTATAGTTACATCCCTCACAGATATATCATTCATAGATATCATGAAGATGTATACCTCAGCAACAATCAAGTGAACATGAAAAGCAATGTTCTGAGCTGTATCAGTTGACAGCAATATCTTCAAGGCAATATGTTTTGTGTATACAGCACTGGGGAACATGAACATTGGAGCCTCAGAGAGAGAGAGAGCTATACAGTACACTAATTATAAAGGTAAAATAAGACAAAACCATAAGGCATCTCACTAATGCGGATATCTAACCATTTATCAATAATAATAGCACAAAAAATATAAATAAAAGTTAGCAATTTACATAGATTAATAATCAATAAAATATATTTGCATTTCTGAAACAAATTCTTGTTAAAACACTTAAAACAAATATTTATACAGAAATGACAAAATAATGAATTCTCACCAAGCATAACATACTGAACAATTGTTATGAGATGACAGCTTAGGAATACATGTATGTAATCAAAATGACGAGAGCATAAATAATCATAGCAGTAAAATGTGGTCATTTGATTACAGTGCAACTAACATTTGCATTAGTCTCTGCAAGAGAGAGCAGGTGGATACAGGATTGCAATTTTTCAGCTACCAAGAGTGGAAAGGTTGATTTATGAGAGAACTATTTATATTCATATGAATTTAGTGAGGAAGCAGGATAAGGAAGATAAATATATAACCCAACCCACACACAAGATATGAAAGTATCGATGTTCTGGTCCGTTCTGGACCTTAATCAATGAATGTCATGACTTGGCAAGGATCCAGAACTGACCGAAACGTCGTCAATTCCTTTCATGTGTGGGATGGGCTGGGATATTTGTTTTCAGCCACATTGTTGTGACTCATTCTCAGCAAAAGGATGGGAATTAAAGTATTATTGATAAAACAAATGATCAATTCAAGTTTACATTCATCAATTGTTATTATAGTATATGTTAAAAGTTTGCAATTTGTAAAGCCTTTTTAACACTATTAGTTATCACAAGTACAAAGTTTAGGATCAAAATTAAGAACAATAAATGATAAAGAGCAGACATACCCATACAACTATGACGACGTCGATTGTAGCGATAACCATCTTGACAGCGGCCACGCTTACTGCTGCTTCCACCTGGCCTCTGTTGGGCGTTAAACACACTCAACAATTCTCTGTACCCCATATTGTGTACAGAATTGATATCTTAATTAGAAATAAAGAATACACACGACTACTATGTTTAGTGCTCTTTCAGATAACAGAAAATATTATTCGATTATTCTCCTTCCAATATACGCTACCCATTCACTGATTCGGACCTTGGTGCCTTGAATCTCGGTAACTCGGCCAAAATTATGACATCAGAAATCTAAATTAGGTGACTTAGTTGTTGGGTTACTGAACAACATCCTGTGACCTATGCTGACTATGCACAAATACGCTGGAACAAGGCATCAATAAAAATTACAACAAATATTATAGACAATTTTACAAATGTGTATAAAGGCTGTAGGTTGTACTGTATTTTCCTTATAAAATTAATTATTTTTGCATCTGGCAGGTCATGTACTCTTCTACAGCTGAACCACTCCATTCACCGAGCACTACTGAAGGATAACTGAAGGATTGACCCCATAACTGAAGGATTTTCTTTATTTCAAGGGAGAAAAATGTCAGAAAATTTTTCACTAACAAGATGTCAAAATGTCCTGGGTAGTAAAAGGAAGCAACTTCCTCTTATCGATTAATTATACAGTATCTTAAAGTTGGGAAACTTTGTAAGAATGACTGTGCTATCGAGTGTGTTGAAAGAATATAGGATGAACACGAGCACTACATTAGATATTTGGAAAAAAAAATTAAAAATACATGTACTGTAAAGAACAATACAGCATTATATTCCAATATATTATTATATATATATATATATATATATATACTTTTATATATGGGACAGCCCCATTGTAGAGAAAGAAGCCACAGCTTTGCTGGAGGCAGCAACAACCCCCAGTGATCGTGCACGCCTCACAGCTGTGCAGGCTCCCCATGCAGGGGACTTCCTTCTGGCAGTCCCTATGTCTGCGACAGGCACACGTCTTGATCCGCAGGAGCTCCGTATTGCACGCTCTCCGCCTTGCTGCCCCTATCCACACTGTTCACAGGTGTATTTGCGGCGAGGCAGATGCTGACGAATATGGATTGCATGGCCTGCACTGTGGAAAATCGGGTGGTTGGCACACTAGACACGACGAAGTCAACGACATCATTAAAAGAAGCCTTGCCTCTGCTCAGTGTCCAGCGGAGAGAGAGCCCCGCAACCTACTGAACCGTGACTCTGTTAGCTTTGCCGGCCGACCAGACGGAATCACACTGCGTCCGTGGAAGGGTGGCAGGCAGTTAGCATGGGACTATACTTGCGTATCCACCCTGGCAACGACATACATCACCCTCTCTGCCGGCACAGCAGGAGCCGCAGCGACACACAGAGAAAAACAAAAGTCAGTCAAGTACAGGCAATTAGATCAAAGGTACAACTTCGTTCCAATAGGGTCTGAGACCCTAGGCCCATGGGGTGAGAGTGCAAGAAGGTTTCTTAAGGATCTTGGTTCCAAGCTCATTGACACCACAAGAGACCCTAGAGCAGCAAGTTTTCTCTTTCAGCGCCTCAGTGTCGCGATCCAGAGGGGAAATGCCCGCTGCATCCTCGGTTCCTGCCCGGCGTCGGAGGAGTTCGAGGAAATCTACAGCCTCTAGGAAGCGAACTTTTTCTTGTGTCCTCTTAATGTTCATTTTTTGTATAAAATCAGATATGTAACTGTATAACCTTGCATAATAAAGTGTACATCATAATAAAAAAAAAAAAAGGGGGTGGTAGGAGAAGTGAACACTCTTTCGTATTCAGAGTTAAATGTCAAGTTTTTCCCTGAGTGCTCTGTGTTCCCTTCTCTGAGGCTGTGGGTCCCTATAATTGCACCAGTGGTGGTACCCCCCTATATATATATATATATATATATATATATATATATATATATATATATATATATATATATATATATATATATATATATATATATATATAACTGAAAACTCACACCCCAGAAGTGACTCGAACCCATACTCCCAGGAGCCACGCAACTGGTATGTACAAGACGCCTTAATCCACTTGACCATCACGACCGGACATAATGAGGTGATAGCCGAGGCTATTTGAACCACCCCACCGCCGGCACTCGGATAGTAATCTTGGGCATAGCATTTTACCAAATCACCTCATTCTTTGGGGCACACGTGAGGAACACAAATGCGAACAAGCCTGAATGGTCCCCAGGACAATATGCAACTGAAAACTCACACCCCAGAAGTGACTCGAACCCATACTCCCAGGAGCCACGCAACTGGTATGTACAAGACGCCTTAATCCACTTGACCATCACGACCGGACATAATGAGGTGATAGCCGAGGCTATTTGAACCACCCCACCGCCGGCACTCGGATAGTAATCTTGGGCATAGCATTTTACCAAATCACCTCATTCTTTGGGGCACACGTGAGGAACACAAATGCGAACAAGCCTGAATGGTCCCCAGGACAATATGCAACTGAAAACTCACACCCCAGAAGTGACTCGAACCCATACTCCCAGGAGCCACGCAACTGGTATGTACAAGACGCCTTAATCCACTTGACCATCACGACCGGACATAATGAGGTGATAGCCGAGGCTATTTGAACCACCCCACCGCCGGCACTCGGATAGTAATCTTGGGCATAGCATTTTACCAAATCACCTCATTCTTTGGGGCACACGTGAGGAACACAAATGCGAACAAGCCTGAATGGTCCCCAGGACAATATGCAACTGAAAACTCACACCCCAGAAGTGACTCGAACCCATACTCCCAGGAGCCACGCAACTGGTATGTACAAGACGCCTTAATCCACTTGACCATCACGACCGGACATAATGAGGTGATAGCCGAGGCTATTTGAACCACCCCACCGCCGGCACTCGGATAGTAATCTTGGGCATAGCATTTTACCAAATCACCTCATTCTTTGGGGCACACGTGAGGAACACAAATGCGAACAAGCCTGAATGGTCCCCAGGACAATATGCAACTGAAAACTCACACCCCAGAAGTGACTCGAACCCATACTCCCAGGAGCCACGCAACTGGTATGTACAAGACGCCTTAATCCACTTGACCATCACGACCGGACATAATGAGGTGATAGCCGAGGCTATTTGAACCACCCCACCGCCGGCACTCGGATAGTATCTTGGGCTATCACCTCATTATGTCCGGTCGTGATGGTCAAGTGGATTAAGGCGTCTTGTACATACCAGTTGCGTGGCTCCTGGGAGTATGGGTTCGAGTCACTTCTGGGGTGTGAGTTTTCAGTTGCATATTGTCCTGGGGACCATTCAGGCTTGTTCGCATTTGTGTTCCTCACGTGTGCCCCAAAGAATGAGGTGATTTGGTAAAATGCTATGCCCAAGATTACTATCCGAGTGCCGGCGGTGGGGTGGTTCAAATAGCCTCGGCTATCACCTCATTATGTCCGGTCGTGATGGTCAAGTGGATTAAGGCGTCTTGTACATACCAGTTGCGTGGCTCCTGGGAGTATGGGTTCGAGTCACTTCTGGGGTGTGAGTTTTCAGTTGCATATTGTCCTGGGGACCATTCAGGCTTGTTCGCATATATATATATATATATATATATATATATGTCGTACCTAGTAGCCAGAACGCACTTCTCGGCCTAGTATGCAAGGCCAGATTTGCCTAATAAGCCAAGTTTTCCTGAATTAATATATTTTCCCTAATTTTTCTCTTATGAAATGATAAAGCTACCAATTTCATTATGTATGAGGTCAATTTTTTTTTATTGGAGTTAAAATTAACGTAGATATATGACCGAACCTAACCAACCCTACCTAACCTAACTTAACCTATCTTTATAGGTTAGGTTAGGTAGCCGAAAAAGTTAGGTTAGGTAAGGTTAGGTAGGTTAGGTAGTCGAAAAACAATTAATTCATGAAAACTTGGCTTATTAGGCAAATCAAGCCTTGCATAGTAGGCTGAGAAGTGCGTTCTGGCTACTAGGTACGACATATATATATATATATATATATATATATATATATATATATATATATATATATATATATATATATATATATATATATATATATTTATTTATATATACACACATATACTATATTTGTGTATAGTCAGCATATACTGTATGTATATATACATACATATATACAAACACACACATTATACATCATAATGATAATTTGAGTAAATAATATTTTACAAACATATATTATATATAATACATCAAGTTTTCTTATTATCCCAAGACTTCCAAAAATACTTAAAAGGAGCATGCAGCTTGTGTGGCATGAAAATCCAGGTTTCCAAATTAAAAGTACTGTACTGTACTGCGAATCATGCACTAAAACGTACGGTATTTATTTGTTTCGATACCTTAGCCACCACAACATCGTAATCTTCCCCATCACTTTCCTCTCTGGTATATGCGGTGCTATTAAGAACATCAACTCGTAGCTCACAGACATAGTCGCCACGTCGGTTGATGCACGTCTCTAGTGATGAACAGCCATGGATTCCCTCCACACACTCGTTTACATCTTCACGGTGAAGGAAACAACACATCAGGTGGCATAATTTGCAACTGCCCATTTAGTGAAAGCTATGTTTAACAACAGTAGTCCAAAAACAACAGTTAGCAAAAAGCTAGCACTAGAGTCTTTCTCAGAGTTACAGACTTGTTAAAACGGCAACAAAATGAACAGTAATACAATGTACAGTATATTGAACTTTTTCTGCAATGATACTGCACAGTAAAATTCCAAATGCTGGAATGTCAATTTCTATCAAGAGATTAAGGGTCATAACATCCCTAGCTCAGCTCATTATATTTTGTCCTTTGAACATGATCTACCGAATGCTTTACATCCTGGTCCCCAAATTGCGACTTGGTGCACAGGGGCAAATAGAAAACTATACATTTTGGCAAAAGCAAATCCAATTTTTATAGTTTAATTTTCTTCAGAACAATATTTTTATCATGCAGTTGCATTAAGTGTTTTACCCCTATGCACTATAATTCATCAAAATATTTCCAAAATGATAAATGCTTAGCCCTTGAAATGCTCATACCATCCTTAGATGTTAGACCCCATTCTGAAATATTTTAAATACTTTGCAACATTTGAAACTCCTGCTGGTACACAGTGTTACCAATTGGCATTCGAGGTCTCCGGTAAACATCTGCCATCTTAAAAAGTGACAACATTTTTTTTAGACATTATTCCTTTGCTCAGGGTATGGATTTTAACAATACAGGAATACAAAAACCTTGTTTTAAATATTATTGTTCTGTGTGTATGTCTAATGTCTAATTTTAATCCTTGCACAATCCAAGGGATAAGCATTTTTTCTAAAATCAAATATTAACTAACCCACGCAGACTCTAGCAGTCACGTTGAAGGTGAATCCAGGATGGCAGGTCTGAGTGACAGTGTCCCGAGTTTGACACTGATACGACCCAAGAGTGTTGACGCAGTCCTGGCCATCCTCACAGTCATCGAGGTTTTCACGGCACTCATCGATATCTTTGGTAATATGGTGGTAGTGGAGGAAGAACTTGAGGTACCATAATGAAGGAATACATCTGGGATTTTAGCATGCAGGTCCCCGTAATCTTATCAGCACTTACAGAACCTTCAAGTTCCCAGAGTTTTTTATAAATATTAAGTGCTGTACAGTGAGAATACAAGAATGTGATATATGAGGAAATACTGAAGCAGTAAGATGAGATTGAACTCTTGTCCTTTAACTCCTCACCGATGTGCATATTGCCTAAAGAGGTCAGGAATGAGAGCTCGATCTCTTTGTACTAGTAAAATATTTTCTCATTTGGTACATTACTGAAAGTACATGCAACATTCTTTGAATTTGGCACACAGATATGAAATGTAAACATAATTCTGTAATTACATTGTTAATACATTGTATAACAAAGTAGTAAAAGAGAAATGCAATACTGTATCATTAAACTTAGAGAAAATCCGTTGGAGCCATGATGAGGGTTCGAACCTTTGTGGTGGGAGTTCCCACGCACACGTGCTAGCGATTAGACCCCAACTTGGTTAAGGATTGCAACCTGAAGTGCTACTGAACACACACACAAGGATTTCCTGAGGCTTCTACTGAAGCCGAAACAGGATTTTCACACACTACCCACCATGCACTCTGGCTCTGCTTTCTAGGCTTGTTCTACCTCTGACACTCCTCTTTCAATACACAGAGAGTAATCACACTAATGTGACTGCACCAATGAGAAAATCCATAGACACCATGATGTTCAAGTTAAGGTGATTATCAGGAGAAAGTACTCAGCCAGTATGATTACATAGCACTTGGAAGGGCTATGAGAACAAGCAAATCAAGTAAGTAACTGTGATATGAAAACAGTGAAAAAACAGCTCCCAACCACTTGAACCACTTGAGATTGAATGTCAACCTGCAGGGACCTAGTCCATAGCTCTACTGACCAAAGTGGATGGTTGCTCTGAGGACAAGGAGCTGGGATAAGAGGTCAAGGAGATGAGATATGAAGATGGAGTGAAGAAATGGTGCCCAACCACTTGGACCAGTGGAATCAACACAAACCCAAAACGTTGTCACTGTTTCATATGTGTGAGGTGGGTTATTCATTATCCATTATTAAAACTAGTTAAAAGCATTTATAAATACATTAAATACAAATGAAACTTATTGCAACTTATTTGGAGGAAAGATGGCACTCACGCAAAAATAAAAATCTTATGGAACAGCTTTCAACTAACATGTACAATATAAACATATTTCGAGGGAAGCTATTTGCTGGATAGGCTATAACTATGGTAAGGCTAGAAAAGAAATAATATCCTATATTTGCATATTATATACAATTTAATATTAACCAAAATCCAAATCGACACATTTAAAAAAAAAAATGCTGTAACCCAGACATACAGAAGCATGAATATCACACTCAAACATTACATTAGCGATAAAACCAAACTACCTGTACATACAATACAAGCAACAACATTTTCAAAAAGCAATGAATTTCTTAACTAAAATATCTTGAGAAGTGTCCTTAGTGTACCTACCAACACAAGCACGTATTTTGTCGTTATATCTGAAGCCAAAGCCACACGTGGGCTGGCGATCAATACATCTGAAGCTGCCGACAGAGTTCACACACGTTTGGGTTGATGAATCGCAAGAATACACATTTTCTGCACATTCATCGATATCTGAGGGTGAAAACAGTCATAGTGGTATGTCTGACTATTGCTTAACATGCTTGAAACATATAATTATACACTAACTGTGAATTTAACTGGAATAAGAAATAGTCATAAGAGGGAAATTTTATTACTTTTAAATCATTGGAATACTGTATACAGAATGTATACAAACTACTGCCCTATTCATCATGCTCATCATTAAATTAATTTATCTGGGTGCCATAGAAGTACAGTAGGTTTAAAATTTAACATAAAAAACTAGCAGTATAAAAATAGTTTAATCAGCCTGTTCATGATTTGATAAGCATAAAATTTGAAATACAATAATATTGTTTAACCAAAAGTGTACAAATTTAGGTAACCCAATAGTCCAACCAAGCATCATTACTGCTGCACTTTTAAATTCATTATAGCATCAGAATTTTGACACTATAGTTGCAAAGTTTAATACATATTTGTCATAATTATTAATCATTCATGATTATCATTTGCATGACAGCATCCACTATGTAACTAAACAAAAGTTATGATGAATCCTTGATTCGTAAATACTGTAACTAAATATCGGATTAATGAATTTTATTTTTAATTACCCTCATCTTCTTCACTTTCACAGCTTACTGCTACCCTAAACTTTGAAAGACAGTGGGTGTCAGCTAGTCTATTTAGCACTGAGTATTTCATTATATACTGAATGTGTGCTTTATTTTTAAGATGTGTGACTGAGTGAATTAGTTCCATAAATTAGCCAGTTCCAATTGGACTTAAAAATACAATGCAATTGCAACACATTCAGTAAATACTGAACATTTGTTTTACACTAGTTTCAGCTGAAAATGAATTGGGTATAATCAGACGTGTATTATATATAAAAAACATAGTTATTAAGTGTGTATGATAATTCTCAATGATCAATACCATATAATATAGTGGAGAAAATTGAACTTACCTGCATTCTGCAGTGGAAGAGAGTGCTCCAACTTAACTTACTAACCCAATGACAAACAGATCATACAACAAGCTATAAAATGGCAATAGAGACATACACGTCTACTTAATGAATGTTCCCCATAAAAAGTATTTTAACACACTTGAGAGAAAACTAAACATATTTACATACAACATTTATAAGGAATACACTACACCTTACTTCACAAATCACCATGCAGGATCTGAAATGAATTACAACAGTTAAAAACATGAACACATTTCACTCAAAATGAAACAAACCGGCAAAAGAATTAATTACAGGTAAACATTTTTCTAAAATTTGTACTCTTCCTTTCCATAAAAACACACACACAGTATATCTTTAGCAAGACATAATGGACCAGTTGACTTTACGTGCTTTAAGAAGCACTTCCGTGAAAAATATCTGAAACAAGAAGAATAAAAGCAACTGCATAAGGCCTATTGGCCTATACTAGGCACCTCCTACTGGCCTATAATGTAAAATGTACTGATAAATCAGAATTGTACTAGTAAAGCCATATCAAATGAGCTCTTCCAAAACTACAATTACGTAAAACATTTTCATGATAAAATTACACAACAAAACATTTCATGAGCCTGAATATCAAATGGTAACTAGCATAAGAAAATCTAATTTAAAACACTGGTGATAAAAGACAAAGACGTACCCTTGCAACGTCTCTCGGGAGCATTGTACCTAAAGCCTTTCGTGCATAAACTGGGTGAACCTCTGCATTTAAACGTCCCATATTGATTATAGCAGCGCTCTCCTTCATGGCAGTTGTGGGTGCCTTCTGTACACTCATCTACATCTGGTATTGTAAAGTGACATGAAAAATAAGATTCATAATTACACATTACACAGCAGTAAAATTATACAACCTTTAAAAGGGTTTCAAAAACTTGATTAGTATTTTATAAAGCTACAGTATTTAAATCACATGACAATGTGAAATAAGACTCTCTAGGAAGCAACTCTGCCATATCCAACAGTCACAAACAGTTATGTACCGCGTACATTTACTTATAATTCTTGCAAGTTACCTTAACTCTCATATCCAATGTTCCAATGTTTACAAGAGCAAACTCTTCACCTCTCAATTTTTTACCTGCTTATTCCATACAACAAAACCTTGCAGAAATCCACAAAATCCTTACAAAAATTCTTAGGTAATGGCAATTTATACAAATTGTATGGAACAATGATCTAATTTACAATACACAGAGAAATTACATTAACATGATATATAAAAAAACAAGTCCACAGGAGCATTGATGAAGATTCGAACCTATGCACCAAATGTTCCCAGACGCGCTCTAGTCAACTGTACCACCACATGGTCAAAAGAATTGCAACCTGGAGTGCTACTGCACCCACAAGGGTCCCAAAACTTCCACTGAAGCCTAACCAGGGTTTCTGATTATTGATCTGATTTTCTTGTATGTAACTGGCTTTCCTACCAGGCATACTGATCTGTGATCATGTAATATAGGATATAAATCTTAATCTGACATTTAGTCTCAAATCACACGACATATCTGTTATCCTGTGATGTTTCCACCAGAAATTGAGCAATGCAGCAAACATGGCACTAATACACATTTGTATAGTAGCAATGTAGTATATAATTTTTATCACAACCAACCACTAACCATTTCAGAGACTCAATCTTTACGGTCACTGACCCACTATTCAACCACCTAAGGACCAAAACCAGTGAACAATACTAGGTTAAAATTAAATACATGATTATACCCCCATGGAGTTTACGAAATGTCAAGCCACAGAAAACTGCATAATACGAGGTGTAGTCTCGGGACTAAACCCAAGTGAAGTGTTACTATACAGAACTCATCATTCATTAATCTGATGTATTTGCTAAATTTTATATTTACTTTTAAAGGAGTTTGTGTGTGTAAAGGTGGACGTTAATCGAGTCAAGACTTCAACAGATGAATTCAGCCAAGATTGGGAGGCAACAGGTTTTTAAATGGATTGGAATTCAGCATGGAACGAATCAGTTCTGCCCATATACAATTTACTCTCAACTTACCGACACATCTGAGTGACTTTGGATCACGAGTGAAGCCTTCTGCACAGTCTGTGAGAGGTATACACCTGTAGCTGCCTTGAGTGTTGATACATTCCTCCTTCGGAATACGACACGTGTGCTCGCCAGTTTCACACTCATCCACATCTGTGATACACATGCACAACATCATTTAGGGCCTATGTATACTCGACATTAATCTATATTTGTTTAAACGTTATCATTGGGAATAACCACTCTTCAAGGTGTTGTTACATGTTCACTTAATTACCAATGTCAGGGATGGGAAGCATGCATTTAGGCTCATTGAGATCCCCCTAGGCCAACTTCAGAACTTTTCCAGGAAGCAACCCACAATAGTTGCATCTTGGACATTAGACTGCGTGTCTAGTGAGTACCATTGGTTGAAAGGGACGACGTGTCATACTAAACTATATGTAATGTTGGTCGCTTTCATCCATCAGTACCCATTGGGCAGTATCTATTGCTAAATGAACAGACTCATTAGGTGTAAGGAAACATTCCCAAAAGTCTTGTCCTGCCCAAGAACTGAACTTAGGACTAAGCCGATGAGACTGATATATTTGATATAATTTATAACTAATCTACATACAGTATGGTAGAAAAATATTACCAAAATTAAAAGACTAAATTTACATCACATTTAAAATTATAGCTTAAAATTGTTAATGTTTCCATAATGAATATATTTAAGGGTCCTGTAGTTCAGTGGTGTACATTTTTAGCTCACAAAGTTCCTGGGCTCATTTCCCACAGTTGGACAATGACTGTTGCACATGTTTCCTTTCACCTGATGGCTCTGTTCACCTAGCAGTAAATGAGTTAGTTTGACAATTGTTATGGATTGCATCTTGGGAAAGGTCAGTAGTTGGTCTAGGATAAACCTTAATAAGCCTAAGTATAGGGTTTATGTCCCCAATAATGGGAATCCATACGATTATACAAAAAAAAGGTCACCTCTGCAACGTCCACGTGCATCCCGCTGGTAACCTGCAGTACAGTCAAGTGTTCTACATCTGTAACTGCCACGTGTGTTCACACAACGTTCTTGCTGGGTACATGGGGCCTCTTCAACACACTCATTGATATCTGAAACACAAACAAGTTACGTGAAAAGATTGTGGATGCCAAACCATCAGTAGTTTCCAAGTGTCATATGACAGTTCAGCACTGGGAAGACAGGACACCAAGAGTGTTGAAATGGCTGGTACATAATGTCTTGCTTTTATTGTTATTAATGTAAATGCTTTGTTGAAGTATGTAAAAGCCTTACATACATGAGCTGTAAGGAGGTTTTCAAAATTAACCCCTCCCTTACAGCATAGCTCTCATCCTATAACTACACTTAGGTAATTACATATCAATTCTATTTTATTATTCAATAATCAGTTCACTAAATATAGAAATGACTAAATATCCAAGCTTTTAAAATTAATTACCTTCGCACTGCTTGCTTTGTTCATCTCTCCTGAAGCCCGGACTACATGGCGTAAGACGACGACATGTAAACGACCCATTGCTGTTGATACATTCTTCCTCAGGTCCACAGGGTGCAGACTCACATTCATCTATATCTTCTCAAATGATAAATTAAGATCAATGGAATGAGAACTTTTTTATAATATTTTCTTAATTATTGTACCATTGCAATATGATAAGCACAAGTGAACTGCACAAAGATGTTACTGGTATGAAAACTAAATAAATCTAATGAAAACTCTGGCCAAGAAAATGTCTATCACCTGAAAAAATGTTATGGATAAAAAATTTCAGTAGCCACTTGTTACACTAATGAACTATATTAATTAAATGTTCGTAACTAAGATTCTCCATATTAGTCTCCAATCAGAAATTCTGTGACATGCTGATCTTTGAGTGATTTATTACTCTGTATGGTATTTCACTATACAGGTGCTAAAACTCTTAAAAACTATATACAGTAAAGCTGAACAAGAATTACTAGTGTTTATAGACAAGACTGAATAAGAAAAATTACATATGCAGTACAATACTGTATTACAAATTAATACAAGTTTTATTAAAATCTAAAAAAAGTTGAAAAAAAAATTATATCTTAAATTTCCATATACTGTAATTCCTTCTCACCTATACACTGTCTGGGGTCATCCATGTTACGAGTAAAGCCCGGGTTGCATGGTTGAGGCTGGCAGGTGTGGCCCCCAAGGCTGTTGACACACTGCTCGAATCCTGCCTCACATTCATGAAGCCCTTCTTCACATTCGTCAATATCTGTCACAAAATAATGAAAAAGTAGTATCTGTTGTGACAAGCTGAATTTATCCTCCTCAGTTATGGATGTAGCCATAAGTGTATTTAAAACATTGGCCCTTACTCAACCCAGGACTATAAGCTTCTGTTACTTAACAGTATTCATGTCTAGACAGTTGAATGACACTCCAAATCTGCTATGCCCTATCACTTGCTGCTGCTCTCCTCTTTAACAACTGTTGTGCCTATTAAAACTGTAGGAGTGCAATTGTTTATACCTTGGTAAACTAAAGTATCAAAAACAGTTTTGGACTCTTGTCCACATTGTTTGCATTCCATCTCAAATGCACAAGACTCCTGCTATTGTAAAATGTCACATTAACTACAATCAGTTAAGGGCAAGTTACAGAGATTGTGCAGGCAAAACTTATTATGTACAGTACCTTGTAACCCCAGGCAATTTCTATTTCCCCATCATCATCCAACAAGACAAAACTAGGATCCCTTATGGCACTGCTACATGAGATCAAACACATTTAGCTATCACACATGTTATCCACCCATGTATTTAATTACAGGGATGCAGATCATGCAGTGTTCCTGAATCATTATTTACTTAAGTATGATAGACTAGTCACCGATTTCTGGACACTGGTTTTGTAGGTTGCACTCGGAATTACACAAGCTCGGGGAGCTTGGGGAAGCCACCAGTGGGGCCCACCAGAAAAGTCATTTAAATGGCTACATCTAAATGGTTCTTAAGCCAGTCTCTCCATACTTGACTGTCACCAGAATGGATACAAATGTAACGGCAATAACTTTGTCCCCTATGCACCAAACAAGAAATACAACACAAGACTTAAAAACTACAAATACTAAGATATGAAGAGATACTGTAAGCCTATCGATAATAATAATAATACTGTATATTATTAGTAATAATAATAATAAACATGTAATACTAATAATAATAATAATAATAATAATAATAATAATAATAATAATAATAATAATAATAATAATAATAATAACAATAATAATAATTGCAAAGAAATCACAATAGGGTGATATATCAATGAAAATAAATTTGTACAATCATGGCAGAGTCAGTTAAGGCAGGTGTCTGGGATTCACCAGAACGTGGGTTCAAGTCATTCGAATACCTCAAAATAATTTTCAATAATAAATAATAATAATAATAATAATAATAATAATAATAATAATAATAATAATAATAAAAAGAATAAGAATAATTGAGCCACAAAGAGTAAGCTGATGATTCCAAGCCAGTGCAAACAGATTCACTACTGAGCAGTCCCTGTGGTATAGTGGTTAAGACGCTCGCCTGGCATTTTGCGAGCACTTTGTCCTGGGTTTGTATCCTGGCCGGGGAGGATTTACTGGGCGACAATCCTTAAATGTAGCCTCTGTTTAACTCAACAGTAAAATGAGTACCTGGTTGTTAAACAATTTGGCATTCTGTAGATATGGCATAGTCACAGCCAAAAAGCAAAATAAGAAAATAATATTCATTATCAGTTACCATTGACTTATAACATTAGGTATCCCAACTAGACAAACCTAACACAAAGCATTATATTATTGGGAAATCAATTAAAATAAAAAATTTCCAATATTCTAACCTTGACATATATGAGTCTGAGAATCCCTCCGGTGTCCAGGGTCACATGGAAGCCAGGTGCATGTGTATGATCCATAGGAATTCAAACAACTCTGCTCTGGCTCACACACCGGAGATTGACATTCATCAATATCTAGAAAAAATCATACAATAAAAATGATGATCATGACAAGAAAATAATTTGGAGCAATATGTAGATTTGAACCAATGTTTAAGTGGCTCCTAGATGATTGTCTTAACCACAATAGGACAAATGGATTTTCTCACTGGCAGATTACACCATTGTGATTTTCTTGCATTAATAACAATAATAACAGTATTTTATTTACAAGATACTGCCAGTATCTAATGGATCTTGATCCTGAAGATATAGAGCTGCCTTATAGAATTAGTTCATGACACTGACCCTACATTATTGCCCTGGGGTGTTTCAACATCCCAAATAAACCCTTTCATAAAACCAAGATTACTTTCATAAGATTACTGAAAATAAATCAGTACTATAGGACCTATAATGGAAGTGAAAATTAAAACACCCTTAAAATAATGAACATATAAAAATTAACATTCATGTCCACCTACCTTCACAAAGCAAACTATTGAGATATCTCCCGAAGCCGGTGGGGCAGGAACTGGGCGGTTTACTAGTGGTTGTGGTTGTGGTTGTCGTCGTTGTTGTTGTAGATGTTGTGATTCTAGCACTCCTAGTCGGGGTAGGCGTGCAGACAAATGACCCCTCGGTGTTGGTGCATTGCTTTCCAAACTCACACGGTGTTTCAAGGCATTCGTTGATGTCTACACACACTGCAGCATCTCTTAAGAGGTACAAATTTGGAAGTGAAAGCCAAAATATATATAGTATAATATACCATACAGTATTTCCCTGCATATAAGATGCACTTATATACACAAAGTGACAGACCAAAAAATGGTATCCTATCCACCAGAAAATACAGTATTACAGAAGTGCTATGAATATTTCATATGAATGAAAAGTAAGATGATTAAAAGACTCACGTAGGATTATATCTGAAACCATCTTGGCATTCCACACGACACTCAAAGGCACCTTCCGTGTTAAAACATATTTGGCCAGGCAGGCAGTTTGTAATTCCCGCAGTACATTCGTCCACATCTGTAGAAAACAATGTATGCTTTGCATATTGGTGGCTTTATTAAATATGCATCCTCTGTAATACTTAATTATTCTTATTATTACTTATTATTATTTCATTATTTACACAATGAAATCACATTAATGTGATGTATCAGAGAACATAAGTAGGAGCCATGAACCGCTCACTTGGTAAAGATGTAAAGAATAACCCAAGATTAAGAGAGGTCAGATGATAGACTTTACAGTATTTATTTATTTATTTATATACAAGAAGGTACAGTACATTGGATTTATGAGAGTACAGAGCATTGATGTTTTACATTCTCGTAAAGCCACTAGCACGCATAGCGTTTCGGGCAGGTCCTTAATCCAACATATAAATTTAAGTATTTGCTCACAAAATGACTCTCACGGACTCACAATAAAAGGAAGGAAATATGCAAGATATTAAATTAGCTGTTAGAAACTGTGTTTATTCAAAACCTGGAGTTTCCAACACTGCCACAGCCATAGTTTTGGAACAGAAAAGTTACACATGTCTGGAGATGGCCAAAAAATAAAAAATTCAAAAAGATATATTAGTCTGGGGGTATCAGTCAATTAGAGTTCAACCTACCAGGAACCACGAGCCAGAACCTGGCCATCTCAAAGGGAGGGTCCGGGGGCTACCCCTCCCAGGGATGGGGTGGGCTACGCGGACAAGCGGCGGCAGTGTATGACGTATGCTTGTTTGATTGTTTTCTTGGGTGTTCTGGGAGTTATGCCTCTGTTTGTTCTTCGGTTGCAATTTTCTTACCAAGTGGGGTTAGTTTTGTTATGTCTACCTTTCTGGGTGCCTAACCCCGGTCGATGGCAGACATGGAATGTCCTCCAACCACATGGGGGTTTCCATAGGCCATTACTCCATGTGCCTCTCTGAGGGGGGGGGGTCAAGTTCTGGCTCGTGGTTCCCGGTAGGCTGAACTCCAATTGATTGATGCCTCAGACTAATGTATCGCATATCAGTTCGATAGTGCCAGAGAGCCGATGGGGCTCCCCACATAAAATGACTATACTGTATATTAAATTTGTGCCTTACCTTTACATTCCCCTGTAGTAGGATCGGGAGCATATCCAGCAGAACAGCGACGACGTGGCCTACATAAATAGCCCCCGAGAGTGTTAATGCACCTTTCTGATACAGAGCAGTCATCTAGAGCCGTGTTACACTCGTCTATATCTGATGAAACATAAAACTGTAATGTTAATCACTCAAGCTGAAGTAAAAAATTTCACTCATGAAGTATACTTTAGCTCTTGCATTGTGTAAGGGTTTCAGTGAGGCATTATCTGCATGTGCAAAGAAATATGGTATTGAAACAAGGTTTTTGTCTTTCTATATTCTTAAAAACCAAGCCTTGAGCATAGGAAAAAAAAATTGTCTTTTTAAAATTGAAGATGCTTGCTGGAGGCTTCAAATACAGTACCGATTTGGAATACTGTACAGTGTTCTAGCGGAAACTTCAAATGTTGCAAAATACTGTACCAAAAATATTATATGTTGTTATGCATAATATAAGGTTAAAGAGTTAAAAAAATTCACTATATTTAGTTTAGAGTACAATATTTTTAAGTACTATGAGTACTGTAATACATAGTGTCTCTCAAACTTCATTAAATATTGCCATCTGTAGCACTTCTCAAATTTAATAACATGTTTTGAAATGAACAGAGTTGGGACATGTCTATTATATTACCCAGTAATTTGTTCCATAAATCAACAACTGTTTCCAAACCTGTATAATATTTACCAAGGTCTTTCTTAAATTTTAATCTATCTAATTTGTATCTGTTGGTTTGTATTCTATTGTACATTAATATATTAACACTTTATTAGCATCCTCCTTTTTTATTTTTCAAGTTAAACAAGAGGATGCATGAAATATAAAACTTCTAAAAATGATAACTTTAAGAGATTTAAGTGTTAAACAACCTTGAAACATTTAAAGATGTAAGTGCAGTATTACACTCAACTTACCAAGGCACCGACTAGTGTTAAAGTCAAATCCAAACCCTTCAGGACATTCCTGAACAGGAGTCTGAAAGGTAGCACGAGCCAAAATTTCAAATGAATTCCTTTCAGAATCAACTTCATTGATACTAGTGGGCTCACATCGATATTTGCCAATCTCATTGATGCATATCTCTTTACTCGAGTGGCAGGTATGCAGGTCTTCAACACATTCATCAACATCTGTATAAAGACATACTTGTTAAGTCATACTGAACTATTATACATGACTAGTGGCTTTATAAAATTCAAGTATTGAATATAATTTGGCACCTCTTTCTAATGTGCCTCAGTGGTTTCCTCATCTTAACTCAAGTACAGTGCCACCAAGCCTTAGACTAACATACTAGGCCTCAGAGGCCCTTCCAATGCCTACTTTGAGCCAGGATGCAAGAAAATATCCTCAGTAACAATGGGGGGAACATTTGACAAATTGCCAGTTTCGTGTCCTCTCAAGGCCATCAGAAAGATGGTGGTCCTCGGGTAAATCCAGGATCAGAATCTGGCTCACTCGACAAAACAAGAGAAACGGGATCAGGGATCAACCACAACAAAGGGGAAACTCCACCAGACAAGTATGGTCCAGGCTCTCACACTAGGCTACACAAGCCTGGTGTGTTGGGCTACGGCTTGGTTGTACCACTCAAGGCTCCCTCTCCAAAACTTACATTGTGTACATGCTACAGCTTTGCAACAAAACCAGTATGCTTTTTTAATATTATATGGTATACTGAGGATGAATGGGAAATTTAAAAAAAATGTACATGTAGCAATTCTGCACTAATGCTTAATAATACAGAATCTAAGTCTGGGATGTACAGGTATTTATATTTAATGTATTTATATAAATAATTATGTAAACTAACTCGATAACTGTATAATTCAAAAGAAGAATAAGACGAAATTATGTCCCTGAAGAAATAATGGGGAACCTTTGACAAGCCACTGTCTTCCTGTTCCCATCAAGGCAACCTGTGATAGTGACTAGTAAATTCAAGTACATAAGGAAATGCCATATATACAGAAGAACAGTGGAAGACTATTGTCCGGACAACTGAACGAAAGTCTTCCATTGTTAGTCTTACAATATAGTGGCATTTCTTTTTAAATTTTTTGCATTAGTACAAAATATACAATACATCACAGTATAAAACAAAATAATTATTGTATATGGTAAAAATTAGTGATAAAGAAAATTAGTAAATAGGTACAGTAGATCATGCAATGGTTATTAATAACACACTGTAAACACTACAAATCTACCTACAAATTATTTGCACAAGAGGATCAAATGCTTGAAGAGCCATACAAAAATTGATGACAAATTCATACCAAGAATAACACGGTGAACACACATAAATGACTTATTAACCAAAACACAATATGAAAATTATTTGACTTTGCTCATCAAACTAACCAACCATCTTGCTTTGGCCAAAGACATGTTTATTTTGCAGTTTTTCTCAAACAGTTAGAGCATATAACAATCACGTCCAGCCCTAATTATTCAGCAAAGTTGTAATTTCCATTACAATACTTTGATGGTACTAGGTAAGATAACGTATGAAGAGAAAGTGATAAGACGGTACGAGTATACAGTATAGCACTTGGAAGGGATATGAGGATGGGATGAAGGAACGAACCCCATCCGCCTGGATCATCGGTGATTAAACCCTGACCCTGTAAGAAGCGAAACCATCTCTCTATTGACTAGTCCAAGTGGTTGATGGTGCAAGGAGCCATCAAAGTCCATCACGCAAAGACATTATGCCTTACCTTCACAACCCGAAGCAGTGTCATTGTTAGGTTTATAACCAGCAGGACAGAAGGCACGGGGTAACTCGTGACATTGGTAGGATCCTGCCGTGTTGTGACACTCCCATCCAGAGTCGCATGGTAGGTCGACACACTCATCCTGGTCTGTGGCGGGCTGGAGGTTACCTACGCCTGCTTTACATCTGAATCAGTGGTTAGTTACTAAAGATATGACCAAAAAAAATCTGAAAAATTGTAATTACAATATTTTCCAGCATAAATGATGCACCTAATTTACAAGGATATTTAGTAAAAAAAAAAAAAAAAAAAAAGTTTCATAAATTTATTGAAAATGATGATCAAGTGGTTTTTGTAGGGGAAAACATTATTTTGTGCATGTAAAAACAATGTACAGTATAGTACTGTACAACTATTCAGTCTAAACAGAAATGTATGAATCCAAGCACATCCCTTATTCTATAAGAGCCAATGAATAGAAAATGTCACTATCATGGTGCTTTAAGTTTTATGAATACATTCTATTTTTTAGTGACTGTCAATTATGTTAAAAATACAGCATATTAGGCAAAAGGACATGTCAAGGTGTAAACCTATCAATCATCTCATTCCTTTCTTTTTCGAACTGTTCCTTATTTAATGAAGGGCCAAAGAAAATAATGAATACTCCAAGTTATTAGTACAGTATATTCTTATTCTTAAATATCGTACTGTGCACTATTATACACTATTGTACATACTATGCATATATTCAAGGAATGATCAATAGGTTTTGAAACCGATTTTATTTTGAGAACACTATGGGTTCTATAGCACCGTAGTCTACATCCTCGACTCACAATCGAGGAACCCAGGTTTAATCCTGGACAGGACAGAAACGGTCGGCACGTTTCTATACCCCTCATGTCTCTCTTCACCTAGCAGTAAATATGTACCCAAGAGTTAGCCAACTGTTGTGGGTTGCATCCTCAGAAAGGTCAGCCATTGCCTCTGGAGACCTTTATAAGTTCAAAAGACCTTCTGTTCCTGACAATGGGAACCCAGATAAAAGTAAAGCCACAAGGCCTTTCTTTGTCTGCACAATACACATCAATGGAGCGCAACAATATGATATCCTTTGATTGGGGTCGAGTCCTCAGACGTCAGATAAGCATTCTGAAAATGTGTTCCATTTCTGCACACTATAGCATTTAGACGATCTAGTGTAAGAATACTGTACTTACATAGCAGTGAAACATTTTGGTCAAACCTCTCATACACAGCATACATACAGTGCATACTTCTGGAAAGCAATGAAGAGTGAATGAAGGGATATAAAGCAAGATGAAGGGATATAAAGCAAGACGAAGGGGGTATAAGGCAAGACGAAGGAGGGTATAAGGCAAGACGAAGGGGGGTATAAGGCAAGGCGAAGGGGGGTATAAGGCAAGACGAAGGGGGTATAAGGCAAGATGAAGGGGGGTATAAGGCAAGACGAAGGGGGTATAAGGCAAGACGAAGGGGGGGTATAAGGCAAGACGAAGGGGGTATAAGGCAAGACGAAGGGGGGTATAAGGCAAGACGAAGGGGGGTATAAGGCAAGACGAAGGGGGGTATAAGGCAAGACGAAGGGGGGTATAAGGCAAGACGAAGGGGGTATAAGGCAAGACGAAGGGGGGTATAAGGCAAGACGAAGGGGGTATAAGACAAGATGAAGGGGGTATAAGGCAAGACGAAGGGGGGTATAAGGCAAGACGAAGGGGGGTATAAGGGAAGACGAAGGGGGTATAAGGCAAGACGAAGGGGGTATAAAGCAAGACGAAGGGGGTATAAGGCAAGACGAAGAGATATATTAGATACTGTAGTTACATTAAATAGTTAAAGAATAATAAGCATATTTATGTTAGCTTGCTAGGTTAGTTTTGGTTGATTTATAAATCCAAAAGCTAGAATCTTTGATATTGAATGTTTAACAAAATAATCAATGATGAGGCAACATATTTCCTTATTAACAACCATTTAAAAGAGTAGGGCAATATAATATACACATATAAAATAAAGTAACTTGAAAAACTCACGTTATAATATATTCTGTATGTATTAGATATGCAACTTACATTTCTGCATCTATCCTTTATCAAAACCAATTACTCATACTCACCAACACAAGTTTGGAGGGCCAGGCTAAACTGAAAGCCCTCATCACATTTGATGTCACACTCGTATGCACCAGCAGTGTTTCTGCAGGTCTCCTCCAGAGGGTCACAACCATGCAAGTCTTCAGTGCACTCATCCACATCTGTTAAGAGGAGACTGGCGGCTTGGAGGAAAGTACAGTACATGAAAGAGGAAGCCCCACTACAGTGATATCTCACTTGAAAAGAACCCAGTCCATGTGATTGAAAGACTTGCCAGACTAAGGTAACACAGTGTCTTGCTCGAAAAGAACCCAGTCCACATACACGAAAAAGGAGCCCCACTACAGTACTGTAGTATCTCACTTTAAAGGAACTAGTTCACATACATGAAAGAGAAGCCCAACTACTGTACCATATTATCTTATTTGAAAAGAATCCGTTTCACTGGACAAAAGAGTTGCACCAGAAAGAAATTGTTCTGGCTGTGTGATCAATAGCAAAGTATATTTACAATATTTTGATTTAAAGAGAGAACATGTTAACCTAACATGAACAAGTCAAGATCTCGATACATATCTGTTCCCAGAATGACATTTGTAGGACCTCTACTAAGCCAAACTCGGACCTTCAATATTTTACGATATGCAGTGAAAAACCTATCCCGAGTGAGCAAAATCGCAGAGTGATTGGAGCAGTATAGGGTTAAATTTGTTTAAACTATTCAAACATTATTTAGCAGACATGGAATCAGAGAAAACAAGGATTTACATGCTAAACTGTGTATTAAGTAGCTCATGGCTTAATGTAAATTATTAGCAACAAACATAAATTAGTTCCCAACATACAATACCACAAACATATCTCAACACCATTATGTATACAGAGTTCTCATATAGTGCTCTGTTATCTAATCACAGAAATTAATTACACACTGCTTACCTTGATAGACTGTTGCATGGAGTCATCTTTTGCATCAATTCTTACTTTTAACTATAATATATGGCTATGAAAAAATATTCTGTGTTCAAATGAAGCCAAGTCTTAACAATGTGGTTGAAAATATCCATCCCACACATATGAAAAAAAAGGAAAGTGACGACATTATGACCCATTCTGAACCCTAGTTGTGCCTTGATAAGGGGTCCAGAACAGACCGAAAATTTGTCCCTTTCCTTTCTTTCCATATATGTGAATTCAACTATTTATTTGAATAATCTAAAATTCTTATCAAATTCCCCTTTTATTAGACATAATATCTTCATTATACTAAGAACATGTTCAGCAAAATAATAAATATTAACATCTTGCCAGACTATTGTTGCTAGACTCGCTACAGGTGTCAAAACTACACACACTTATTATGGACAGGCATACCTATGCAAGTCTGCTGTTGGATACTATACTTGTAACCAGCTATACAGCCCGTAGGACCTCCCCTTTGCTGACATGTAAATCCACCCTGGGTGTTGATGCAGAAATGCGTTGTCTGATTGCAGGTGGTGGGGCTGTCCAGACACTCGTCAACATCTATTGGTAAACAAAATTGTATTTTGTAAGTCTTTTCTATGGGTAAGACTTTTATTAGAATATAAGAGTTATTTGATGTGCAGTATATATACAGTATATTTTAAATGAAATTTAATTCTTTTTTAATGCTTTCAGTCTGTGTGTTTGACAATATTTTTGAAAGAGTGAAAGTACTGTGTACTAATAAATTTGATAAATTTCATTGTAGTTCTTTGGTTATGTATGCACTCGAGCATACATACATACTGCACATACATACATACTATAAAGCTTAGCATGCCAGTACATTATACAAAACCAAATAACACTGTAGTAATTAGCCTTACTACTGTAACAAATATTATGCACATATATAAATGACCACAAACTTGAACACTAAGACCTAGACACAAGACAAACCCAAGCAGGATTGGAGATTCAAGTCAAAAGCAAACCCAGGTGGACATTCAGCGACGGGTATCTGTGTACACGTGTAAGAACCAATGGTGTTCTGGCATACTGCTCCTCGGCCACACAGGCCAGAGGTTACGTCACATTCATCAACATCTGTAGGGAAAAAATCAGTGAGTACTCAACATACATGGAAAACGACTAAGCCTTCAAACAAGTCAAGAAGAGAAACTACAAAGCCTACAGACAAAGCAAGAAGAGAAATAGGCCTCAATACCAGATAACAAGAGATACCACCCAGTGAGCACTATTGGTTGAAAGTGACCGACCTTGGTCGCTTTCAACCTATGGTGTCTATTAGGTAATAGTCCTACAAAGAAAAAAACAAGAACTACAAGCATTTCCTCTCAATCTTTTACCATTTGGTGCAACTCCACACACAAGATGCCAAATCATCTTTTGTAAAATCAAATAAAATCAGTGTAAATACTGGGCATGACCTGCAGGGTTGGGTGGGAGCAACCCAATGAACCCTTTATGACCTGTCATGGTGGCTCTTGTAGACCACAGCAGGTTTGGGATCCCTCCCCCCCCCCTCTCCCTGTTTTAGCACACTTCAAGTCTACTGGAAACCTCTATAAGCATCAAAACATACATGTAGACATTTTTATACAGCTACACTTATCCAGTGCAGAAACATCACTGAAATTCAAACTCCTAACAAAAGTTTACATTTATGTATTCTTAAGTCAACTATAGATTAAAAGAATCTTTATTTTATCATCTTTATAACCAATTTCATTCACTTAGGAGTGAGGAGACTTGAACTGCCAACCCCACGGTGTGAAGTGGTAGCTCTTCCACTGAGCTATCATGGTAAGCCCAAAAGGAAATCTTTCCTATTGGGAAAGAAATGAGAACATATTCAAGCCGTACAATGGGACTGAACTTGCATCCCTGGACTCCTCAGGCACGTGGTCCAGTTGATAGCTAGTATGGCTGAGGAGTTCTGGGATGTGGATTTGATCCCATTGTATAGCTTCAATATTTTGTCAGAGTACTTTTGCTTCAAGCACACAATATAAAGATCAACAGGATAAAATTTTAAGGATTTTCCAAAATATCTGTCCACAAAGAGACCAGTGTACAAATTGAATGTAATACAAGAAGAACAACTGCAATATATGCATATTTTTTAAATAATAAATAGGCAATCATGCACAGTGGGTTGCAAGAATGCAAAACTACAATAATTAGGAATATGGCAGCATGCCACTACAGTATTAAGAAAAATATTTTTTTTTTTCTAATCCGGATTTCCACTAGTAATAAATGAAAAATTGCCCTTTCTAACCACGTGCTATTCTTAATCAATTAACTCATTATGGTTGTAAGCATTACATTTTATCTATATAATAACCCAATTCTTACACATGAAATATAAGTGATGACATGTTGGTCTGTCTTGGACACTTATCAAGTCATGATAAGGGTCCAGGATGGATTAAAACAATGTCACCTTTAGTTCATATGTTCATATGTGAGGGTTGTCTTGTGTGTTTCAATTATGTTATTGTGACATTCTCTGCATTGCTATCTGTACTTCAAACAAAAGATGAAATAAATTTTTTAGACAATAACTAAACTTCATCAACTCACCATCACACACTCTGGTATCCAAATTAAAATTGTATCCTGGAGGGCAACGACCTTGAGAATGCGTAGTATCTAGATACCCATGTTCAGGTCTTGCACCAGGGAACCCTTGCACCCCTAAGGCTCCTACTCTTCCACTGATCAATCCTGATAACTCTTGATCTACTTCATTGTTTATGCCATAGCCCGATGATCCTCGAGTCCCAGTTGACCTGGTTTCCTCAAGAAGACCTTTGGCAACCCCTGCACCACGGCCCGGCTGGTGCTGCGTAGAGCCCGGGGAGGACAAAGAGCCGTCTGCATTGATACAGGCGTAAGACCCAATCTGGTTATAGCATACCTGTTCTCCAGGAAGGCAGCTATGCACACCAGTGCTGCATTCGTTCACATCTGTCACATGTATAGATATAGTGCTACAAATAAAATAATCACACTCTCCACAATTACACTACTGTATAATAATTCATAATAAGTCCCATTGTCGGAAACAGGAAGCTTGTACTTGGGCTTATTGAGATCTCCCTGGCTCAACTACTGCCTGGGAATTGAACCCAGGATCCTCAATTTTGAGTCGAGGATGCAGACCACTGTACTACAGGAGCCTTGTGTGTTAACCTTTGTATGTGAAATTAAAATCCCATTGAAACATGTTGTACATACATTTACTTAAATAGCTAAATTATATTTGTAATATTTACAACTATAGTACTGTACTATGAAAACCCTGTATTACCACAAATAAAAAATCATTAAAATTCAAACATGCAGTATATTAAACACTACACAGGAAATTTGAAGTCCCAGTCTACAGAACCACATTTAATTAAGCAACAACTACACTACTTTCATGACTTTTAAGTAGAAAAGTACGTCATTACTTTACCCTCGCATGACCTTTGATCAACAGCTAACTTGAATCCCGGGTTGCATGAACATTCTATAGATACACCTGTGTCTCGGCAGGTATGGGCACATGGGTTGTTTAGATGGCACCTGACAGAGGTAAAGCAAATATATTATTGTTTTTTTAGTCAATAACCAACTGTAAACGTAAACTAAATCAAGTTTCATTAGCATAAAGAATATAAAATGATTAATGGTACTGTATTTCCAAATACTGTAGTTTCAAAATTAAATACAGTATACAGCATTCCTTAACAGACTTCATGAAACTTTTAAACATATTTAATTTCAAAGCACGTAAAATCTTATAGGCTATGTAGCTTGTCTTCATTTTTCCCAATAGTTCATTACTCGATTTAATATTCTGACAATACAGTAAAGAGGTTCTTTCCAATATCCTTGTAGTTCATTAAGATTTTTAATTTCCACCTGCAATTACATAAGTATAATTCTTATTATTTATTATGATAATTTTGTCAATATCACTGATTCACTGACCTCACTTATTTTAAGTATAAATAGAACTCAATAAACCCCCCTTCAATGGACAACTGATCAACAAGGCTGTGATTCATATGTCAGGCTGCAAGAAGTTGCATCCAACAGCCTGGTTAACCAGACCACCAACCATGAGGCCTGCTCAAGAGATCAGGCCATTGGGATGTTAATCCTCAGAATCACTGCAAGGTATGATACTATATTTTGATTTTTAAAGTGCAGCAATGTACTGCATTTTCTGGCAGATGTGTGTGAGTAAAGCACAGAGATAAGAGAGTGTGGGCCAGAAACAAATAATTATATAGGCATGCATGGGCATGGGGCCTTAAGACCTACCCCTAGGAAGAAAAACTAGAGTTTTTCTCCCTTTTCCCAGAAAATATATGAATGTCTCACACTTTATTTTACATGAATATTTTGGGGGAATTTGTTTTTATGTTTCCTTTAAACATTATAGGGGCTTATTTATATTTACATATGCTCAACCACTTAGACAGGGTGGTAAAGCAATGGTCTTGCTTCCTGCAGATCCGTATTCAATTCCCAACCATTCAAGTGGATGGGCACTATTCCTTTGTCTCTCCCTATCATAAATCCTTGTCCTCATCCCTGTCAAATGTTATACAATATAGTCATAATGGCTTACTGCTCTATCCTGATTACCTTACTTAAAGTTAGGTTAAACTTAAAGTTAACCTTACTTTACCTAATATTTAGATAACAAATAAATGGTTCTTAAAGGTAACAAACATAAAATAATGAAGAAATTACTGTACATTCTCTTCACCAAAAAAATATGGCAGACTTACAAATTAAATCCAAGAGACTTCCATAAATTTAACTTTATGGAAGTTTCACCTTATCCTCTATCAACAACAGAATCTTATAGTTTAATCCTATTGCTTCAACTAACCTGTCAGTCAGAGAATCCTATAACTCCAACTTACCTGTCAGTCAGAGAATCCTGTATACACGTCTTGCCATCAACAGAGAGTGTGAACCCTGCTCGACACTGGCAACGATATGATCCGGGCGTTGGTACACAAACATGTGCACACAGTTTACCTGGGAACTTTGCACACAAGTCATCAGATTCTGTTATGAGAAAAAACGTAAACTGTATTCTAATAAGGTCACCAGCAATAAATATCCTACTTTATTATGATCACTTTCTTATTGATGTTTTACTTAGAGAAGTAGTGTGTAAAGTACAGTACTTCAAAGTTGAATGAAAGTACATAAGTAACCAGTTTACAAACAAAATGTTTCATACTGTACTTAAAATAAAATAAACACTAGACATAGGTCAGTCACTTCCCTCCCATTTCTGGAGTTGTTAATGTCTCAAGATAAAATTAACCAAGCAGTCACAGGTTAAATTCCTGGGCACCCTGCACATATAATAATAGTAATAATTATATTATTGCATCTGACAATAATAATAATATTATCATTATTATATGTGTAGAGTGCCCAGGAATTTAACCAGTGACTACACGGTTAATTTTATCACGAGCCATTAAGCACATAATCATTGCTTGCTACAATGATGCTACTTCCTTCTTTTCAAACACAGTAAAGCACACTGAAAACATGAGTGAAACAGACTAAATTTGTCCATCTCATCTAAAGGGGAGCATGAAATGTGATCCATATTTTCACCAATTATGCGACTTGATGACCACCTTACCTGAAAGTGATGACCAGACCACACACTAGAAGGTGAAGGGACGACGATGTTTCAGTCCGTCCTGGACCATTCTCACAATCGACCTGAGAATGGTCCAGGACGGACCGAAATGTCGTCGTCCCTTCACCTTCTAGTGTGTGGTCTGATCATTATACTTTAGCCACGTTATTGTGACTCATCGCCACCTTACCTGAAAGTCTTGGGGATACGAGACCGGGATATAGGTTATTGCCGTCCACCACTTGGTTACCTGTAAATGTGATGCGCATTAATTAATAGCATTTCAATGTCTGATTTATGACAAATGCCAAGATTATAAACAAATTTTTTATTTCAAATTATGTAAATTTTACTGATATCCAAAGTTCAATCCCACCAGGACAGACAGCAGGGCAAGTTTGCTTTCTTCCAATTTCTCTGTTCACCTACCAGTAAATAGGTACAATACCCTGGAGTTAGACAACTGTTGTGGGTTGCATCCTGAGGAAGCTCATAATTAGTAATTTGCCTAAGGGGACCTTGATAAGGTTAACAAGCTTCCTGTCTCCAACTATAAGAAACCATATAACTGAAAATAACTATAAACCATATAGTTCCCAACTATAAACCATATAGTTCCCAACTATAAACCATATAGTTCCCAACTATAAACCATATAGTTCCCAACTATAAACCATATAGTTCCCAACTATAAACCATATAGTTCCCAACTACAAACCATACGGTTCCCAACTATAAACCATATAGTTCCCAACTTTAAACCATACGGTTCCCAACTATAAACCATATAGTTCCCAACTATAAACCATATAGTTCCCAACTATAAACCATATAGTTCCCAACTATAAACCATATAGTTCCTAACTATAAACCATATATATGGGAAGAGGAGACCTGCTTGCTCTGTGTGTCAAGATCTCCAACTTAGCTTCCCGGGGCTGCAACAAATAAACATTTGCCTAACTTCCAGCTACTTTATCCACGTCTAGGTGATAACAGGCATCAGGTGAAAGAAAACATTGCCAATGTTTTTGCCTTTCCACAGAAATCAAACCAGGACCTTTTGGTTGTGATTACACCAACCACTAGGCTACAGAACACTGCAATGGTCCTACTTGCTCATGCTAGGCAAGGGTCCACAATAATTTTTGCCAAAGAAATTCCAATATACATCTGGCTATACACATGGATAAATAATCAACTTATGTTAGGCTATGCCCAAAACACATGGCATATTGCCTAAGAAACACACTGCTTTATATAAAAATCACATTGTGTGCCTACAAGTACACCATTGTATCATGTTTCAAATGTACAGTACTTTATATAAATGACATTATTATTATTATTATTGTAATCTATACAAAAAAATACAAAACTTACTAATATCTGTAAAACCAGGTGAGGTGCCTGGAGAAGCTTGAGTGCAGCACTGATGGTAGGCATTATCCCACGGGAAGCCAAACTTGAAGCCCATATTGCACCCCATACCCATGGTCCCGCTGAATAACCCCAGTTTACATCCTTGGCAACAATCCTGAAAATTATACACAATGAAATCACAGGAACATGGCAAATATATAAATGAATATCGACTCTATATGATGGAATGGAACTCTTGTTCCTGAACTCCTAAGGTGCTAGCACTACTGACTAGACCATGATGGGCTTAATAGATACCTGAAAGAGAGGCTTTTAAGCCCATCATGGTCCAGTTGGAAGCATGCGTGCCCAAGAAATTCAGAAACACGGACTCAATTCTATTGTGCAACCTCAATATTTGTTCTGAAAAGAATATTTAGAAAATAATTAAAACTATAAAATGCTAATAACATTTGACCTAAAATGTTTTGGAATAATTTCTAAATAAATGCAAGAATATCTGTATTCAAGAACTAGACACGATGCAGCTGTGAAGGACTGGTTTGAACCCTCACATACTCAGCTTTGAAAGTGAGAATGACCTGGATTCAATAACTTTACTTTTTCCCAAAGTATTGCAAATACCTTGAAATATTCTCCACCTTGGTTGCTGTTGGTGATGCAATCTTGCCCCACTTGGGCTGCTTGCTTGCCTTTCTGGCACTGCTCATCTCTGTTTATAAAACAATTATTTTACAATTAGTTAAAGGATATAAAATGTAAAACATGGTTATGATACTAGTAAAAATATGGTAACCTATAAGATTTTAATAAACCCTGACAAATCAAAATCCAGCTGGATAAAATCATCAAAATGGCATGTTTCCCCTGATAGTTCCCTCCCTTCCTCTGTTAACATTTAAAGTATTACAGTTGGAAAAGATCATCAAGGTAAATGGAGGGGGGGGGGGAGCTTTCGACAAGCTGCTGGCTTCCTTTCCTCATTGAGGCCATTAGTGTTAGTGGCTCTCGGGTAAAGTCAGGTACTGTATATGTTTTAAATAAAAAATAATAATAATAATTATTATTATTATAATATACTTATACTCTATACAGCAACTAGCATGTTGCTTAAAGACTGTCTGTTTAAGCATGTTGCTTAAAGACTGTCTCAACACCCCACACTGTCTTTTAACCCCACAAGCATGTCAAAAGATAACTGTCCATATCTTACAAATGGCATAATTAAGATCAGCAATTTTAATAATTATTAATAACTAATTAATAAGCACTTATAATAGACATATATTAATTACTATCAAAATACTTAAAATATTTGAAACTACTGTACTGTATAGTCAACCAATGTGGGTAAAGCTCCTGATATCCGGACACTGGCCATGCAATAGCGGATGTGGTTAGGTCGACCTTGATACAAGCCTATTATGTATATTTACATTTTATATATGTGCACAGGCTTCTTGTCCCCAATGCAACAAATTATTTTTGTCTTACCTAAAGTATCTGAGGCAACAAATACCAGCAGCAGTGATACAGACAGTTTGATGCTCAGAGGAGATGCCAGTGACGGGGGCAGGGAAGGTGGAGCACTTCTGACCTTCCCTTCCCCAGTTGGCACCATACACACAGCACCTCGCAAACGTTGGCTCTAGGTCACCTGGGGAGAGATAAACTTGGGTTAGCTTGAGTAAACACTGGTCAACTTGGGTAAACTAAAAAATTCAAAGGTAAACTCAGGTAAGGTAAGGTAAGTTTCACATGTAAATACATGGTCAAAAAGAAGCTGCCTCGTATGGACCAATAGGAGCTGTCTTGTATGGACCAATTCTGTAGAGTACTTTATTATGTTCTTAGTGCCCGAAACTATATTGGCTGCCCGAAACGCTGTACAGGAATGTAACAACTCTTGTATATATCTCAAAAAAAAAAATATATATATGCATGCTAGTGGCTTTACAAGAATGTAAAAACATCAATGCTATGTACTCTCATCAACCCAATGTACCTTCTTGTATATATATATTGATAAATAAATGGCTCTTACAAGCCCAAGATTGATTGATTGATGAAGATTAAGCCACTTAAAAGGTGGCACGGGCATGAATAACCCATAAGTGGTGGCTCTTTTGAGCCATTACCAGTATCAGAATTGATACTGGAGATCTGTAGAAGTGCAACTGCACCCTACGTGACGGGAGATGTCTCCTGTCCAAGCCCAAGCTTCGTCCTGCAGTTAAGTACACTCCTGAAACCATACAGAAACCTGTACACCTGTTGATTGACAGTTGAGAGGCGGGACCAAAGAGCCAAAGCTCAACCCCCGCAAGCACAACTAGGTGAGTACAACTAGGTGAGTACAGAATGGCCTATCCCTTAAAGCTGCAAATGCCGCAACCAGTCCTCGTCACAATTATTACCTGACCTATACCTATAATAGGTTAAGTAATAATTGTAATTACGAAGCTATAAGATGCCTATTTTAACATACTAAGTAGGTTAGGTAAGGTCGGTGTTTTCTATGAAGCTTTTCAAGGGAAACTATTATGTTTAGTATGTCACCTATGCACGCAACTAATAAGTCAATATTGACTTATTAAATTTGCGAGAACAGGTTGTAACCCGTTGTAACGGGTTGTGGCACCCGTTCTCGCAAATTTAATAAGTCAATATTGACTTATTAAATATGTGCATAGGTGACATACTTAACATAATAGTTTCCCTTGAAAAGCTTCATAGAAAACACTGACCTTACCTAACCTACTTAGTATGTTAAGATAAGTATCTTATTGCTTCGTAATTACAATTATTACCTGACCTATACCTATAATAGGTTAAGTAATAATTGTATTTACAAAGCTATAAGATGCTTATTTTAACATACTAAGTAGGTTAGGTAAGGTCGGTGTTTTCTATGAAGCTTTTCAAGGAGAAACTATTATGTTTAGTATGTCACCTATGCACGCAACTAATAAGTCAATATTGACTTATTAAATTTGCGAGAACGGGTTGGGATTTTCACGGGGGAGACATTTCCCGTCACGCAGGGTGCAGTCGCACATCCACAGATCTCCAGTATTAGTTCTTGATACTGGTAATGGCTCAAAAGGGCCACCACTTACGGGCTATTCATGCCCGTGCCACCTTTTGGGTGACTTAATCTTCATCAATCAATCAGGCCTGGGTTCGTATCCTCACCGAGGAGGATTGACTGGGTGCCAGTCCTTAACTGTAGCCTCTGTTTATCCCAGGAGTGAATGTTTACCTGGTTGTTAAACTATTTGGCGGGTCGTATTCCGGGAAAAATTTGGATTAAGGACTTATACCCGAAACGGTATATGGGTGGCTGTACAAGAAAGTAAGAATTGTTTTGTGCTGGAAGAAAACTCGCCTTTGGAATGGGGTACTTATTTATTAATTAATAATTATTTAAATTGACAATTAATAAATTCTTACTTGTTAATAGTTACAATTATTTATATATATAAAAACAAAAAAATAACGTAAATACTTTCATCGAGCAATGCTTCGTTCACATCCTTTGCATGAATTGAACCCTCCATCCGATCCAAATACAGTACCAATAATTGCTAACGGAATATAACCATTTAACCAAGCACATTCTAGAAGGTAATAATAATAACTTGTATTTGAGGAAATACAAATTTTAAGTATGCACTACGTGAAAATTGACGAATGTATTTTCGTGTTCGACCGCCGGTTGAACGAGCCTAGTCTGAGGACAGGTTGTGCAGGCGAGTCTTACGGGGGACTGGCGCAGTCCACGTTGAGTGTCATCAACAGTCATCAGCTGAGTGTCGTGAGTAAAGTATTTTTAATTCATAAACAGGAGTTTGCCGGAAGGATTAATGAGCATTGTGCCTTTGTTGATCAGGCAACCTGTCCTCATCAACAAAGGCCTAAGATTCCTGATTCAACCTTGACACTGCTGACGCCTGACTTCTGCTCCGCCTGAAGATTGCCGAAGAACGTTTTGCTTTGTCTCACTACTGGGTTACGTTTTGCAGTAAGGTGCATTTATTTATTTATTTGCCTGGATGGTTGAGACGCCTGGCGCGTCTCAGGTTTCCCCTTGATCCCTTGTCCGTCAAAGGGGGTTGATAGATTTCTTGAGTTTTCCGGCTTGCACTTTAGGCGTTGAGAACGGGGGTCCAGAACCGGCCGGTTTAGTGGGCCCCGGACATGGTGAACATCTCACTCTCGCTCTGCCGGGGTTGTCACTCTGTGGGTGACCGATGCCTACCCTGCCGGGGTTGTCACTCTGTGGGTGACCGATGCCTACCCTGCCGGGGTCATTCAGGTGGCCAGCGCCACTAAGTGGTTTTGTTTTCTGGGGTAGCCTCCCCCGGCTGTTGTTTTCATTTGGGTTATTGTATCCAAGCATGGAGAACTTACCTTCAAAAAACAACTGGATTGGAGAAAGTCCAACACCGGGGCAACAAAAGTAATTCCAGAGCCAAGTCAGCTCTCATACAAGAAACTGTTATGGGGTCAGAGGCCTGACAACACTGCAAACCAAGTATGAAAGGGCTGACCTCATCGAAACTTTTAAAATACTGAAAAATTTAGAGGATATTGATGCAGACAACTTCTCCAAAAGGTAAGCCGTAAATGCCAAAACTGTGTTGAATTTTATAATCCAGCTAAAAAAATTCAATACAAATGTAGGGTTTTTGACAAGCCGCTGACTTCTTGTCCTAGTCGAGGCCAGTAGAGTGTTAGTGGCCCCTCGAGTAAATTCAGGAATCCGGGTCGACAGGGCGCATACGTCCAGTTTCGTTGTTGCCTTAAAGTCAAAGATACGCTTGGTTATTCCTAAGGCTTGGTTAGCTTTTGTTACTGCTGCTTTTACCTGTCATGCAACTTTCAGCAAATAGTGGATTTTGACTCCAAGATACTTTCCTCCATCAATCTGTCGCAAAGTAATCTTATTAATTTGGTAGTTGTGACGTGGGTTGTTATGCCCCACATGTAAGGTCTTGCATTTCTCGATATTAAAAAGCATTTGTCAGTTTTCTGGCCATTTGTGGAGTTTATGTAGACCTCTTTGTAAGGCTTCTGTATCATTTTAATTTCCCACTTTACCATAAATCTTTGTCAATTTCCTTGCCAGTCTTTCATGTGGTACCTTATGTGGAGATGGTGGCCCTCAGGGCTCCTTGTCCTGGTCGAGACCCCTAGAGATGGTGGCCCTCAGGGCTCCTTGTCCTGGTCGAGACTACTAGAGATGGTGGCCCTCAGGGCTCCTTGTCCTGGTCCAGACCACTAGAGGTGGTGGCCCTCAGGGTTCCTTGTCCTGGTCGAGACCCCTAGAGATGGTGGCCCTCAGGGCTCCTTGTCCTGGTCGAGACCACTAGAGATGGTGGCCCTCAGGGCTCCTTGTCCTGGTCGAGACTACTAGAGATGGTGGCCCTCAGGGTTCCTTGTCCTGGTCGAGACCTCTAGAGATGGTGGACCTCAGGGCTCCTTGTCCTGGTCGAGACCCCTAGAGATGGTGGTCCTCAGGGCTCCTTGTCTTGATCGAGACCTCTAGAGATGGTGGCCCTCAGGGCTTCTTATCCTGGTCGAGACCTCTAGAGATAGTGGCCCTCAGGGCATCCCGTCTCCGTCGAAGCCATTAGAGATAGTGGCCCTTGGGTAAATTTTGTTAGATCAACATCGGCAAGTGATGCAAACTCCAATATGTTTTTATTACCGACCTAAACCGAGCAGTAGTAAGATACACCTGAGAGACATCAGAAGTATGTGTAGAATAATACACCCCACATTGTTTGAGTTAGGAAAACACTATTTGTCAAATATTGACACTGTTCTTAAAAGATTTCCCCATTTTGCACCCGCAAGATAACGTAAGCTTTTAAGGGTTGATAGATGTTAATCTTCTTGTTTGAGGAGCTGTTCACTTGAGACAGTTAAGCAAGTCCCAGCTGTGTCTGGGTACAAGTGACAGGATGAATAACCCAGCGGGTTTTCTTCCCATTGGGGAGTGTTGTACATGCTGCTATGGCGGTATGTCCACTCACAAGATGAGTGGCGCTGCCCAATAAACTCGCCCCTCGGGGCAAAATTAAAAAAAAAAAAAAAAATCTCGTTTAGGCTGATTTAAGGAAAAGAAGGTACTGATTAAATTGTAAAATTCTCTGGTGCGTCCCCTTTGGATTACTGTATCCAGGCATGGAGACCACTATTCTAGAACTGTCAACTTTCATACCAGGAACGGTTAAGGGCCACAGAGCAAATAACAGTGCAAACCAAACATAATTAGGGCTGATATCGAAACTTAAAATACTAAACAATTTGGAGGATATTAATATATTCTCACCTATTTGTGCCTGCAGGATTGAGCATTAGCTGTTGGATACTGAGTAAATGGAATGCACTAGGAAATGATGTGGTGGAGGCAGACTCCATACACAGTTTCAAATATGGATATGATAGAACTCGAGAAGCTCGGGGCAAAATTTAAAAAAAAATCAGGAATCTGTATACCAGTAGATTGACGGTTGAGAGGCGGGACCAAAGGACCAAAGCTCAACCCCCGCAAGCACAACTAGATGAGCACTGCTTTTCTATTCGCCGGTTATTTAATGCAATGACTCCTGACCTATTTCCCTATGATATCTACTTTTAAAATTATGAATGGAGTTTGCTTCTACAACCTGCTCCTTTAGTCCACTCCATTTTACCTCTACTCTTGTGCTAAAAGAAAACTTTATAATATCTTTACTATGACTCTTGCCCAACCACTTGGGTTGAACGGTAGAGCGACGGTCTCGCTTCATGCAGGTTGGCGTTCAATCCCCGACCGTCCAAGTGGTTGGACATTCATTCACCCCTTCCCATCCCAAATCCATATCTTGACCCCTTCCAAGTGCTATATAGTCGTAATGGCTTGGTGCCTTCTGATAATTCCCTTAATTCCTCCCTCGAGTATGACTCGCCCGAGCTTCGAGGTTCCATCCATGCCCTCTTGTTTTATTGGTGTTAAATGATTTTTCTCTTTCTGTTCTCCACTCTGTCAGTCCCCCTAAGTATTTTATACGTCTAAATCATGTCCCTCTCTCTCCTCATAATGTACTTACCAGCTGTTGTCATGAACAGTAGTAGAAGTAGAGCTGAGTAAAGCCATACTCGAAATGATGCCCTCTCCATAGTCTTGTATATGTCCTCAAATCATGTAGTTCTGCCCACACTAACTGGTAGTTAATTACAAAACTACGACACAGTATTAACTGTTATCTTGTATAATGTTCTAGGCCGCGTGTTTCGCTGGGTTTAATATCTATAACACATTAATAACAAACTTTAGTTCTAAATACGTATTTGCATAACATGTGTGAGTCTTACACAGGTTGTATTATCTACGTTCACATCAGACACTCACACACACATACACACACACTGTAGGCTATAATTAATTATGCTATTATATCATTTTCCGTTTACTGTCACTATATCAACAAGCCAGTTATATAATTAACTTAAACAATAACGTCATATATAACGACCCTAACTTGTCTAGAACTTTGATGTGAATGGAAGCAGGTCAAAACACCACTAGACCAGCTCCTCGTGCCTAGCTCTTGATGTGAAGACAGTAGGCGTCTGTCTGGCCCGTCTCCACCACCCCATGAGGGCCCCCCCCCACCACCTGTGTCGGGGGCCCCCCAACACCACGCCTCCCACCCAGGGGGATGCCAGTTGACCCCAGCATATCACCATCTATACCCCCACAAAACCCCCCCCCACACCCCTTACTCTAATCTTATCTCTAATTATCGATAAACGAACGATAAGTACCTGACCACAACCCCATTTCCCTAAGGCTTGATCAAGGGTGTGTGGCGATAAGGACTCCTGGTGTATGGACACAAGGATGTAATGGCAACACATCTGTTTGTTTGCTCAACCTCAACCTTTGACGACTGACAGACACGGACATTCTTTCATTCACTCGGAGATGCTTGCCTTAGGGTATATGAGTCTTATCTTCCACTTGGAGTTTGGATCTCAAGGTCCCAATATCTTCGGTAAACATATCTAACCCACATAGATAGTGTGAGATTATTGGTCCTACATCGAATCCTATATACCGGATGTGTGTATGTATATATATATATATATATATATATATATATATATATATATATATATATATATATATATATATATATATATATATAGTAGTATATATATATATATTATAAAATTGAAGTAGGGTGGACCCCCAGTACCCATCCTGTGGGTAGTAGTGAACCCCCCAGTACCCATCCTGTGGGTGGTAGTGAACCCCCAGTAGGGAGCCGGTCGGCCGAGCGGACAGCACACTGGACTTGTGATCCTGTGTTCGAATCCCGGGTTCGATCCCCAGCGCCGGCGAGAAACAATGAGCAGAGTTTCTTTCACCCTATGTCCCTGTTACCTAGCAGTAAAATAGGTACCTGGGTGTTAGTCAGCTGTCACGGGCTGCTTCCTGGGGGCGGAGGCCTGGTCGAGGACCGGGCCGCGGGGACATTAAAACGCCCCGAAATCATCTCAAGATAATCCATCCAGTGGGTGGTAGTGAACCCGAAACGCAGTACACGTTTCAGCAAGTATAAAAAATAAACGTGCTGCGTATTAGTATCCACTATTAGTATCTACGTTCTGCGTATTATGCACTGTACAGCACTCGTCTCACGTATGTATCTCCCTCTCTTTAAGTAAGCGACTGCACAAACTGCTGAGCCATAGAGCCTATAGATATTCCACATTTCGCTGCGCATTGTAGACACATCCTATGTGTTCTGTCTGCAACTAGAATACATACAGATTATTGTCAGTGATACGGGCAGCTGGCGTCAGCTAGGAGCTAAGAGGCTTTGATGAGGCTTCTCCTGTCAATAAATGGCACACGTGCAGGGTGTCCTGTCCGTGTTTATTAAGCCACGTGTAGGGTGTAGAGTGCGTGTTTAAGACCCCCTGCAGGGTGCACTATCCGTGTTCAAGACAGGTGCTGGGGTGTGGGGCATGGGTTCGAGTTGAAGCTGCACAATAGTAGTAGTTCTGGCTCTGCCTGGCAGTCCTGGAGGCTTCTAATCTCTCTACTGTGGATAAAATTGCTTGTTCAAGTATTGGAGAAAACCCTCAAGCATGAAGTGCAAGCACACGTAGCCTCTTATAACCGATATGGACCGGTTATAAGTACTTTATCAGACACTTAATTTCGTAAATGTAGAAGAATACGAATCTATGCGTTGTTTTGCTCAGCGACGATCTTTTTAGCGGCGATCGCGCCCTTTCGGCGACAGCGTGTTGTTTTTGGGATGATTGTGTCGTTACTGTTCTTCCCCCCCCCCCCCCCTCGGTGGGAGGGTTTTTTTTTGGGGGGGGGGACGCTAAGAAATATTGTCCCACAGCAGACAATAGTTTTCATAGTTTCGTTTACGTAATATCTACTGTGCGTAACTATTGTGTAGTTTTTTACTACTTTATTGTTATTTATTTATTATTACCTACAACTGTTACACATATATTTCGGTATATACAATTTTGTGACAGACAAAATACGTACCTAAATTATGTTTACTTAGGAATATTTAGGGTTTATTAAGGCACGTGCAGGGTGTACTGTCCGTGTTTAAGGCACGTGTAAGGTGTACTGTCCGTGTTTAAGACACGTGTGAGGTGTACTGTCCGTGTTTAAGACAAGTGCAGTATGTACTGTCCGTGTTTAAGACATATGCAGGGTGTACTGTACGTGTTTAAGACATGTCCTATCGAGCGAGCTTGCCAACCAGCAAATATTTACTTTAAACTTAGTCCAAGACTAAAGTAAACTTTCAAGTATATACACCAAGAAGAGGGTTTACAGCTCCCAAAATTTATACCGCCACAAGTACGCACTCCTGACAGTTGTTATACGAGCCTACTGATCTTGCAGTTTATGAGTGATTAGTGGCTTTATGTACATTATATGTTTACTTTTCCTGTGCATACAATTTGTATTCCAATCATAACCCCCCCCCCCTGTATATACACTGAGTAGTATGTATGCATACAAGAGCCAGTTCCTGCGATACATATAAATACATATATGTTGCTAGCCCTGCGTAGATCCGCGAATGTAAACAGTAACTCGATATTCTTCTGAAAGGTCAGCTGTTGCTTAAGTTTTATATTTGACACTTGTTATGTACCCATATTTATTGTACGCTAGCTGCTGCTTTTGTATTATTGTATATTACTTAAAAATATTTATGCCGCTGTTTGGAAGTTGTGTTTCATTTTCATAGTTTCGTTACTGGGTTAAGTAGTTTAAAAGCTGAACCTGTATATATATATCTTCTGTTAACACAAGCACAAATGAACCCACAGAAGGCCTATTGGTCCATACGAGGCAGCTGCTATTGGTCCATACGAGGCAGCTCCTATTGGTCCATACGAGGCAGCTGCTATTGGTCCATGCAAGGCAGCTGCTATTGGTCCATGCGAAGCAGCTGCTATTGGTCCATGCGAGGCAGCTGCTATTGGTTCATACGAGGCAGCTGCTATTGGTTCATACGAAGCAGCTGCTATTGGTCCATGCGAGGCAGCTGCTATTGGTCCATGCAAGGCAGCTGCTATTGGTCCATGCGAAGCAGCTGCTATTGGTCCATACGAGGCAGCTGCTATTGGTTCATACGAGGCAGCTGCTATTGGTCCATGCGAAGCAGCTGCTATTGGTCCATGCGAGGCAGCTGCTATTGGTTCATACGAGGCAGCTGCTATTGGTCCATGCGAGGCAGCTGCTATTGGTTCATACTAGGCAGCTGCTAATTGTCCCATACGAGGCAGCTGCTATTGTCCCATATGGGGCAACTGCTATTGTCCCATATGGGGCAACTGCTATTGTCCCATACGAAGCAGCTGCTATTGGTCCATATAGAGAGAAATTGGAATTAGAAAATGATTGACTATTGTTACATGATATTTAGAAACTGTGCAACAAGTACAAGGCCTAAAGCCACTAATACGCAGAGCGTTCCGGGCATAATATTAAAGCAAAATGGTGAGCAATAATGAAGCTGAATGGGGTAACTTAAAACGAAAGATCAGAAATATTAATGAATTGAAATAGAGACATAGAAATAAAATGACAATAATTACGTGATGATTTTAACTGCAAAAATTGCCACAGAACAACAGTTAGTAGTTTTCACAGAATAAACAGATGGTATACAATTTCTTATTACATCTCTACACGGCAGATATCAGTAAGAGTGTATGTTCAGTATTTAATGTTCAGTATAATGTCTAATCGACGCTTGAAAGAATCCAGCATCCATTTTTGTTTATTTTGCCCCGATAGGCGAGTTTATTGGGCAGCGCCACTCATCCTGTGAGTTGTACCCAATAGTTTGTTCAATATACCAACAACCCTGTCGTTGTGGTTTTTATGCTGCTATATAGATTACGTCAGGCAACACCTGAGCACCCATGTTGCGCTAATACTGTATTCATTGATGGCTACATCCAGCTCTTTTCTAATGGATACAGAAGACGCACTAGCTAGGCTTGGGTGTGTGATGATGGGTTTGTGTATTAGCAAGAGGATCATTACTACAACACTTAACGAATGTGTTGTAGTAGTGTGCCTTATCTTCCTTGGAACATGATCGACTTGAGAATGGTCCAGAGGACGGACCGAAGCGTCGTCGTCCCTTCACCTTCTAGTGTGTGGTCTGGTCATCCACCAATCTGTTAACAACCCGGTCCCCAATTACTGCTGGGCAAATAGGGGCAAATGTTTAAGGATTGACGCTCAGTCATTCCTCCCAGATGTTAAGCTCGCTGGACAGGACTTTTGTGACTTGTTTGATGACTAAGCAGGAAAAAAAAGAGGAGCAAGCTGGGGGTCATCCTGTTGGACGCCTTCTCGCGAGTCAATTTCATATTCGCAAAAAAGTAGCTTTAGATCCATACCGTAGTATGAATGTCCAAAACGGTAGAGGGAATAGAAATGACGATCCGCACGGGGTACAGCATCCCTCCGCACCAAATTGAAGGCATTTTTGAGTTATATATGTATATAGTAATTAACATATTTTCAGAGCAAATGTATATGGATAGCCATCGGTTCATGGAGATATATATTAAAGCCTCATATTTTCCCCTAAACCCGTTCCCATTAATATTACCGTTCTTTACTAGTTATGTCTAATTTGTTCTATTATCCCGCATCAAAAAACATATGTGTTTATATTTAAATATTTGCACAATACTTATTTATATACCTGTAATAAATTATGCATTTGTACCCAGTGTGTGGTGGGAATTGCTGACTTGCGTGGCGGGGAATGTTGGCTAGCATGGCGGGAAATGTTGGCTAGCATGGCGGGGAATATTAATCTGCGTAACAGGAAATGTTATTCAGTTATTGAAAATCATTCGTAACAAAGCGGGGAATATTAACTTACATAACAAGAGATAAATTGTCTTTGTACCCAGTGTGTGGTAGGGATTGGTAACTAACGTGGCGGGGAATGATGGATAGCATGGCAGGGAATATTAATCTGCGTAACAGGAAATGTTATTCAATTACTGAAAATCATAAGTAACGAGTCGGGGAATATTAACTTACATAACACACGATAATAATTAGTTTTATGAGACATATTAACCAACGTGGTGGGGAATATCAACCATCTTAG